ATTGTAGTAATTGAACATTAATCTTTTGTGAAACATGGAAATTATTACAATCTTTGTCAACATCAAAGAGATAAAATTGATGAAGTCATTAATTAAATATTAAGTGTTGTTACATCAGTGAACATTACATCACTTAATAGGATGGTACACTGTTTAGTACATGTACATGTAGGATCATTTGTGGTCTAATAATTTATGTATTTTCATGTAGAAGTACCTGATCACCTTTATGAAAGGATTTCAGATTTAACTGATATATTTTTACATTGTATCATGTTGTTTATAAAAATAAAATTTTCTTTTTGTGATTTTTTTTTACAAAAGAATTAAATAAAAGAAATGTTATTTTATGAAAACAAGGAAAACTGAAATAAAAATTCCCAAATTTACAATAAGTAATTTAATCTTACTGTTGCAAGCTTATGAGAGAAGGAACAAATATCAATTTTAAAGTCATATTCTTTTTATGTACATGTATAGATTAGTCAATTTTCAAATGAAAGAAAGAGGGGATCACACAAGGGGATCACACAAGGGGATCCTAATGTTTTCTTGACATTTAAGGAAATTGTGTAGAATTCTGATTTTTTTAAAAAGTTTTGCATCCACTTGATAATCTATATATAGGATGTTGACACACTGAGCCAGATTTTTATCATCATAAACTACAGTATTAGACTTGTCATCCCAGTTGGATACGTATTCTGACCAATCTAAATTTGCTCTTACTCCGGAAAGTTGCATGGTTTAATTATAATAGCTAAGAAATTTTAAAGTCATTGAATTGCCGTTATTTCTGGAATTGCCTCTGTCTTACTTTTGTATGTCTGTACATATTCAGAGAGGACGGAGTGAGAAAGGTTGGTATGAAAGTGTGAATGATCGTGTCAAATTTTGTAATGCCCGAAATTAAGGGACCTGTGATTAGGAAAATAAAGAATTTGAATTATGAATTTGAATTTGTACATATCTATTATGTATACCAATGTAATTGGTAGGTTGAGAATTAGATATACTTCAGATGAAAGCCACAATATTTATGCTGATTGAGAACACAATACAGATAATGATAAGATTTTCTGAGATTAAGTTCTTTGTAATGTGGCTGCCTGGTTAATAAGTCAGAATATTGATGGAAACAGGAATCACTATCAACCATAATTAAAACATATGGGATTCATCCTTAATGGATTAATAGTTTATAGGAGAGTTAATAGAGTAATCAAAATCTAGGAAACCTATAAAAGGAGTAATTGTACTAAATTAGTCTATCACCTTGGATTGGAGAGATACGATCAATAAGTCTGGGCAAAGGTCAAATATGGTGTTAATGTTACAAGCACTTAAACTATTAGCTAAATGTCTGATTTTATTAAACAGATTTCTATTTACTATATATCTAATACAGGAACAATTCCAATTATGGCCAAATTCAGATATACATTGTTTTTTAGATGATAACAATGGGCAGTTAATGCTTTAAAAAAAATCATTCTGAAATAAAATCATTTATAAGGAATCTATAAAAACTTTAACTGATTTTCAAGTTGACTATTTTGAAGGTTTTTGGTATAAAACAATGATTTTGTTTGACTGATGTGATGTTTATAAGAGAGGAAATTGTGAGTTCATAATTTTATGGGTGTTATTATATTTCCAGGGGTTTTTGATGTGATGATGACCATACAAAGCAAAGAGACTTTAATTTTATAATCAATACACATTTAGTAAACTGATATGAAATCAAATGAATTTGATCTATTGCTTACTGCATGCTATATATTATAACCTATAAATTTCAATCATAATTAAAATACCAGCTAGAATAGCTTTACAAATTAGTCCAATTAATTCATCTGTTACCTTGACCATGATGTGATATTAATTATGTCATGTTTTATAAGATAAACATTTGTAAAAGTGGTAAAACTTTAATAATTAAGAAATAATTTTAATAAAATAACCTTTATTAGTACAATGAATTTCTTTATATCAATGTAAAGATCTACTGACAATGTTTTGAAGTAATATATGAGTTGACAGATATAAAACATATAAGGGATGGATGATTGCCCACAAATATTTTAAGGGCATTACATATGTACATATTCAGAATATTTGTGTTGATAAACAAACACATATTATACATTATGTACCGTAAATGTTCTAAATGATATAAATACATAATTTGGTCTGTTTGATATTATTTAAGTGTAAGTTTGAATTTGCCTTTATTGGATAATCCATTATTTGATCATGCATGAAGTGTTGTTTTTATGCCCCCGCCGTAGCAGAGGGGGCATTAAGTTTTACCCTTGTCCGTCTGTACGTATGTACGTCTGTCCGTACGTCTTAAAATTGGTTACCGTTCTCTAACTTAGGTTTGCCTCAACCAAATGTTATGAAACTTATACACAATGCTTATTACCACAAAACACAGATCAAGTTTGAAATTTGGTCGCGTCACTTTAACTGTTCCGGAGTTATGCCCCTTTATAAATGGAAACATTGCAAAATTTTTATTTTCTTCTAAATATCAAGTAATTTTTAAAATTGGAGTTATCTTCCTTTGTCCATGATTATACCTGAATCAACTACAATCAATGCTTTATACAATGTAATGTTCAATTTTGACTTCCACTGATAAAACACAGATCAAGTTGAATTTTGGTAGTGCCACTTTAACCATTATTGAGTTATGCCCCTTTATAAATCGAAAGATTGGAAAATTTTTAGTTTCCATTCTGTAACTTAAGTTTGCCCCAACCAAACATTATGAAACCTATACACAATATTCATTACCACAAAACTAAGATCAAGTACAAATTTTTTGTTTCTGTTTTCTAACTTTAGTTTTTTCTCAACCAAATGTTATGAAACTTATACACAATGCTTATTACTACATAATACAGATTAAGTACGAAATTTGGTGACAACACTTTTACCATTCTTGAGTTATGTCCATTTATAAATATGAAAATTGCTGAATTTTTCGTTTCTGTTCTCTAACTTTTGTTTGTCTCAACCAAATGTTATAAAACTTATACACAACCGTTCTAGAGTTATGTGTGTTTACAAATAGAAAAATTGCTGAATTTTTAGTTTCTGTTCTCTACTTAAGTTAGCCTCAACCAAATGTTATTACACTTACACACAATGCTTATTACCACAAAACTCAGATCAAGTTCAAATTTGGGTAGCGTGACTTTATACGTTCTTCAGTTATGTCCCTTTATAACTACTATATGATATGCAAGCGGGGGCATCATCTGTGTCCACATGTGGACACTTATCCACATTTATTTTTTTTGGGGGGGGGGGGGGGGGTTAACAGTGGGTTTGTCTTAGAAATGCCTCTCACCTTAACTAAAGTTAACTAAACCCTGAATTTGCTTTAGCATTATATAAGGGAATTATATGTCAGGCCACCAAACTAGTTTCTTCCACAATGATGTGTACTTAAAAGAATAAAAAATAAAAACATTTGAAGTAGAGTAATAACTCCTCAACAGGTAATTAAAGCATTATCTGGAACTTTCGATTCTGGTTGGTTCACTCGATGCATCTTTAATTTTTTTCTGTGAACCCCTGCATCTAGACTATCCACTTTTGCCAAACCAGCGTTGTATTTGACAACCACACCGCATTGACAAAATAACAATCCCTTCTGAGATTGCCGAATTATTCTACAAATTCAACAACGAACTACTACCACTCAAGATCCAAAGAAGACCACCGCAAAACGTAATGAACCTCAGAACCGCACGATTTTATTGTTTAAATGAACTTGAGACATGGATTATGTACCACAACTGCCAAATGTAACCAATTCACCGGAACTTCCACCATGCCCTACATGTGCGACTACCATACATCTTACAATATTCCTGACGCAATTGGAAGTAGTACCTCTTTCTGAGTGAAGCCTTTTTGAATGGTATGGAATGTCCTGTGAGGTGTTGTCCATTTTGGAAAAGATACTGACAATTCATTATTAACTTTTACTTTCACTTTTATTTTAATGTCGTCAAACCTATTATTGTGACATTACGTCTTGTTAACCTTTGTAACCCCATATGCACCTCATTTTATGTACTTCAGTATTTGTTTCCTATCATTAAATTGTCCTGAAGATGCCACCGTAAGTGGCGAAATATGTAGACCAGAATAAAGAATTTCCTTGCAGTAATCTAGGATGTTGTTGTCTTTGTGTATCATTATTTTCCTGAGGTTTTAAGACAACCGCAGCATACTTCCGGGTATCCATCCTGATTTCTCTACCAGCTTGTACCGTAAGAAGGTGTTGGTTCACTCGATGCATCTGGTTGAAATAAGATTAAATATTTTATACTGTTTCTATCTGCAATACTATTTACTTACTGTTTTAATGTTTCTAAACAAATGAGCTAACAAAAGGCAACAGGAAAGTCTATAAATTGGAAAGATTTTTATTGAATCATAGAAATTACCAGAATAATACGCTCATCCAAAACACTTCAAATATATATTGTTACTAAAAGTGGACATAATAAAGTATGCATAGAGTTATTTCCCAGGCAACTGACTTAAGTCTGGACTCTTTGACACAACATCATGTAACTGATTCAGTAAATATGATTAGTTTCCACCATGTCCACTCAAGTGATTACTGCATTGACCAGTTTGATATATATGCTATTAAACTGTTCCTGTATAGCCTCCCAGGGGACTGCCTTAAATGGGCAGTCTGGCCATATAGTATGGCTGAAGGATGATATTTATAAGTGTTAATATTTTAAAAACTAGCAAGAGTCTTTGTGAAACTGATATGTAGATCTCTTATATAATGCAATTTGTTAGTTGCATTTAAAATTTTTTTAAATGCATTATAATGGCTGCCCGAAAAAAAAAACTGGTTGTCATTACCATTTCACACTGCAAGTGTTTATATAATTCTATTACCTCTTTTTCAGTGTCTTTTATATGGTTCCAATCTAAACTGTTATTTTTATATTTTGCAGGGAACCAGTCAAGGGAGTCAGGAATCACTAGACAAACAGTCACAGACAACCAAAAAGTTTGATGCTGTAGTTTTCGATGTATTACGGGTTTCACCGGATGATTATGCTGTAAGCTTTAAACAATTTTAAAAAATCTTTAAAAATATAAGTTATACAAGTGAAATGAAAAGTACTTAAGGAATGACTGTAATATTTTTTCTGTCTATGAAGAAATAACATTAAAAAAATGTGGTGCACACTGAATAACCTGTGACCGCATTTTTGAGGTTATTTCAAAAGACAGAATAAATATTACAGTCATTCCTTATAAATTAATTCTAAAATTTTAAGGAGTAAATTATGAAAAAACGTTGATGATGTCACGGTCACATGACAAAATTATGTCTATGAACTGATAGACAAAAAACATTTAGCAAATCAGAAGATGTGTTCTATCCAAAATTAAATTATATGAACTTATAGCAAAAGTGAACTGAGGTACATCTACTGGATATCAAGTCTAGCAGTTTATGAGAAAGCGTCAGTTTCTTATTTTTTTCTAACAACTTGGTTTTCCATCTTTTTTTTTTTTTAACAACTTGGTTTTCCAATTAGTTCTGTTTTTTGATGGATTTTAGCTGATGTCAATTTGAATTAATTCTATGGTTTCTTGATTGTATACAGTGATTTGCTTCTGGTACTGTCCCTGATGATGGGAACATCACTGGTGGTATACTCATTTAGCAGGAGGCTGAGACCACCCAGCATGGTTCTCGAGGACAAATAGTAAAGATGAATTTCTGAATTTGCCCATTATGTCAAAAAACTAACTCTAAGCCAGGAGGAAATTTTATGTTCAGTCTGGAAAATTTTAATAAATAAAGAGAAAAAGTGGACATTTAAGGTTTCGAATTTCCAAGGTTAAAAAAAGTTCATGAAAGTGACATATTTATTAAGGGGTGGCAAGTTGTTTTCATTCAAACTGATATTTATTTGGAAGTAACCCAATTTTACTTTGTTTGACACACTGGAATTGTTATAAGGGTATTATTAACTGAAGTAAACAGTAAAGTGATATATGTGTTATTTTCTATTTTTCAGTAGTATGTAAACATATCGATTACTTATTTGCATATGTATCAGTACTTATGTATGGTTGTCCTGCTACTTTTTGATGTAAGAAATGAATAGATCTGGCTGTGCTAGTCTAGTCTACAAAATATAAAGAAACATAGTGTTGTTTTAGTCAATTTTGTTGTTTTTCCTGTCTGTCAGTCAATAAACCATTAAACAAGGGAAGCAACTGTTACACGATTTGAAGAACGAATTTTGTTGTTGTACTTGTATGAACTATGACTTTATTTTTATAAACTTTATTTAACCCACATTTTGTATTTGTTTACAGAGTCAGATTACATTGATGGATTTACCTGTGTTCCAGGAGATACTACCTGATGTAAGTTGTCAGGCCATTTACCTTAGCTGCTGTAAACAAAAGTCTTTTAAAATGAGCAAAATTGAGCTGTCAAGCTTGTTTATGGAATAAAACCACTAATTAATGGTCCCATTGCTTTCTATGTTAAATTCCTTAATTTCAAGCTTTCACAGCTCTTTCGTTTTAAGTTCAAATAAAGTGACACTCATTCCATGTCAAAACAATACTTTCTGGTTACCCTTGCTGGAAAAATCATCATACCTTTAATTGCATATAAGACCGCACTGGTTCCCGGAAGTTCGGAAGTACAAAAACAGGTACTTCAGATCTGAGAATCAGGCAATAAATGCCCTCCTGTTTCAATTTCATAAAACTTTTTTATTATTTGATATAATCATTCCACAAAGGTTCTACAATGGTCCACAGTCATTCAGCTTTCATTTGATACCAAAATTACCCAGATATTTTACAAATTTTAAAAGTTACAGCTATGCGTAGGAACTATTTTGTTTGAAATATGTACTACTTTCTTGTATGTTCTTTCAGACCGGGCCCGAATTAGTGGTTCTATACCTATAACAGCACTTTTGCTCAAATAACAGGATTTCAATGCATCAGTCATGTTCCACAATCATTTCTGAGTATGTTTTTAAAATTTCACTTGTTTATATTAGACGGTTACTGAAAAAAATTGAAAAAACTAAGTCCCCTATTTCTGCTGATTCTCATTACAAAAGTCTTTAAAATTGGGTAGTTCACCAGACACATTGATCATCAAAATTGAATGTCTAAAAAGGTTTAAAGTGTAATTTTTTCTCATTATTAGCTCACCGTATGCCTTACCTCATCAAACTAGCCAATAAAATTCTAAAAATATATCATTTAAATTTAAATTAAATTGATTTTATTTTGAAATTTTTGTTAAAAAATGTTAAAGTTCCAGATCTTATGCCAATTTTATTGCCAATCAACTATTTTTGTTTAAATAAAAAGTTGTTAAATGGAAAGAATAATTTATCTTGAGATTAAAATACCATATGTCACTTTAAATCCAATTAATAATCAGCTCTCAGGATGTATTTGCCTCAGCAGGTATAAATTCTAAACCATGTATCAGAACAGAGGTAGGGGTCTAATTTAAGGCTATAATTGTTAAAAAATAAAATATTGTACATATTCTAATGGTTTTTATTGGAGAGTAATAGTTTGACTACAATTTGACAAGTAGAAGAAGTCAGTTCAAGCAGTTTTAAGGGGAATAATGACTCGCAAAAGAAGTAAGTTGTCAAAAATTCATGGTTTCAAAAAGGGTTATGTCCCTTGGAATAAAGGTAAAAAAATTGAATTTATCAAAATATCTAAGAAAAATCAGTTTTGTCGGCATTCTCAAAGTGTCTTTGACCGCAGAGTAAGACAAAGTTCAAATGGTATATTGACAATTGAAAATGTTGATGGAACTCCTGTCGAACAGGTCATCCTTCGGCCAAAGCCCCAGAATCTTGATGTAGTTGACAAGTACCTTCAGGCTGCTAATAACTCTTCTGATGCTTGTCCCAATAAATTGTACACTCCTAAACATGTAGAATCACTTTTCAATTCTGAAATTAGAAACCATATACTTTATAACTCAGATTGTGAAGGTGACTTAAAATTTGATGTAGAAAATGAAAAACAGTGGGGTTGCGTTTGGCGTGAAAGGCTAAAATGCCAAATATGTGATTTTGTTAGCAAATATTACAGATTGTATGATGTTGTTGAAACAAACAAAAGAGGTCCAAAGTCAGCAAAGCTGAATATTCAGATTCAGTGTGGTCTGATAACTTCCCCGATCTCAAATAAAAACTTTAGAGACATTCTTATGATTTCTAATATGGTTCCACCTTCCTCATCTGGCATGCAAAAGACTGCAAACAAAGTTGCAAAACAGGTAGAGGAATTGAATAAAGCAAGTATGCAAGACATAAGGAGAAATTTGGTTGAGGAAAATAAATTATGTGGTCTATCTAATGAAAAACTTGTAAGAGTTGAATCGGACTGTCGATATAACAACCCTCTCATAAATAGCGGCACTACACCGTTTCAAGCTGGTACTCAGGTTGTGTGCACAATGTCGGAAAATAATACTTCGACCAAACAAATTGTGTCACTATTTACGGGTAATAAACTCTGTAGTGTTGCTACTAGGTTGAGAGGGAAGGGTATTGAAATTATATGTCCAAATCATGGAGGTGTGTGCACAGCAAATATAGCTGAAGATGCCTCCATTGGTAATGAGGCAGTATACAGTAGTTCTTGTGCAACCGAGATCAGTGATTACTTGAAAATCTCCCATATAACAACTGATGGCGATAGTAAATCATATCAAGGTGTCAAACAAGTTCACGGTATCAATGTTGAAGCACTTCGTGATGTTCGACATTTATCAGCAACTATGAAACGGGCTATTACAAGGTGCACATTTAGTCCGGATCTTTTTTCTGGTGCAAAGAAGGCCAATCTCAAGAATAGATTTGCACTTGATATTAAAGCAAGGTGTGTTGCAGAATTAAATCAAAGCTTTACTGTGCATCAGGGTGAACTGTATAAAGTTAAGCAGCACATGCCTGAAGTAATTAAAACTATAATAATGTGCTACAAAGGTTATTGTGGATCCTCTTGTAAGGTTAACTCCTATGTGTGTGCTGGTTTGCCTTCAAATCATTGGATAAAGAATTTTATTCCAAACGGTAGCACATGTAGAATGACATGTGATGATGAAGTCAAAGTTGAAAACTGTATAAGAATTTTACTCGGTACCAATAGTTTAAATATTGTACGGTTTCTTACCTCGACACAAAAAAGTGAAGCATTCAATCGTGCACTAAGTCGTTGCAATCCGAAGAATGTGACTTTTTCCAGAAATTTCCCAGGACGTGCACATGCTGCAGTTCACATGAGAAATCATAGATTTGCAAATTCTCTTCTCCTGCTCACTGAAGAGCTTGGTGTTAAAATCACAGCACCAAAAGTACTCATGAATCTGAAACAGAGAGATAGGCATGAATTATACATGTACAAATATCGACGCAGTCATGTTGCAAAGTTGAAACGTGCGATCAGTCGAAACAGAAAGTATCGTTTGCATGCTTCGATACATTATTCGCAGCCTGTATTTTATCGCAAAGGCATGGCTGATCCAAATTATGATAAAAATTGTATGAAAAGAATGTGTGTTACCCATGACAAGTCATATCCAAAGCGACAACCCAGAAAGCATTAATTTTCAGCATGCCCTGTTTGATTGTATAAAATTACTTGTAAATATTGAATATTCTGTATATGGATTGTTAATTTTACTTTTATTTCTACCTTTACAGATTTTATAACATGCAGTCTTTGTACGGTTCGTGCTTTTTACAGCGCAGTGGATAAATTCCACTGCAAACTTGTCGGTCCATATTCACATGATGTGGTTCATAAGACAGGTGCCCAGGGTTCACACAATGGGGTTGGTGACATAAATGTGACACATCCATTAAATGTTCTGACAGTTCAAAATTGTTATTGAAGATCATGTATGCAAATCTATGGCTAAGGACAGTTTTTTTCTTCTCTTCCCATGGCATTTTTACAGACAGGGTTGAATATTTTTGCCCCTTCCCTCCCAGATCACAGGTCCAACAGTTGTGTGGACCATGCACTGTAATACTATTGAAAATTCTCTCTTTTTGCATGGTTTTCCACTGCTCAATATTCATTCTTGATAAATCATTCAAAATATTCAGAAAAATATTCAAATTTTTTACCTCAATGTCAAGGGTGCACGTGCAGATTCCTGTAATAGGAATAAAACCACTAATTAATGGTCCCATTGCTTTCTATGTTAAATTCCTTAATTTCAAGCTTTCACAGCTCTTTCGTTTTAAGTTCAAATAAAGTGACACTCATTCCATGTCAAAACAATACTTTCTGGTTACCCTTGCTGGAAAAATCATCATACCTTTAATTGCATATAAGACCGCACTGGTTCCCGGAAGTTCGGAAGTACAAAAACAGGTACTTCAGATCTGAGAATCAGGCAATAAATGCCCTCCTGTTTCAATTTCATAAAACTTTTTTATTATTTGATATAATCATTCCACAAAGGTTCTACAATGGTCCACAGTCATTCAGCTTTCATTTGATACCAAAATTACCCAGATATTTTACAAATTTTAAAAGTTACAGCTATGCGTAGGAACTATTTTGTTTGAAATATGTACTACTTTCTTGTATGTTCTTTCAGACCGGGCCCGAATTAGTGGTTCTATACCTTATGCAACAAATTTTTAAAGAATGTAATTTTAGAAAAGTTTGCAATGTTTTTATTGACGCAAAAATTATGTGGAAAAGGGATTCACAAAAATAAAACCACACATTTAAATACAAAGCAATATCTTCATGTATAATTTTCTGCAATGGCAAATTTAAATTGTTTGTACATTGTTCAACTATCTCTATAATAAATGCACACAACTTTTTGGAGGAAATTTAGGGGTATTAATGAGACCTCTTGCTACTCAATAATGAAAACTTTTATCCCAGATTTTTATGCCCCACCTAGGGGCATTATGTTTTTCGGTCTGTCTGTCCGTCCATCTCTTCGTCAGTCTGTTAGTCCATCTGTTCGTCCGTCTGTCCCGCTTCAGGTTAAAGTTTTTGGTTAAGGTAGTTTTTGATGAAGTTAAAGTCCAATCAACTTGAAACATAGTACACATGTTTCCTATGATATGATCTTTCTAATTTTAATGCCAAATTAGATTTTTGAGCCAATTTCACGGTACACCGAACATAGAAAATGATAGTGTGAGTGGGGCATCCATGTACTATAGACACATTCTTGTTTTAAGTAAAAATGAATATATACTTGTTTACTCCTGTTGCTCTCACCACAAAATATCTTATGACTGAAATCGGTTGTAAGTTATTTTGAAATGTTCATGACCTACGAGTATTTTTTCTCGTAAGATTCTTTGTAAAGTGAGTTGTTTGACTGTAGATAAGTATTGATATCAATGAACAGCTAATCTCCCACCTTCTACCTATCTTTGAATGGAGGATGATATCACAGAGCTGTTGTGGACATTTTCTTCAGAGTAAAAATCTAATATACGACAGACCCAAACTCTTTTCAATTTGCTTTTTACGAATATATCAGAAAATTAATTCCTCTACATCTTATATGTATGAACCAATATAACCTTACCTGAGTTGCATGCTTATCTAATAATTTCATCTGATTTGTTGGGGTGTCATATTAAGACAAGGTATAACCTGTTATCATATTCATCTAAAGAATAATTTGTGTAGGAGAACGACAAGGGAAGGAGAATTCTGTGTCAACAACTATCTGTCAAATGTCAAGTTTAAAATAGGTCAACGTGTCAAGTGTAACATAGTGACCAAATTTGTATCTGGTACAAACATGAATCAGTTTAATTTATTCTTTTAATATGTTTACCTTTGATAATTGTTTAAAATGTTTCATAAAATATATATAACATTTCATTATGAATGTCTGTCTTTGAAATAACATAATAGTTTGGCTGTATTAGTAGAGAGCTAATTTTAAGACATGCAGTAAAAAGGGGAATATGCTTTGAGCTTACCTATGTAAAATATATGTCTAGACTACAACAGTTAAGATAAACTATATATGATGATACACTCTCCTCTAACGATGGTTGGTTCACTTCAATTTCAAACAAGTAGCCTTGATCAAAATCTCTATATTTACATTTAAGGTGGTACCCAACACCTTGACTTATATTAATTTGGCTTGTTTAATTTTCATAAAATTTTGACAAAATGTTTACTTTGACCCTTTGACAAAAATATAAAAATTTCAAAAAATTTGAACCAACCATTTTATCAGAAAAATTTCATTGGTTATATAGCAGTTTGACAAACACTAATTTTGATCATTGAGAAGCTTAATATTTCCTTAACAATACAACGTTATTAAAACGTTTAGCTAATTTTTACAGAGTTATCTCCCTGTAGTGTTAGGTACCACCTTAACTGAGATCTGTCAATCAAAATAACGGATGATATTCTTCATCATCTGTTACGTTATTAGTTATTTATTAAATATAAATGTTAGTTAAGAATCAATTGATAGCTTGACATTTTGAATAGACAATGCTAAGAACCTTATGTTGACTGCAAACTATATTTTGAGTTGGAGGGTTGCTGTCTCATTTCTGTATACCCCACATTTCATTTTGATTATGTTCACACGCTGGTTTAGAGCATGCAGAATTTAAAAGAAGTGAAATAAATGGTAATAGCATTCATAGTTGTGAAAAAAATTATAAAAGCATTCATAAATGTAAAAAAAAATGTACTGAGTAAAAATTAAAGAGATAGATATTAACCAAAATTTTTTTTAAATCTTCTAAAAATGACCGCAAATATAGTGCATATAAAGAATTTTCAATAAAGTGATTTTTATATTTTTTCAGGAACTCACATCATGTGCATGGACAACAAAGGAGAAATTGATAAAAGCCCCAAATGTGGTGGCTTTTACTAGGAGATTTAATCATGTAAGTTTATTACTAAGAATGATAAGACATATCTAATGCATGTTTTTGTTCTTACTGTTCTGACATCATATAAACAGCTAACATATATAGGGATATGCAGTTAGTTGGTGGGTTAAAGTTTAGATCACATTCAGAGGTCATGATAAGTAGTTTTACAATACATGTATCAAACTTGAAATTTGACTTTTCCAGTAGAATTTATTTTCTTGTATGTTAGTTTTACAGTTAATAAAAAAAAGTATACCAAAAAACTGACAAAATTCAATGTTATCAACCAACGGAACGAGTGAAAAACATATTTGTTGGCAATAAGAGCAAAGAAGAGTTTTATTGTATATACACAGTAATACAAATACATGTTCTACAGCAGCACAAATAAAAGTTTGTATTTAAAAGTATGATAGTTCTGATAGTGAAGTCTCTCTTGGAATAAACAAGCCTTTAGAATCTGTCAAAAATAAATATTAAAATTAATTGTACAATAATATCTTAATGAACATACTGTTTTTTACTTGCAGGTAAATTTTTGGGTTCAGCGAGAGATTTTAAATTGTCAGACTCTGAATACCAGAGCTGAAGTTTTGGCTCATTTTATAAAAATTTCCAAGGTAAGTTGTGAAGTCTTCGCTAAACCAGGTTCCAAGCAACAATAAGAAAATTCACATAGAAGTGCTTTCATTTATCAGCAAAAAGTTCAGATTTTGGCAGTTAAACCAGAAAAAGTCAAGATAGTACAGCGATTCATATTGCCATACAAAAGCAGTGATAAAGTATTAATTTGATGACTGAAAAATAGACACAATTAATATTTCAATCCAAATCCATAACTATGAAACATCTTCTGAAAGTTCTACTGCATCTGGAAAATTTGGGATAATGACACTATTCCTGTGTAATCGAAACCAATTGTTCATTTAAGAATAAGAGAAAAAATGAAATAATTATTTATTACTTCTATGTAAATCAGATGAAGACGTCTCATATCTTGTTAGCCCTCAGATGTGAGAAGCCTACATCTAATACAAACATTCACGCTTCTTTTTAATTAGTAATGAACCATTGTTCATTTACTAAAACAGCTACATTGTTTCTTTTTATTAGAGATATGACACACAAGTTTCCAAACATACCTCATACAAAGTACCAATATCAACATTAGAACCTCTATAAGGAATATGTGCTCTGAACTACAGTCATAAGAATGATAAGCGATAACAAATGTTCAAAATTTCATCGACCATTAAAGCAAATTAAAATAATCCATCAGTTTTAGAATTTTTTAGAAATATGAAAAAAGAAGAACTTGTAAGACTAAAAACATGCTCATTATCTCTTTCTTAATTAATGATAGAAATAATGAGGTCATCCAAAATATTGAGAGTTGACATTTACATACATTGATTTAACAATGAAATTAAAGTGTTAGTGACCACAAGTGTTCCATTTATTGACAAAAAATAACGTTTGAAATCAAATTAGAATAAAACAGTACTCATTGTATTTTTCAGAGATTATTAAAATTTAAATTATGCACATTTTTTTTTTCAGAGATTATTAGAATTAAATAATTTACATGCAGTTATGGCAGTCATATCAGCTTTACAGAGTGCTGCTATTTTTAGATTGTCCAAGACCTGGATGGTAAGAAAGCTGTTTGGACTTTTTCATACTTTATGGTGTCTTATTTTCAGGCTGCATCCTTAAAGTTCCTCAATTGTTAAAAGAATATGAACATCTAGCCCAAACATGTTTAGTAAGGTTTCCAGTCTAAGCACATTAGAAAATACAATGAGAAATCACACATTGTTCACATAAATCATAAAACTGTTAAAATAAGATAACATAGTTTTAACTTCACAAATTATTGAGAGGTTTTTATTCATGTGAATAATGCTACTTGGTGATTATCGCAATAATAACTTGCATTCTGATATCTGATTTATATATATCTGTATGCAGATTTTCCTGAAATTGCATTACTTAATCTCACATTTTTGTCTATTCCTCAAAAAATCGCAATAATAAATGCATGCAATCATTTCTGAATTTACAGTTATCTTTAAATTTAGTTCACTAATTGAGAAGTTTAGCATATAGCTAAAGAATAGTAAGCGTTTAACCAAAAACACTGAACATTTATAATGAAGAAAGCAGATGAAAGTAATAGAATACAACATTAAAAAGTTATGTATTGCAGAGGATAATAAAAAGAGATAATATAATATAGAAATAATTTAAGACTGTACATGCATGTTAGATAAATTTGTTAAAGTCAATTTAAACAATCTTCATCAGCTGTTTTTCATTGTTCAACATTCCACATTTTGGAGCTTCTAGATTGTTCAATAGAAATTTGTAAAACCAATATGAAATATCATTTGTTAAACAAGTTAAAAGTAAAAAGATCATTATAATGTTATGCATTTATTTACATGCAAATTTTTAGCCTGCTCTGCTTCAATATGTTAAAAATTGTTTCTCCTATACAGGCAAGTACACTGTTAGATTTACAAATTGATGTAATGACAAAGTACTTTATTATTTCAGAAACTTTCCAGAAAAGATAAAGCTATATATGAAAAAATTGCTGATTTATTTTCTGAAAACAACAACAGACAACGATTACGAGATTACATGGAAAATGTTAAATTACCATGCATCCCATATTTAGGTTAGAATTCTAAATTATATAAAGCAATTCCCTAGTGTGAGAAAACATCAATGTCACCAAAGTATAGTACATGAGTTAGATAAATTATAAAAGAACAATCCCCCCTCCCCAAATAACAAAACAAAACAAAACATAAACTTGATAAAGAGACATGTAGAAAAAATATCCAAAATTTTGAAATTTGGCTTAATAAATTGGTATTTATTTTGTCTAACTCCTGTTCTAGAATGTGTGGTATTTATTGGAGGTACACATATTTGCCTCAATATGAAAATTGATACAACATGACAGTAACAACAACATGTGAAATACTGTTGGATACATTAACATTCCTAAGAAACTTGGTCAATTGTTTCTGCCAGTTAGTTAGCTTATTATAATGTCATGCATCACTACACACTAAAAACTAGGTAAGCTGATATAAGGGAGATAACAACATTTTTTGTCCAGATTTTGTTGCTGTCCTAATCTTTAAGTTAAGTTTTGGATACTTAGACCAGATGCTTGTGATAGAGATTGGACATGTCGACAAAAACATATTTATACAGGAATAGTTAATTGCTCTTAAATGACTGTAGCATATTTAACTTTATAACTACAAGAATTCAGGTAAATACTACTTTACATCGGGAAGAAGTCTGAAACTAAAAGTATATAGAGTCAAGTACCGCTTAGCAAGAATCTCTATATAAAAATATATTTCTTTTACATTATAGAAACTCCCCATCCCCCTCTCCCACCCCAAACTCAGTGAAGGGTGTTGATAATAAAAAGTCCATTAACAATTTATTATTTTGTCTTTCAGGTTTATATTTATCAGATTTGATCTACATCGATGTGGCACACCCTCACTCTGGAGGACTAGAGAGCCACCCCCGGAGATTACAGATGAATAATATATTGAGAGTTATAGCCGACTTTCAACAATCCAGTTATGGTAAATTCTAGTACTAATAATTCTGTGAACATGTAAATCAGAATTTATAAGTCTTCTTTAAATAAATATACTAAAAATGCATTTATTACTTTACTTTATAAGTTTCAATAATATAAAATGTCAGTCTTGTATCAGAAACTTATATATCCATTTAATAAAGAAGAATACCAAAAGATGAACACAATTATACAACTTTGTATTAAAAAAAGATATAAATATTATGTTTATATGGAAGAAGAAAATGAACGTCAATGAGACAACAACACAAGTTTACCAAATATAGATAAAGTGAGTTAATACTAGTTTATTTGTTTTTTTTCAGATTATTTACCAGTATTAGATCATGTTCAGAATTATTTAAAATCTGTCCGTTACATAGAGGAATTACAAAAATTTGTAGAAGATGATAATTACAAGTATGTATAATGTATAAAATCTGTCTGTTATATAACCTGAAAGAAGTTTGCCATCATGTTTGTTGAAGCTTTTTTTCATGTCAATGCTTCCCCACTGTACCGATCATTTATGCTCCTAAGAGCTTTTTGAGTTTGTTATTATACATCTTTGGTATTATCTACATACAAATGTGGAATATATGAAGGAAGGATAAAGACGGGAATTTACTTTAGGCTCTTTATACATATGTGATAAAATGGAACAATAGGAAAACTCAATTACTTCTTTAGGAGGTTATGCTATTCTTAGAAAACGATGATAAAACAGGTCATTGCCAAATCTAATATCATATCCATGAAATTGCGTTGCGAATAAGTCTTTCTCTTGTATAACTAAGAAGTAATTTTATAGTTGCAAAAAATTTGAAATCAAATTCATAGTAAGGCATATGCTTTCTTACAAATTGAAAATTATTTATGTCTTTTCAGACTTTCATTAAAAGTTGAACAGCCAATGAGTGAGAACCTTTCATCATCAAAAGAAGATATACAGATAATGGTGGCACCCCCTTCTCCTGCAACAGAACCTCGTAATGTGTTGACTTCATGTGCTGGTTTAACAAAAAATGGTCCCTCACACAGAAAAACTAAAAGTTTAAGTGCAAAGTACGTTATAGAAAAAGTGTTTTTACACATCTTTATTATAATGTTATGGTTATAAGTATTATACAAATTACCTGAAAAGTGAGATCTACAGCTGTGTATTTTAAATGTAAATTGGACCCATTAACAGAGATTGACTTTAAGAAACATGCAATAAGGTACAATGAAACAAGCCTCTTAACACTTATGATGTTGCAAGACCTGAAATATAGAGATCCCAAATGCTTTGTTACTTTCCCTCACATGTTGCTGTACAATTTTGTAATGGCTTTGTTATGAATTGTTGCTTAATGAAAGACTATTTTTCTCGATCTGCATGGTCAATATCCACTGTATATATTAAATGTCTATAAATTATTTTTGACAGTTTCCTGAGTTGTCATAAACCTGCATCAGATAAAACCTATAGTTTACCCAGTAAAGCAACGGCACCTTATATCCAAGGCATTAGACATCTTCTGGACGACAGTGTCCTGGAGGAATCACCGTGTGCCTCAAGTGATGGCTCAATATGTGGTAGAATCTCTGGTAAGTAATTGCTGAGTGAGAAAACAATCTCTGGTATGTTTCATTTAAGTGCCTATCTGCCTAAGATTCAGACAGTGGTGAAAACAAAAACCCACTCAAACTTGCATAAATTTAAGTTCAAAATGTATAATGGTGCACAAATATGATATTTGTTTCCTTTTCCTGTTCTGGTATTTCAAGATAAAATTTGGTTGAAATGCTCTAGAAATTAACAATTATGGGGCGCTAACTCTGTAATTTGCTATCATTATGCCCCTGCCTTAGGCAACGAGGGCGTTAAGTGTTACCCTTGAATGTCTATTCTTCCGTCTGTCTTTCCATCCATCCTATTTTCCTTTCTGCACTCTAACTTAAGTTTGCCTCATGCAAATTTTTTGAAACTCATACACAATGCTGAAAACCAAGACTCGCAGACAGATTTCAAATTTGGACTGTGAGTCATTTACCGTTGTAGAGCTTGAGCGGGGGCATTGGTGTCCTCAGACACTTTCTTCCTTTATTCTAACCAAATTTTATCAGATATTTCTTGAATTACTAGAGACGTAGAAACAAAAGACCTACAATTTCTAACTCGAGATGAGGGTGACTCCATAATAAGATGGTTAGGTCGGCCATGTTTTGAAATTCTTCTAAATTGTCTGATTCTTACAATTACTGACACTTTACTGATGTCACAGTCTGTGGTAAAATCCGTGGTACTTGGCATTCCACTATGATTTACATTGCTCAGGTTTTAATGCAGTCTGTGGTTCATACAACTTAAAAAGCAACTTCTTTGGTTGTGGTAAATATCTTTGTGAAGTTCAACTAAAAAAATATTAAATGCATGCCAATTTTGAAAGGGAATTGTACATAAAGAATATCACAAGTTTCAGAATAAAGCAATATCTGTGTTAAATATCCCACCGATTCGTAATGAAAGGTATTCCAAAGGAGGTTAATCTTTGTTTGATATTAAAGGCCTTTGATGTTAATATATCGATTGATAGAGCTTTTTGTCGAGCCTGCGACTTTTGTCGCAGAAAGCTCGACATAGGGATAGCGATCCGGCGGCGGCGGCGGCGGCGTTAGCTAACTTCTTAAAAGCTTTATATTTTAGAAGATGGAAGACCTGGATGCTTCATACTTTGTATATGGATGCCTCATGTTACGAAGTTTCCGTCAGTCACATGTCCAATGTCCTTGACCTCATTTTCATGGTTCAGTGACTACTTGGAAAAAAAGTTCAGATTTTTTGTAATGTTAAATTCTCTCTTATTATAAGTAATAGGATAACTATATTTGGTATGTACGTACCTTGCAAGGTCCTCATGCCCGTCAGACAGTTTTCACTTGACCTCGACCTCATTTCATGGATCAGTGAACAAGGTTAAGTTTTCGTGGTCAAGTCCACATCTCAGATACTATAAGCAATAGGTCTAGTATATTCGGTGTATGGAAGGACTGTAAGGTGTACATGTCCAACTGGCAGGTGTCATCTGACCTTGACCTCATTTTCATGGTTCAGTGGTTATAGTTAAGTTTTTGTGTTTTGGTCTGTTTTTCTTATACTGTATGCAATAGGTCTACTATATTTGGTGTATGGAATGATTGTAAGGTGTACATGTCTAGCTGGCAGGTGTCATCTGACCTTGACCTCATTTTCATGGTTCAGTGGTCAAAGTTAAGTTTTTGAGTTTTGGTCTTTCTTTCTAATACTGCATGCAATAGGTCAGCTATATTTGGTATATGGAATGATTGTAAGGTGTACATGTCTAGCTGGCAGGTGTCATCTTACCTTGACCTCATTTTCATGGTTCAGTGGTCAAAGTTAAGTTTTTGAGTTTTGGTCTTTTTTTCTAATACTATATGCAATAGTTCAACTATATTTGGTGTATGGAAATATTTTATGATCTATATGTCAGTCATGCAGGTTTTATTTGACCTTGACCTCATTTTCAAGGTTCATTGCTCAGTGTTAAGTTTTTGTGTTTTCGTCTGTTTTTCTTAAACTATAAGCAATAGGTCAACTATATTTGTTGTATGGAAGAATTGTTAGCTGTACATGCCTGCCTAGCATGGTTCATCTGACCTTGACCTCATTTTCATGGTTCATTGGTCAATGTTTAGTTTACTTGGTTAATGTTAAGTTTATGTGACAGTTGTAATAAAGCTTTATATTTAGGACTATCAACATAATATCAATGATTAGTAAAGAAGGCGAGACATTTCAGCGTGTGCACTCTTGTTATGTTAGTCTATTGATTGATAGAGCTTCTGATGTTAATATATTGATTGATAAAACTTTTGATTTTAATATATTGATTGGTAAAACTTTTTGATGTTAATCTATTGATTGATAGAGCTTCTGATGTTGATCTCATTTTTATTGATATTGACTCTGATGTTAATCTATTGATTGATAGAGCTTTTGATGTTGATCTCATTTTTATTGATATTGACTCTGATGTTAATCTATTGATTGATGGAGCTTTTGATGTTAATACTCTGATTAATGTTTTTATAGAAAGTGCTGATACAGCAGATACCAGTTCAACAGATCAGGAGACTTTTTGGCCATTGAGAAGTCAGTAAGTAAACCAGTTCTATGATATAGAAAACCCCCAAAATGGGGGTAATATAGGCACCAACCAACGAGATATTTTGAATTAGCATATATCACTGTAGAGTTGATGTCAACATATGCCCTCTTAAAACCCTTGTTTAACTGACATTCACAGGTGCCTACTAAAATCATTGTACAGCTGACATAAGACCACTAAATGCGTCTTTCTTACTTACTTTCAACTGAAATATTCATGAAATACAGCAGCTAATGTCATCTGAAAATGAACTCATTACTTCTGTTATATATAATTTTAGAATCATAGTTACTTTAAAACTTTCATATGACATGATTTATTTGTTTAGATATGTACTTTAAATTTGTATTTTTTGAAAAATTACAGTATCCAGAGCCCATTCTTGAATCTTTTTATACTTTCTTCATACTAACTACATCTTAAAATCTCGACAGATTGACTTTGTTTCTGTGTTACTGTTTTAATCATAATGTGTGTTTCATTTTGTCAGGCAATGGAGGGAATCTGATGAAATGCAGAACAATTACCGACAAAACTTTACCTGTGAAGGTTGTTTACGGAGAAGAACTATTTTAAAAGATGGCAAAAAACCAACTGTAAGTTCATTTTACTGACATTCATTCTCCATTATTGCAATGATTTAATCAGTTAAGTTATTTTTTTCTGATTTTTACTTCAGAGTAAGTTTTTTTACCATGTGTGGCAACGACTTATTTAAATTAAAAACCTTCCCATGTTTTTTTTAAGATATGTTAAATAATTCAAGAAGAAACTATGGTAAAACACTGGTGCTGATTGTATTGTATGTTTCTTTCAGGTTTCATCGTGGACAAGATACTGGGTAGCCTTATGGGGAACGTCATTATTATATTATCCTGCCAAGACATTACGAGGGTCAGAAAGATCATGTGTAAGTTAATTGTTATGATAAATAATTATATTAAAATGAAGTTATAGTTAATTTTGTTCATTTATTTCTCGTTTTCCTATAAAAGTGTTCAAATTGAATAAACGTAGTCATTTCCTATTTTAATCCAATTGAAATACATTATAAACTTCAATAGTTTCACAGTCTGTTCAAAACTTTTTAATCGGAAGTAAGATTGAAGACATAAGATGACATGAAGCTATTTTGCAGAAATTGGTTGTTAAATAATGACACAATATTGTTTGAAGAATAGTAATTCATGGAGGACACACACATGTATTGTGAATTAAGTAAAACACTACTACAATCTTGCTAAAACTGGTCAATTATAATTATATGTATTACAGTTTAAAACAAGTCCCACAAAAATGACATCAATAGTCGGTTGGATGGTAGTAATGGGAGATAATCCACTTCAACCAGATGCATTCCAGCTCACAGATCCAATGAAAGGTAAAACAATTCTCTTTAAACAAGTGTGTGCAAATAATAAACATCTCTTAATGAAATGTTAGGGTATTTATATAAAAATAAGATGTGGTATAATTGCCAATGAGACAACTCTCCACCAGAGACCAAGTGACACAGAAGTTAACAACTATAGGTCACCGTACGGCCTTCAACATTTGTTTACATTTATAATGTTTGGGATTATTTTACAGTATTCTAGTACATGTATTCCTATAGTAATATTAAAGTGTACAATTTTACAAATATAGATTAAATAAATAAAAGGAGATGTTGGTCAAGATATATTAGATATGATGAGTAGGAAATATGATTGTATCAAAGTTGCAAATTAATCATGAGGTGAACCAGTAAAATCAATTGTAAGTGCAAAAAGTTGAGGTCAATTATATTTTCTTTAATTGAAATGTAGCTACATAAACCTACAGATAAGTACTTTTTTTGTTTTCAGGCAATGTTTACAAGTTTCGATGTGGAAGTCAGGCACAGGCTTTACAATGGTGCAGACATTTAAGTGATGCCACAAACAGGTTCCAACCACAGGTAATGTTATTATTGTCAATCAGTGGTGAAATAAGATGCAACGGCACAAAATTCTAACTTAAGTTGAACTCTAAATGTGTGGTAATGTAAGATTATCATTATTTCTTCTGTATGTAAACAAAGATATATAATTTAAAAGGGCCGTTAATAAAGAGATAAATAACAACCAGTATTTTAACATTTTTTTGATAGACATTTGATCGTGGTTGTCAAATTTGCAGACATAAAATTAGCATTCAGTAACATAAGGCTAATGCTAAGCCTACAGAAAATACCACTGCCTAAGGATTCAGGGCTGTAGTTTTAAACACTTTGTTTAGTGTGATAAGAGTATATAAAGAATTCTCTTTTAGTTGGCCGATTCTTACAAAGATTTTCAAATTTTATTGGCTATTTTCTCATAATCTGTAGCACTCACATATTTGAGTCATTATTAATAAAGAATTATATATGTGCTGCTTTATATGTTAAAAGAAATGATTCAACAATATTAGGGTATTTATATAAAAATAAAAATTAATCTCAAAACATGAAAATATGTGTCTAAAAGTTATAAAAGCCAAATTATGTTTACACTTGCTTGAACTATATGCTGCCATTGTATAATACCAAAGTTACAACAACAAAAAAAACAGCTGTTTTAGTGATTTTTGGAAGCCTTTGAAGTTTTTGAATGGTCAACTTAATGGAGCTGAATTCTTCTGAATGTTCAATAAATATAAACAAGTATATTGAGGGTAGATCAACAGAACATGTCAATAAAAAAATATATGGTATGCCTTTTTAATGTTTGATGTGATGTTTGCTTCATGAAGGGTTTTAGTAATTAAGTTCTGAAGAGATGTATTTTTCAATTTTCGTTCATATTTTTTTTACATTTCAGACTCCTGCCAATTTGATGTCATTTGACTGAGAGTTCTGATTTACAAATGGTGGGAAGTTCATTATAGTGGTACCTTTACCGAACATTGTGCCAAATGTTTGCCAAAATATGTGATGAAGGAAGATGTCAGGGTTGCCATAGTGACAATACTCAGTCCCTTCTGTCATAATAAATGATGGCAGTGATAGCATTACACTCTATTATCTAAATATGGTCATCATATCCATATATGGACATATACTTTAGTAAGAGTGTATTATCCTTTCAAGGGAACCAGTCATAATAAACAGTATTTTAATGCCAGTTATTATTTACTATGTTTCTGAATCATGTGATAAATACAGCATAATATATATCAATGCTTTACCATAAGGTTCATTGCCTTTATTGGTTTCCATGAGAAATAATGTCAAATGTCTGTCGTACCATGGTTACAGTTTCAAATTTCAACTTTTTTCCATTCATATAATGTTATGGACTCCTGAGATAATAATTTTGAATGTCAGCTTGTTCCATTGTAGCCTTGTCAAATATTACGTATTTTTAGGCTAACAGTGTAATTTTTCAGCTGCTACCCTGGTAACAGGTTGAAATATATTTTTTTAAACTGTTAATAGTTTTGACATAAGTACTTGTTTTTTTTTTTCAACTAAGAGGTGTTTGACAGTACCGTGTAAGCTGTATTAATTTATCTACTGTCATTAATCAAATTTAATTCCTGATGCAGGATAGGTTTGTCACAGGTTATTAGTTATGTTATTTGTAATTTCAGTTCTCAGTTAACTAAAATTACTTTCAAAAGAAAACTGTGAACAATTAGAATTATGATAGATATAAAACATTCCATATTTGGAAATTTTGATATTTGCAGAGTAAATATGATTTAAAATATGATAAATTTATTCATATTTCATTTCGATATGCAATTGTTTGTTGACAATTTTATGCAGTAACCATTTTTAACAAGTATGTGTATCTTTTCCTTATTCATTTGATAACACCATTTGTTACTGTCCACTCTAAGCATCCCTATTAAATAAAGAATACAAGATCTTCCAACATACTTTAATGACTTGTCCCTGTCTTTTACTATATGGTACATTAATATGCTATGCAATTTGAAGCTTGGGATTGTCAGGTTATTTGCCATCTTGCTTGTAATGAATAGATTTGCCAAAGTTTGGGGTGACTGCACTTAATTTGTTGACGTCTGCTGTTGGATGTATTTTTTTTTAATGACATTGTATATCATGTTTAGTAGAAAATCGGTTAAATTGTATTTGAATTTTATAAAACATTACGTCATTAAATAAAAAAATAAAAATTTTACTGAGACATTTCACAGAATACAAATATATATAGGGATGTAAAATATCTTATAAATATTGTTAACACAGTATTTAACATTGATGTATATTTTACACTATGTAAGCAAAATTTTATGTTTTGTTCACATTTTAATACAAAATCATGATTATAGAAATTTCATTTAAAATACGGGTTAAAGTGCAAAGTTTAATAAATTGAAATAGTTGCTTACAATTTCATGGTATCATTATGCAGGGCTTTTGTTTGTTGGGTAAAATCTTCTTATTACTTTCTAGAAGTTAGATTTTGAAATACTCGTTATTTTAAAGATGGTGCTTTTTTAAACAGACATCTGCTGAGATTTTAGTGCTATTTTTTGTGTGCTTAATGTAGTGAGTGTTTTGTAAAGGCTCTTGAAATAGTCAACACAAGTTATCTCATTTAAAAAAATTAATAATTTGTTAAAAAATAAAAATGAAAGTTTCTTTTTATTTTATTGTGCAAGTCAAAGTAACAATTATCTATTTTTATAAAAAGTGGAGTAAGACATTTTTGTTCAAATAATTACAGGTGCTCTTAAAAAGGAGCTCTCAAGACCTGAATTGCTCAAAGGAAACTTGAGTGTAATTAACCCTGATCAAACAGTTCATTGAACAGGAACCCATGTCCAGCTTTTCAAAGCAAAGGAACTTTGATATGAACAGATAATTTTTAATGGATCTAATTTTTATATGGCCTATGCAAAAGACGAATCTTAATCTTATAACTGCGAGGGGCAGCTTGAGAAAATTGAATTTGAAATACATTATTCTAAATAACACAGGTTAAAACCATGTCAGCTTTTGTTATTCTGTTGTTTTATTTTGTGTATAAGGTTTTATAATTTATTGCTTATTATGTGCAATATTGTCTTTTAATAATCATAACATATTTGTTTCATGTGTGACATTCACACATTGTGTATACAGTCATGAGAGCGTTAGAATATCTTGTTTACTCTCATTGTATATTTAAATGTAATGGAACTCTTCAAATCTGACACAAAATGTTATTAACATTATTTTAAATATTTTGGTCCTTATGGCCTTAGTTTAAATTCCTATGCATTCAGTCAGAGATGATTTCTGTTTAACTGAATTCAGTTATTTTGTTTCCTGAATTACTTTTTTTTAAAAATGCTGAACTATTAATAGGTGGGTGAAAATGAAAGGGGTTTTAGGTATGAATTATACTTCACCTCCTCAGCTGATCTGTGAAGAAAGCAATGATAGCCCCTTCCTTTGTTTTTAGTACATGTATGTTATGAGTTTTTTTTCCTCATTTATACATACCTATTTTCTTCTTCTTTCAAATTACATTTTTATATGAATTATGTTATAATATAGTTATAAGTTACAGGGTAAATTTATTATTATTTGTAATGAATTTTGATTTTAAAGTAAATACCTAGTTTTGTGAGACATATTTGTTTATTTTAAAATACATGTAATTGCCAATTTTATCAACTGAAAACGGTTAACTAACAGAAAGTTAAATCTTTGCTTACAAGGCCATAGTATGTGATATCCCATTTTCCACTGAGCAAACAAACTTATTTATATTGAATTGTTTTATAATGTTTGTTGTGAAAATACTGTAGTAAGTTCTTTACTATGATTGTTATTATTTTTGGCATGCATAAAAATATTAGAACTTATATAAAAAAAAATTGTACTGGTATAGGTTATACCAAAATATTTATGTAAACTATTCACAATTGCTTCATAAAACATTTACTAAACTTCATGACGAAAAAATAAAAAAATATAAATTAAATTTTGTATTTCCTTTCATAGGTAGCCCTTGGTTTTTGAAACATGAACTATTCATGGCTTTCAATCTTCGATCTAAGGTCCTATCTTATGTGTGTTTATGTGAATTAAATGCTGTCAGTTCTATAATGGAATCACCTCAACAGTTTTTTAAGTTTGTATCGTTCTTTTTGTAAACATTTGATGTTGCAGGTAATTACAGATTTGTTAGTCTGTAAAATTTATTCAAAACATGGCTGCACTGGGTTAGTAGGTCTTGACATATGGTATGGACAACCATCACGTTAACCTTTAGATGTCAAATGGTTTAATTGTTGGTTGTTGTTTTCATATCTCCCCATTTATTATCAGTGATGTTCATGATACCCTATTTTGCTGAAGACATTCTCTATAGATTAGGAACTCTGATAAACAAACTTGTTTGTACATACCCATTTTAAGTCAGGAGCCTGTAATTCAGTGGGTGTTGTTTGTAGCTGTATATCATATTTGTTTTTTCGTTTATTGTTGTTTATTGTGAACATAAATCAGGCTGTTAATTTTCTCATTTGAGTTTTTTTACATTTTTCTTGTCCGAGCCTTGTATAGCTTGCTATGCAGTATGGGTTTTGCTCATTGTTGTAGGCTGTATAGTGACCTGTAGTTACTAAGTTGTACACCATTTGATCTCTAGTTGAAAGTTGTCTCATTTACAATCATACCACATCTCCTGATTTCTGTGGGCATGATATGTATTGAATGACATCATTAGGTATGCTCGAAACTAAATCTAGAAGCCAGATACAAAAGCATGACACCTGCTACACAGCTTTACATTTATGTACATGCATGAAAACATCAGTTAATGATACAAGATTTTTGTCTTGCCTTTGATGAATGATGTAGGTTGTGAGATGTTGGGATGCTAATCCTGTGGCACAGTGGCATTATCTCTTTGCATGAAGCTTTGATTTCAACAGGTAGAAAAGAGGCAGAAGATACCAAAGGGAAATTCAAAATGGATACGAGTCGAAGAGAAACTGACTAAAGCCATGACAAAAAACAAAACATAAAATAACAAAAAGACAAAACACTACCGGTACATAGAAATCAAGACTGACCAAATGGACCCCATAAAAAAGGTCGTTATCTCAGGAGCTCTAGAAGAAGCCCTGGATACTTCATATCTTGAATATAGATGCCTTATTTTAAGAAGTTTCTGTCTGGAAATATCTCCATTGTCCATTTACCATGACTTCATTTTCATGCTTAAGTTTTTGTCTCCCCTTGACGGAGTCAAAAAGCGAGACATAGGTATGCTGTTTCCGGCGTCAACAATGTATTAGTTTGTGATTAGGTCTAGTTCATGGTGAACCACTAGTGGTAGGTCAATGATATTTGGTATGCAGTTGTATAAGCATTGGCATATCTCATTACCATGGAGATTATTTGGCCCTGCCCCCTCAGTCAAGGTCTATTGACTTTGAAACTTTGCTTAGTTTACATGTATTAGTTTGTGATTAGGTCAGTTTATGGGGAACCACTATTGGTAGGTCAATGATATTTGGTATGCAGTTGTATTAACATTGGCACATCTCATTACCATGGAAATTATTTAACCCTGCCCCTCAGTCAAGGTCTTTTGACTTTGAAACTTTGCTTAGTTTACATGTATTAGTTTGTGATTAGGTCAGTTTATGGGGAACCACTAGTGGTAGGTCAATGATATTTGGTATGCAGTTGTATAAGCATTGGCATATCTTATTTCCATGGAGATTATTTGGCCCCGCCCCCTCATTCATGGTCTATTGACTTTGAAACTTTTGCTTAGTTTTCATGTATTAGTTTGTGATTAGGTCAGTTTAAGGGTAACTGTTAGTGGTAGGTCAATGATAATTGGTATGCAGTTGTATAAGCATTAGCACATCTCATTTCCATGGAGAATATTTGGTCCTTACCCCTCAGTCATGGTCTATTGACTTTGAAACTTTTGCTTAGTTTACATGTATTGGTTTGTGATTAGGTCAGTTTAAGATGAACCACTAATGTTAAGTCAATGATATTCGGTATGCAAATGTATTGGCATTTGCAAGTTTCATTTCCATGGAGATTATATAACCCCACCCCCTAATTATGGTTCATTGACTTTGAAACTTTTACATAGTTTACAAGTTAATGTTTGTGTTAAGGTTTGCTTAAAGGGAACGACTTATGAAAAGTCAATGGTAGTTGTATTAGCATTGGCACATCTCATTTCCATGGAGATTGTTTTACCTTCAGTCATGGTTCATTGACTTTGAAATATTTGCATAACTTACATGTTTAAGTATTGCTATTTTAATTTCAACATTTGCATTATCAAAATAACAAATAGGCGAGACATATCTCTGTGTTAACAGTTTATTCTTTAAACCAGATGTGTCAGAACGATATGAATAGCCCTGCTCGGAAAAAAAAGCCTGAAGCCATTTTAGGAGTGGAAAAAGTCCAAGGCCCTTAATTTCAGCAAATTCAGCAGAGCTGAACCAAACGTTAACTCAACCTGTAACTCATCATAGTAGACTCACATAATAAAAATCAGCTCAATATGTGAAGGCATTTACAAAAAAAGTCTGTATACCTGTTATTTTCACGAAATTTTCAGTCCAAAGCCTTTAATTTCGGCAAAAAACAGCAGAGCCGAACCAAACTTCAACTCAATCTGTAACTCATCATAGTAGAATCATTATACTTAAAATCAGCTCAATATGTTATGGCATTTAGAAAAAAGTCTGTATAACTGTTATTTTCACAAAATTTTCAAAGTCAAAGGCCCATAATTACAGCAAAAATCAGCAGAGCGGTACCAAACTTAAACTGGAACTTTAATTCATCATAAATGACTCACATCCTAAGAATCACCTTAATGGCATTTAGATAAAAAGTCTGTATAACTGTTATTTTCATGAAATTTTCAAAGTCCAAAGCCCATAATTTCGGCATAAAATCAGCGGAGCGGAACCAAAAGTATACTCAGTTTACAACTCATCATAGTAGACTCACATCCTAAAATCAGCTCAATATGTGAAGGCGTTTAGAAAAAAAAGTCTGTATAACTGTTATTTTCACTAAATTTCAATGTCCAAAGCCTGTAATTTTGGCAAAAAATCAGCGGAGCGGTACCAAAGGTAAATTTGATCTGTAACTCATCATAGTAGACTCATATACAAAAAATCAGCTCAATTTGTGATGCATTTAGAAAAAAAGTCTGTATAACTGTTCGTTACGGAATGACGGATAAGGGTAACGCTATATGGTCCTGACCTAAGTCGCTAGGGGCCAGTCAGCGGGACCATAATTAGAATGCGCTGAAAATCCATTAATCAACTAATTTTATGCACACTACCCTTCTTTCATCATTTAAAAGTGAAAAATGAGACAGAGCTCACATTCCAAATAAATCATTTCAGAATTAATGAGTATTGTTAACCCTGAGTGGTCCTTGTGTGCAGTTGATATTTTTATTACACAACACTCTGTGCACTTTGCATTATACCAAAGACAAAATAATAATATAATTGCAGAATTGAGAGGCAAGAAAGATATGTAAAAAAATGCATTGCGAAAAGCCACAAGAACCTATATTTTTATTTACTAAAAAATACTGTATAAATAAATTTTCCTTTACTCTAGCAAGATTTCATTCGAAAAATCAACTTTCTAAAGTCTGTATCTCACCAAGAGGCTCCTAAGAGCCTCACACGCTCAGCAGGAATTTTTTATGTAGATCTTGCATCATTGATTACTTTGCTGTTTAATGTATATTAATGCATGTTTAAACATGCCATTCAAAATTTCTCTCTATTTGTCTTAATTTCTGCTACAAACTAAAAATAAAATGCTCTGCGTGTGCAGCCTGATACGACCGCAGAGGTCAAACCCTGAACATTTGGGGTAAGTATGGACAATACATTCAAGCTTGATACAGCTCTGCATTTGCATTGTGATTAAATATTTGACACAGCATAAGATTTCTGACAAAGACTGAATGTGGTCAAAGAACTGAAAAATTTGAAATTGGACTTTTACCTATTATGGTCAAAATCTAAATACATGGTTAGATTTAGCATATCACCAAATACAACAAGAATTTAATTAATTTATTTATTAATGAACAATATAAGCTAAGTTTTTAAAGGGGTTCGCTTCATCTAAAAAAAAAAAATATGTATATAGCATTCTGAAAATTAATTTATACAGAATAACAAACAAACATACCACGAAGTTCATCAAAAATTTTTACAAAAACTTGATGTGTCAAAAAGACACAAATGCGTAATAGGACAACTGCATGTGGTTTATATAAATATACCTGCATTTAAGCACCTAGGAATTTATGCTGTAACCACCTCTAATGCCTCAGTTTATTAAAAAACTTAAAAAAGCTATTTCACTTTTACATTTTATTCTTACTCCAGATTGTGTTTTGTTTTACATAGCAACCATTTTAGTGAAAAGCAATAAGAGTAAAATCATACTTTTTCATTGCCAATCTTTTTTTTTTATGGAGAATGGAAATAAAAATAATTAATTTAGTAAAATCCAATAAATTCACTTCTGTAAGTCAGGGTGATAAGCTATTGACATGTTACCCTTATCTTGTAGTGCAGTAAAAATAAATCAAACTATACAACTATATATAAAACAGTTTCTGAGAAATGGGTATGGATGGGGCACATGCAGAACACTTAGACATAGATGTTCCTACATAACTTCTCTTTAAGTTAAGACATCAGCCTCCACAAAATTTTTGAAATTAAAGGAAGGAAAAAAATATGGAATGTTCAATATTCTTTCATCTTTATTGAACTCCATCAACTGTTACTAAATTCTAACGACACTCTCATCTCCTCCATACACTGGTCTAATAATTCTTGTAAATCTCTGTATAAACGATGGTCTTGTCCATGTGTTATCTGTATTATCTCCCCTGATTGCTGTAAAGATGTCAGAGCTTCCTTTAACAGTTTTAAAAACAGCTGTATTTTTCCTTGCTTCATTAACAGTAGACCAATCTGAGGGCTATGATGTGGATAATACAATCTGAAAATCCAAACAACCAGAATTGAACTGTAAAAAGAAGACTGATTAAGGGGGGACTATCACCATGCTGGATGCATATTCTGGAGGCCTTAAAAACATACTTTAAATTCAGAAATGTTTGCGTACATTTATTATCGCAATCGATGAACAACAATCAAAACTGTGATAAATTAAATGAATAAATTATTAAAATTTCAGGAAATGCTGCATAATAATAATGATATCAAATCTTAAAGACAACTTTTTTTTTTGAGAAACCATGTTGCAATTTTTGCAATAATAAAAATAATGAGAAAATTTTTGAGTATTCTTGTCTGTAATGAACTGTACACTTAATCAAATGTTGAAAGTGTAAGCTCACATGGTATTCACAAGCTGGAAGGCATGTAACCCTACAGAACAAATAACTACCACTTTCAGCCCATTGTTAATCTAGTGAAGAATCAGCATACACCAATTTTCAAATTCTTTGTGTTGAACAAACCACTGATGGCACCTTTCCAACCCAGCTATCAAAGTGAGCATGCTACATAGAGGACAAAGGAGTGTTCAAAAAAGGAATAAATTACATGTATCAAAGAGACCATATAAAAAAATATATGGTGGCCATGGTGGCTTAGTGTTCTATTAAAGTTGTCCTTCAGTTCATCACCACAACAATAAGACATGAATGCTCAATCCAGGTACTGACCCATTAATCATGATGCAATTTCTCCCTGAGTTTTTGTAACTCAGTTTTTCCATTGAAAAATAAAATGCTTCGCTGGGGCGCAGCTTGATACGACCGCAGAGGTCGAACCCTGAACAATTGGGGCAAGTATGGACACAAAATTCAAGCTTGATACAGCTATGACTTTGGATTGTCATTAAATATTTGACACAGCATAGGTTTCTGACACAGGATGAATGTGGTGTAAGAACTGGAAAAAATTTAATTTACCTATTATGGTGGAATATCCATAAACTAAATTGTTTGTTAATTTCAATATATCAAAGAATATGTAGAATTCAATGTTTGATGTAATGTAATAAAGTTGAAATTTGGACCGTTTTTGTTCAATGCGGACCAATTTGGTAACATGTATAAATAATCAAAAATCTAAATACATGGGAGCCCATTTAAATACATCATAAAGGTATTAAAATAGAAAGTGACATCATAGTCATGGCTAAAAATAAACAAAAATCCTTAATCAGCAACATTTAAAGTAATATCTAAAAATAAAATTCCTTTGTAACCATAAAAGCCCATTTAAATACATCATAAAGATATTAAAATAGAAAATGACATCATAGTCATGGCTAAACATAGCAAAAAACCCTTAATCAGCATCATTTAACAGTAATATCTAAAAATGGAAATTACATCATAAAGGTATTAAAATAGAAAATGACATCATAGTCATGGCTAAAAATAAACAAAATCCTTAATCAGCATCAGCAACATTTTATAGTAATATCTAAAAATAAAATTCCTTTGTAACCATTAAAGCCCATTTAAATACATCATAACAGATATTAAAATAGAAAATGACATCATAGTCATGGCTAAACATAGCAAAAACCTTAATCAGCATCATTTAACAGTAATATCTAAAAATAAAAATTTCTTTGCAACCATAAAAGTAAAATAGAAAATGACATCATAATCATAGCTAAAAATAAACAAAAATTTTTTTTATTGGTAAATCTTAAATGGAGTTTATTATACTAAAACAATAAATTTGCAACCATAAACATGATAAAACCCCATTTAAACACATCATAAAAGTATTAAATAATTCAACTACATCATAAGGCTATAAAAATAGAAAATGACTTCATAGTCAAGGCTAAAGGTAAACAAAAAACCTTCATCAGCAAAATTTTATATTGGCAAATTTCCAATGAAGTTTATTACACTAAAATTGTTGGCAAATTTCCAATGCATTTATTAACAATAAAGTTATTGGCAAATTTCCAATTTACATAATTTAAAAGCAGTGTAGATGAGATATTTAAATGAGTTTGAATTACCAACCTTACACTTCTTTTAAATAATGTTCTTTACTCAATTATTTGTCTATTAAAATGGAAACCCTTGTTTTTTAACCTTTTTTCCCCTTATTCCTTAATATTTGGACCCTTATTCATAAATTTTTGAGCAATTAACCCCAAAACTCAATTCCTACTTTCTCTTCGTGATAAAAAATAACTAACTTAAAATGTAAATTTTAAACAAAAAAAAAAGGAAAAAAAAAAATTACCCCTTTTTTGACCCCCGCCCCCCTTATGATTCATCACCCCCACCCCCCTTTCCCCCCAAACCAAGCTCAATAACAGCCTTGCCTTTGTGGTATGGTACCTTGTAATACAATTTTAGAGAGATCCATACACTTGAACACAAGTTATTGTCTAGAAACTAAAAAATGCTTATTTTAAACCCCTTTTTAGGCCCCTTATTACTTAACGTTTTGGGCAATTACCACAACACTCAATTCCAGCTTTCCCTTTGTAAAATGGAACCTTGTAGTAAAATTTCAGAAAGATCCATACACTTACACACAAGTTATTGTCATGAAACTAGATAAATGCTTGTTTTTTGCCCCCTTTTGGCCCCTTATTCCTAAAATTTTGAGGCAATTAACCCCAAAATCAATCCCAGCATTGACCCTTTGTGATATGGAATCTTGTGGTACAATGTCAAAGAGATCCATATGCTAACACACAAGTTATGTCTGGAAGTTACAAAAATGCTTATTTTCGGCCCCTTTTTGGCCCCTAATTCCTTAACTGTTGGTACCATAACCCCCAAAATCAATCCCCACCTTCCTATTGTGGTATTGAACCTTATGGTAAAATTTCATAGAGATCCATTCACTTAAACTAAAGTTAGAGTGCGAAAACCATTGTGTATTCGGACGACGACGACGACGACGACAACGACGACGACGACGACGCCAACGTCATACCAATATACGACCTCAAAATTTTTTTGCGGTCGTATAAAAACAACAGACAAATATAAAAATAATCGTAATGATGGACATGAACTTGTCTGAGTCTAAACTTGTCTAAGACTCTTTATGACGTCTTTATACTAAACCTGTTGGATGTGTACTGATTGATACTGTAGTCTGGGAGAACATAATTCAATTTTAGTTGTAATTGGCTTTAAATTAACTGCGAGCACCCTTATATCACTGCTTTGTGTCTTTATGTTCCTTGCTGTTGTTTTTTTTTGTGCTTCTTATCAATCTATTTTTGTGCTTCTTATCAATCTATTTTAAGCCATCTGTAACTGATTATCACAGTTGGCTCTTATGCTGTGCCATTTCACCACTCTCCCAGGTAAGGGGAGGATTGAGCACTCACAAAACATCTTTACCCCACAAGATTCATCATGTGCCTGTCGCAAACAGGAGCCAACAATTCAGTGGTTGTCATAAGTTCATGTCTGTCATATTTGTTTTTTGTTTTGTTATAAATTTGGCCATTAGTTTTCTTGTTTTGTATTAATTTTTTATGTCAGGGCCTTTTATAGCCAAATTTACGGTTTGGGTTTTTCTCATTGTTGAAGGCAGTACAGTTCCAAAACTGTCATATATTCCGGACATTTATAAATTTACTGGACTTTGTCTGGCTGGGAAAAGCATGAAACGGTCATCTACTTTTAGTTTTCAAGGCTTTCTGAAGAGACAGTCATTTTAACATAATTAAAAAAATAATTGGAAGTTTGTGCTTTCTTTTTGACCCGACCTTTTGCCAGACATTTCCGGTCATAAAAGTGACATGATGAATAAATACTATCAAAACAAACCCTACTTTAATACCTTCTCATTTTAAAGGTTAATTAGTTGTCGGACAGCTGAAATTTACCTGTTCTGGTGACAGGTAAACTATTTTGTACCGGACATTGATCGGTCTATTCAAAGTTATTTTCTTACATTTCAGCGGTTTGCATCTAATTAATTTAGTCAAAATGATTGAAATTACCTGAAATACGTTTCTAAATATGATTTGATGAAAAATTTTAAAAGGTTTTTAAACAAAAAATCGTCAGATCCACGTTTTTTGAACTAGTACATGCGCATGTGTGACGGTGGGAAATTTAATTATGCATCCTAATTCTCACCACTAAAATTATCATTGATCTCTTTATCTAACGTTCATTTCGAGTATTTTCTTGAAGAAATAACGTGGAAAGAGCTGTTTTAACTCAATCGTGCTTTGTAAATGTACACAGATTTCATGTATCCGTCTCTGGTCCGTGTTTTACCATTGTCAAGTCAATATCCGGTATATGGAAAATGTGCTTTTTAAAAATGAGAGTAAAGTTTTTGACAACGTTATTTTGTACAAATAAAGAGTTTAAGGCAGATATTAGTACGCTGATGTTGCACACTTCGAATGATGCACTGTCAATTTAACAGTTTACGTCAGATCATCGAATTTATATCAAAGTAAAGTTTAATATCGTTTTAATGTCAATCATTGGTTACATGATGGCCAACTGATTACCATAATTGCCTTTTGTTACTAAGTCTAAAGGGATTAAAATCGGAATAAGACACAAAATGTCCAGCTGTCTCAAATATTTTTTGGAAGCCCTTTTCTGAGTCTAAACTTGTTTCTATGGTGTGAGAAATTAACTGGACCTACCTGTATGGTGCAAAAAGTAAACTAGTGTAAGACAAAGCCTGGGACCAGTTTTCAGAATCTAAACTGGCATCTAGTCCGAGATCTAATATCTGTAAGCAGTAGATGTTGTAGGAACAAAAATAATCTTTTTGTTTATGCTGGCAGGCAATACAACTCTGGAGCAGTTTTGTGGCATCTTGAGAAAAAAATAAGAGATTCATGTTTGATTTTATTGACAACTTTAAATATATCAATTTTCTTTTCTTTGTACTTTTCTTATACTTACTTCTTGGTTTAACTAATTAAGATTATAAAATGTTGACACATATATATGTGTTGCCTGTGTGTAATTCTGATAGAAAATGCAAATATTGAAAATAAAATGGCAATAATTTAACATGTTAACTATACAAATCAATGAACCATGACTGAAGGTTCAGGGCCAATAATCTCTGTGGAAATGAGATGTTCTAATAACAATACAACTAGATACAAATATAATTGACTCATCATTAGTAGTTCCCCTCAAGTTAACCTAATCACAAACTTTAACATGTAAACTATGCTAAAGTTTTAAAGTAAATAGACCATGACTGAAGGGGATGGGCCCAAATAATCTTCATGGCTATGAGATGTGCTAATGCTGATACAACTACACACCAAATATCACTGAATTAATGTTAGTGGTTCCCATCAAACTGACTCAATCAGAAGCTTAAACATTCAAACTTAGCAAAAGTTTCAAAATCAATAGACCAAGACAGTGGAGGCAGGCCATATAATCCCATAATAATGAAAACAAGATGTACTAATGCTACTTCCATTGCATACCAAATATCATTGAAATATCATGAGTGGTTCCCCTTTAAGTATCCTAATCCAAACTTTAACAAATTGCATTGTAGCTGATGCCGCTGAAACCTAAAACAGCAAGCCTAAGTTTTCTCCTTTGTGAATTAATAGCTGAGGCAAGACAAAAATCTACGTAGCTGGAATTCCCTCTTTAATCATTTCCTGAATCGGAATCACAAATTAATATCCTTTCATTTGTGACATAATTTAGTCTTATTTTTTTTAACAATACCTATATCCTTGTTGAAAGAGCTTATCAGTTATGTTTACCTTGGACCTTTTTCTCCAACTTTAAACTTTCTAATGACCTGCATATATAATTTTCATATTTGTGTATTCTATGTAAATCTGTACTGTTCACAGAACAACCACATTCTTTACAGGGAAGAAAACCTAGAAAAAAAACACAGAAAGAATCTTATACAATCTATCACTGCATCAAGTGTGATACAATATTCTCCTATATAGATATAGGAAGATGTGGTATGAGTGCCAATGAGCCAACTCTCCATCCAAGTAACAATTTATAAAAGTAAACCATTATAGATCAAGGTACGGCCTTCAACACGGAGCATTGGCTCACACCAAACAGCAAGCTATAAAGGGCCCCAAAAAATTACTAGTGTAAAACCATTCAAACGGGAAATAGACAGTTAAATTTTAAGATCTTATGAGAATGTTGAAATATTGTATCACACAAAATACAAATGTTTAATGAAGATCTGTAGGCAAACTTAATTCTTCTTTTTCAATGAGGTGCAAAAGTTCATGTTCTTTCTCTGTGGTGTCATCAAACATGATCACTTTTTGTTTTCTTTATAAAACAACAGCAAAATCAGAGGAACAAACGTAAAAATTGACATCATAATTGAATATTGACCTATGAAGATCAAGCAAACCAAAAGCTGATTACAAACACAAATAAAAAACAGTTCAGGCCAAAGACGTAGATCATATATGTGTTTTTATATGGTTTTATTTTAATCACATTTTAAGTTAAAGATTATAGATGGTCCCACAAACCTTCATCATATAAATGTGACCTATTACTAAACATCAATTTCATAAGGATTTATCTTTTAATATATCAAACAAGACCATTTGCAGATGAAATAATAAATATGTTATTTTTATCCCCCAACATTTTTTTATTTTTTTATGTGTTTTAAGTATGTTTAACTTATATTATTTAATGTTTCATATTACAATCCTATGAAAATAATGTAAAATTTCAATCCATTCAATGCTACTAACCATTCTCATCCTTTTCCATGTTACCAAGGGAACAATTCTGACATTTAACACATCTCATTTTCTTATCCTAGATTAAAACAGATTCAGAAGCTACAAGAATTAGATATGAACTCATCTCATCCAATTGCATTTAACAATTAACTTGGCTGCTTGAAGAATGTACTGTCATTTTATAGGAATATAACACATACAGTTGATCAGGAAAATAATATATCTCATAGAACATGTTTACATAGTATTGTGGATTCATTGATTTTTCTTGGATTGAGGAAACATTGTATTTTCATTGATACTTAATTTCCTGGGTTTGCTAAAGTCTGCATACAATCCTATAGAAAATTTGTACTTCGTTGAACATTTGAATGTGATTAACCTACACCCACGAAATCAACAAAAATTGGTATCTCACGAATAATAATGAATCTACAGTGTTGTCCATTATAATTAAACAATCATTATTTTTCAATGAAAGCAGCATCTATAACATTATTACATTGTTAATAATTTAGAAGGCATAATTATGTCAATAATGTTTTTTTGTGAAATGAAGTCGTCTAAAAAAGAAAGCAATTAAAAGTATTTCCAAAATGTTTTATCATGTTTTTGCTGCAAAGCATGTTTACCTTTTCTTCATCAGAACACATTGTACAAACACAGGTAAAATAATACTGTTTATAAAGCTGATCCTGTCTGTCTGAGGTCAAGGCCAATTGATCTATGTAACTTATTCTAATCTGAAAGAACAAGATAATAGAACATTACATGAGAAGATCAATATTATGACACAATGTCACTGTGCATCAACATTTCACCATGTAATCAATCATGCATGTGTTCTTCAATGCACAGATGTAACCTGATCAATGTCTAACCAAGAATTCCATTCAGACCAGTGCTAGCTATAGGGGCTGTCTTCAACCTGCATTGAGTTTTGTCCCATGTTGAAGGCCTAACTAAGTGTTTAAATGAAGAACAATCCTACAAGTGCTGTTCCTTTTGGATTTTCATGTGCCTGTAGTGATTCGTGTCATGAATTAATACCATATACCTGCCAACCCTCCCTCAACATCATTTGAAGTTGTCAAAGATATTTGGTTCCATGCAGCAAAATGCACCAATTGCTTTATAAAAGTAAGTTAATATGAACAAGGATATGTATCTGAACTCAGACATAACAAGAATATTTGACCATAGGACACCATTACCCACTTGGACAGTCACATTTACATGTTCAGTGAACCTTAAAATATAGGTCAAAACCATAATTTGGCATATATACCAGTACTGTAAATTCAGAAATTAATGCGTTCATTTATTATTGTGAATCCTTGACCACTGGCAATAATGTGAAATCTAATTAATGAGATTACAAAAATATTATGAAGGAAAATCACTACTGAAATAATGAATGGAAGTTTTTATTTTTGTGAACCTGCTACTGCCACATTTTTCGCATTAATATAAATATCGCAATAATTTCTGAATTTACAGTACTTAAAAATTAAAAAATTAAAAATTCGCATCATAATGAATATATTTACCAAGTTTCATGCTGATGTAACCATAGCTTCATGGTAAAATACCTTAAACTATGGTGACCTGAAATGGGAAGAATGGAGGAACAAACAGACAAACTGGAACATCCCCCCACAGTGGCACTAGGTGTATAAAAACTTACATTTTCTGGAGTTGGATCTTTTATCTCCTCTAATGCCCTCAGGTATAATGTCTTCCCAGAGAATGTTATAACAGCATTAGGTTCACAGCTATGGTCAATCAAAGATGGGCTACAGTAAAAAAAACATAAAAATTTTTTCATAATAGAAATGTGTCAATATATTGAGAGGCTCTAACATGCTGGAAAGGAAAGGATATGGTGCATCAATTTATGACACGTCACTACTGGTACATGAAAAAAAAAGCAAAGAAACATCACAATTACACTGGGTCTTCTTTTATATGAAAAAAAAATTGTTTAGATTTATTTGCACAGAAGGGTAAATATTGCATTAATTTTGCAATGTCAAATTAAAATTAATTTTTAATTGTTTTAAGCAATAAAAAACATTAATGCAAATAATTCATTTTAAATGGGAGTTAAAATCATCATTTACGGCAATAATTCCTTAAGTGTCCCCCATTGGGTTCAGACATTCTGCCACTTTTTTAGATCATGTATTGCTGATCTTTTTTGTCTAAACAGTTTCTACCTATTTCATATAGTTTTTGAGATTATAAGCACTTTTTAAGGAGTCACCTGATAAATTGTGAAAATAGGAAGTAGGTAGATCTTGACATTCTATTTAAAGCATTTTTTGCACCATCAGGCTTTCTCTATCTTTTATTGTTTTCAAGATATGATATTTAATGCCTTTTACCCTAATGTTCTATTCTTAGCCCTGTTGCCATGTTTGTTAATGACAGAAGCCAAGTGATTGCAATAGCTCACATGGCCATATCAGGCCCAGGTAAGCTAAAAATATTTATATGTTATTTTACAGTTTTTCATTGTTTCAAGTACATTTTGAACAACAAATAATGTATGTTCCTCTTTTATTCATTAGCTATATCATAGTCATGGACATATTATTCAATAACGTAGTCATATATCCCAAAGTTCACATTTATAAGTGCTTTGAAAATGGAAAAATTGGGATATCTAGGTTGATTACCCATACAAGTTTCTTAAAATCAAAGCACCAAGGGCACTATAGGCAGTTAATTAAAAAAAAAACAAAGGCAAACATGGCAGAAGCTTAAGTTAAGATGAATATTGTGGAAGAATTGGTTTAATTATTTATCTCAGCTATTTCAAGTTAAAAAAATGTTTGTACCTTAATGTTTCCGCTATCCAATCCTACCATTTTCAAAAGTTATTTCTAATTTATCTTAAATATGTTTCCTTTAAAATGAACCTTAAATGAAAAATTTTATAGGCCCAGAAATAACTCAAAAAATAATTAAAGTAAATTCAACCTAGACTAATTTCTTGCATCAATTAAATTCTATAATAAACAAGAAATAATTTTAACAGAATACTGTTACGAAGTCTCCCAAACAAAGTTCCTATAATTCGTCATTCCCATGGTCGCCTGACATTGGGCCGAGTCCAGTACAAATTGGTTTGGTCAAGTAAAGTGATATACACATGTGACGCCTAGGAGATTGACCCTGTATGTCATTCAAACATTCTTGAGTTCACAAACAGGAATAAATATGGTTTAGGGGTATGGGATCTCGACAGTTTTCAAGTTCTAAAAAGGTGGGGGTTGATCCCCAGGGGACTCTCCCTTTATTTCATTTGATTTGTTTTAATGTCCCATACAAGAATATATATGGTTTCGGGGTGGGGATCTCGATCGTTTGCAAATTTTCAAAAAGAAGAAGGGTGGGATGACCCCCATGGACTAATCCTCTATATTTTATTTTATTTGTTTTATTGTCCCATACAAGAATATATATGGTTTAGGGGTGGGGATTTCGACCGTTAACAAGTTCTCAAACAGGAGGGGATGGGGTTGACCCCCTGTGGACTCCTATATTTCATTTTATTTGTTTTATTGTACCATACAGGAATATGTATGGTTTAGGGGTGGGGATCTCAACCATTAACAAGTTCTCAAACAGGAGGGGGTGGGGTTGACCCCCTGTGGATTCCTCCTATATTTTATTATTTGTTTTATTGTACCATACAAGACTATGTATGGTTTAGGGGTGGGGATCTCAACCGTTAACAAGTTCTTAACAGAAGGGGATGGGGTTGACCCCCAGGGAATCCACCTATATTTCATTTGATTTGTTATATTGTCCCATACATGAATATATATGGTTTAGGGGTGGGGATCTCGACCATTAACAAGTTCTCAAACAGGAGGGGGTGGGGTTGACCCCCTGTGGACTCCTATATTTCATTTTATTTGTTTTATTGTACCATACAAGACTATGTATGGTTTAGGGGTGGGGATATCAACCGTTAACAAGTTCTTAACAGAAGGGGATGGGGTTGACCCCCAGGGAATCCACCTATATTTCATTTGATTTGTTATATTGTCCCATACATGAATATATATGGTTAAGGGGTGGAGATCTCAACCATTTACAAGTTCTCAAACAGAAGGGGTTGGGGTGACACCTGGGACTACCCCAAATTATTTTCATTTGATTTGTTTTATTGTTCCATACAAGTATATATATGGTTTAGGGGTGGGGATCACGACCATTTACAAGATAAAAACACATTTATAAATTGAAGGGGGTGGGATGACCCCCAGGGACTCACCCTATATTTTATTTGATTTGTTCTATTGTCCTGTTATCATTACTGAAGATCGTGTGTGTGTCTATCACTTACTGTTTTCAACTAATAGTCATTTGAAAATTGAAAAAAATAAAATTCCATAGGGTTCTATAGTAAACCCCTCCCTTATTTAGGCCCCTCAAAATACCCCAATGCACAAACGAAAGATTTATAACTCCGCTAGACATGTTAGTCTAACATTTTATTAAACCCTAAGTAAATCTGACAAGCGGTCCAAGTTGTCTTCTAAGACGGTCAGGGTGGACTCGGTCCGACTTGTCTCGGGACAAGTTGTCAACATTTCTTCAAACATCCCATCAACGTCGATTTTCGGATCTTTTTCATTCATAAAAACAACAACTGCCAAGGTCAGTGATAAACGGGATAATATAATAAAAGAAAGGAATTTAAATTTGCATACATTTAATTGAAATAAATAAAATAATCACAATCTTCTTAAACGAAAAGAACATCATTATTAAAAAAACTTACTTTAAAACATCAGTTAAAATTACCGCCAACTTAGACTACTACATATAACTTTATTTCCTCTATCATAGAGATTTGGTGTACATGAACAATATTCCTGCGCCTTTGGCCATTTGCGAAATCTAAACAACTTGTAATTAGAGATTTTCGGCAATGAAATATTTCATACAATTGTTCTTTGACATCTTAGCCAAAAGCACATGGGATGACAAACTACGTACGGATTTCTATTGAGCACTACTTCCTATGTGCAACTTCAAAAGATTTGGGTAGTTCGACAATCATTTAAGGTTTATCTGGTCATATTTTTTGTATTCCAGAATTGAAAGTATGAAAAAAGTGCCCAATTAGTTATTAATAACATAATAGCCAGCTAGATAATAACAACAGCACTTTTTACACCATTCAGTGGGATGAACACAACTCTAAGGTGGTAGCATAAGGCAGCTTAACTGCCTAATAACTATTTTAAAATAAGGACTACAATGGTTTTAGTCAGCATTCATTGTTATGTTTATGTTTAAGTGATTTAAATGTTTTCTTTAGGAAAATACTTTAACAAGGCCAAGATCATCAGTCTCAACAGTGTTTATGTTTTGGCCGACAGCAAGAATTGAGCTGCATCCCTTGCCAATTATAAAAGAGAACTAAGAAGCAGCACTATGGATTATTTATGCAAGATACCATTATAGCTTGCTTTGCGGTATGCATTTTGCTCATTGTTGAACGCTGTACAGAACCGTATAGTTGCTAATCTTCTATGTCATTTGGTCTCATTGGCAATCATACCACATCCTCATATTTTTATACCAATGCTTGCTGCATTTTTTCAAATTATACAAACATTGCAAAACAAAACATTTCTGAATATATAACTAAATAGTGTTAATAAATTCTTAAAATTCTTCACAATTTTGTTACTTTACCTTATATAAATACCAACACCAACAGGATTTAATTCTCCATCACAAATAGTAAAACTGTTAACTGTCATCTGGAATATAAAATGTCACTATTATAAACCAACAGAATTAAATTCTTCATCACAAATAGTAAAACTATTAACTGACATCTGGAATATAAAATGACAAATAGGATTAAATTCTCCATCACAAATATAAGAACTGTTACTGTCATCTGGAACACACATTTTTTTATAAAAGAATCTTTGCAAAGCCAGCTGTCTAGGCATATGTATAATTATGTACTTATTCTGAAAATACCTGTATGTCTCCTGATCAGATGAAAAAAAACATAGCAATATGTGCTGTATGTATTGCCAATACTGTCAATATAGTGGACTGAATAGAAGCACTTATGGTGTAGCTCCATGCCATTTTTAGTTAAATACACAAGTTATTTGAGCCTTACCTAGAGACAGAACTTCCCGATTACATATGAAGTCGAGAACCATTGATCGTATTGAACCTGCATTCCAAACATAACTTGCCAATCCCCAAATACTTACCCAGAAAAAGACATGCCTTCTTATTAACAATTATATGTGTCAATAGGACACCATGATAGACACACACTATCATATTTCCATTTCAGGCAAAAGGTGAAATATGTGTCAAAACCCTAATTTGGCTTTTATATTAAACTGTTCACTTCATAATGAACATGTGAACTAAGTTTTATGTTGATGTGACCACAAACTACCTTAAACCAAAATATAAACCTCATACAAGAGGGATAGGTATATAGACACACTGACCAGAAAACATTATGCCCCTCTACTATAATAGACAGCATATAAAAATACAACAATATATATTATACTTCAGAAAAATGCCAGATTTTGATAGGTTAATACAAGGGAGACAATTTACTCTATCCCATGGCAAATACTCTATTACCCTTCATGGAGACGCTTGCTCAAGTGTGCGCTTTAATGAATACGGATGATTGTTATGTACAAGACGACATAGTTTATTACTTTGAATTTGAAATTTAAGACAGTAATAACAGAACATTCAGTATAATAAATTAAATAACACATATCTGAGAGAGTGATAGAGCAGATTGTTACCCCTCGAAAAGACATCGTCAACCTTGGCTTCGCCTCTGTTGACAATGTTTTCTCTTGGTAACAATCTGCTCTATCACCCTCTCAGCTATGTGTTATTTATATATTGTTGATACTATCAGTAATGTGATCTGAATAGAAATAGTTATGTATTGCTCCACATTTTAGTTATAAACCTGACAGATCCTACCTTGCAAAAGATATCAAATATCTCAGTGGCTGGTGGTAAGCTATTCCCTACAACCTTTTGTAAGGTGAACATTATCTGTGAAAACTGTGATATCCTTTCAGGGTCTTGTTCTATCTCCTTCTTATCTGTAATTAAAACATTTAAATGTTATCAATCAATGAGAAACTCTTGAATTTTGCCCTCTCCAAGAGTTACCTCTCTTTGTATTGTCTTTCATACCATGTTGTTATTTGGTTGCTACTTGATGCTATGGAATGAGATGTTCCCCTGTCACCAGTTTTTTTGGTAAAAAGGAAGGACTTGTCCTTGGCCCAACAGTTTGCTTAAATGTATTACATGTATAATCTATTTTAATGTAAGAATAAGAACAAAACAGTGGGCATGTGGGAAATCACTAGACAGCCTCTGGTTAGATTTCTTTTATCTCTGCATTGGACAAGTCTTGTAAAGCGACAGAAAGATTTATCTTTGGACTTGCAATTTGCACTTGTTCCTGTGTTTGGATCTTTGGAGAGAAAGTACTCTAAAGAGTCTGTATCAGACACAAATGTGTATTTGTATTTTTTGTGCAAGTGTTCAATTTCAAGAATATCTGAAAAGATGTATTAATTATATGATAGTAAAATCTGGTATCCGGGAATGGCAAGGTTTGGTACTGAATTAATCAGAGAAAATAAAAATTATGAAAACTGTACGTAAATAATATAATTAAACAATTGCTGCTTAACATATACAATGCTGACTGACACTAAATGTCATTTTAAATGTTTGTTATTCGATGAAAATATCAAAAATTGCACATTTTTTCATGGAGTATACATAAAGGTATATACTGTAATATTCAACTTACGAGTTTTAAAATCTACAAAACTTCTTTTCCAAGTCTCATTAGATTTATCAGGTTTTCCAAAATCTCTTTGCTGGAAAGTAGAAAATAGTACAAGTTATTCAAAAATAAATGGAGAATATGCCCCCACTTGCATATAACGTTATAAAGGGACATAACACAAGATTGGTAAAAGTGATGACACCCAAATTCGATCTTGATCTGAGTTTTATGGTAATAAGCATTGTGTATAAGTTTCATAACATTTGGTTGATGCAAACTTAAGTAAGAGAATGGAAACAAAAAATTCAGCAATTTTTCCATTTGTAAAGGGCATAACTCTAGAACTGTTAAAGTGACGCCACCAAAATCCAAACTTGATCTGTGTTTTGTGGTAATAAGCATTGTGTATAAGTTTCATAACATTTGGTTGAGGCAAACTAAAGTTAGAGAACAGAAACCAATTTTGGGATGTACGTACGTACAGACGGATAGGGGTAAAACTTAATTCCCCTACCGCTACGGCGGGGACATAATAAAAAGGACCATAAATACATTACAATACATGTATTGACATTAATGTTACAGAGACAGGATGAAATAGGATTACCTGCAGCATTCAATGAAACCCGGTTCCATCAGGAATTCCATTAGAACAACATATAACTAGAAAATTCACAGGTCAGGAAGGACCCCGCTTGCACATTTTTGTGTGAGGCACGAATACAAATAATTTGTGTTACAAATTTCTTGGAATATCATAATTTTCCTATATCAATTAACAAGTTTTTTTCACAAATAAAAAATTTAAGTTTCACAAAAATCAACTTGGAATAGGCATAGTAGTAATTCTACCTATATTTCAATTTTAGTTGAAATCCCAGCACAATAAGATGTTTTTCTTAATTTGAAATAGCATATTATACTTACACAGCAATTTTTTTGCAATCCTACCACAGAAAGATGTTTCTCAAAATTTGTGATATTTAAACAAAAAGTCAGTTTTTGGACTTCAGAAAACTCTTCATTTTTACCAAAAAATAATAAGCACATCAAAATATTGTGTTCAACAGCTGTGCAAAATTTCTTCAGCTTCCAATCCATCTTTTTAAGCTTTTTTTTGTTTACAAAAAAGTATTTCTCAAATTTGTGATTAAAAACAAAATGTTTTTTTTTTTAAATTTGCTAATTTTCACCCAAAAAATAATATGCACATCTACATATCATGTACAACAACTATGAAAATTTCCATCAGCTTCATGCTAAAGAGTATTTAACTGCATATTTTACAAAACGTCAAAATACAGTTAAATTCTCTGAACTTATGTCAAGTACAAGAAAACCAGATCTGAAAAAACTTTCTTTTATAAAAAATATAAGTATTTGTGTTTGTACTCTTGGCTTGTAACTTTTGTAACCTCTCTCGCTTGTTTTGTACATATTGTAAGTATTTATTTTTGTATTTGTTATCTCTGTACCGATGTAATGCATTGGCTTTATGAGAATAAAGATATATATGTGCTATATACTTTTGGAGTTTTTGCATTTACCGGTACAAAAGTATTTCTCAAAATTTCGCTGTAATTTGTGATTTTTAAAAAAAAACTTGGTTTATTTCCAAAATCAATTTGTCCATATTCACAAAAAAATTAATATGCACATCTATATATTATGTACAACAACTGTGCAAAATTTTATTGGCATCCAGCATCCTTGAGGCCCTAATTAGTAATCAAGAAATCTAAGCATTCCCAAATCATCTGCCAGTGACTTCTATTTTTGGAGTTTTTTTAGAAGAATTAGGAAAAATTTACAATCTAGAATGTAGAATTAATTTGTGCTATTTTTCAACGAATAAAAGAACATAAGTTTTATAGCTACTTATTGAAAAAATTATAGTTAGCGGGAATCAATTGCTAATAACATGTACACTGTTATTTCTCAAGAATTTGAACATCAATCCTTAATTTTTGCCAAGAAAGAGTGGTTCTTGTAAGCAGAAGTGTGTTTATAAATATAAAACATCAGGGCTTTAGCTAATTTGCCACTGGAAAATGTTTGACCACAGTTTTATTTCAGTTAATATTACCTTGTGTTTAATGATAAGTCTTAACATCAACATTACACTATCCACTGGAATATTAGGAGATACATGCTGTAAGTAGCTACATTCTTCTTTGTGAACAGACCAGTCTTCTCTCTTTTAAATATATGTATATAAACAATTAACGTGTAAAAAATCAAAATCACATGCTAAAAGCCAACTGGACATGCTGGACATTTAGAACTATTTTTCAGGTGTTTTTGTGGAATTTCCTTTTTTTTTATAAAAGATGATATCATCCTTGGTTTAATGCAGTTGGGTTAAATTCATCAACTCAGATGTAAAAAGTATGCTATATATTTTATATAAAAACACATTTTCATTTTTAATTTTCCTTTAAAAATTATTTCTTGTCTGATTTGAGTGAATTCAGCCATTAAATACAGAAATATCTGCAGTTTCTTGTAAATGTTTTAAAAGATTTATTTGAATTTATCTTAATGTAATGAAATCCCTACTTGAAGACAGATCTGAATTTTTGCTTGAAAAATATATATAACAAATTTACATTTCGAAAGTGCCTTCCTCCAATACAAGTAGTTGACAAGCTCAAATTCTCAAACTTGTCCAGAAGTGGACCATGTGGACCAAGACATTGCATATATACATATATATTTCTCATGAAATCAGACAAGAAATGTAGGCATGAGAGCACATACACTAAAATGTTCCATGTAATTCAAATTTCCAAGGGAAGTAACTCCTGTAATTTGAAAATAGTTGATCAACACTGATTTTTGAACTAGTTTAAGACATTGTTGATGTTAACATTTGTTATAAATTTCATATAAATGTGACAAGAAATGTAAGCATTGCAGCAGGTGACAACAAAACACTGATTTAATCAGTGGAAATATTGTTTACATGAAAATACACTAAAATTCTCACCTGACATGAGACACTACAGTATTTCAACACACCACATTTAGAACATTTCTTTAAACCATCACAGCTGAAATATTTTTTAAAATAATAAGTACAATTACTGAATATTAATATGTAAATAAAAAGTTAAAATCCCAAAATCATGTTAACTATAATAACAAGTAAAACTGCGAACTACTGCTCACTGATGATACCCCCGACGCAACTGGATAATTTTAATAGTGTAAAAATATGTAAGTGTTCGGTAAACAGGAAGTTGTTGTGTTGAATCTGAAAACGCATCACACGGTATAGCTGACTTATTTAAACCCTGAAACCAAATTTCAGAAATCCTTATGATGTAGTTCCTGAGAAAGATGCGACGAAAAATATTCATGGGACGGACTGACCGATGGACAGACAGACAGACAGATGGACAGAAAGACAGATGGATGGACAGACAGAGATAAAACAGAGTGAAAGCGTACTTTCATTCCGCCGTGTATTTATTCTGGGTAACTGTTTTTCACTAGAGAATATTGGATGTAAATAGTGTGAAAGCGTCGATCTAAATATCGATGTATTGTTTATATTAGACCGGTTTATTGTTTACATAAATAAATGGATTAAAATTAGAATGATTTTCAAGGAACCAGTTTAATTAATCTGAGTCAATCCAGTAAATAATATTGATGATGATGAGAAGGATATTTTAATAACTCAAAATACTTTATCAATGATCAGGACATTGAACTTGATATAAACCAAATTTAAAGAGCAGATTTGTTCTTACATAAAGTTTCAATATTATAGAAGCATCCTTTGGTATTGACATAGAAGATATGATTTTATATCTAAGTCGACCGAAAAGCAAATACACAAAAAAACTTCAGCAATCGAATAAATATAAATATTACAATTAGTGACAATTTAAAAGCATATGATTTTATAGATTTGCATAGAAAAATTATTTAAATCTTATTCGTTAATAAGCATTATTGTGTTATAGTGTGTTCAAAATGAGTATTAATCACTTCATCAATGTATGGATCTAAAGCACTAGTGTAATTAATTCCGGTATTAAATAACTAGCGCAATCGCCCCGGTACAAAAACACTAGTGTGAACATTCCTTGGATGAAAACTCTCCACTTTTTACATAAATCAACTATGCAAGTTTCAAATACACTAAAAACTACTAAGCCACATTTTATATATATTTCCCCTTCAAAAAACTCTTTTTAGAACCTTATAATGACTGGTGGATGTTTTACACTGGACCCAGATAGAAAAACCTAGTGAATTGTTGTTGGTGGATAAAAATCACTGGGGATTTTCTTCCTCCGGATAAAGTACACTGGCAGAATCAAACCACTGTAACATATACCCCCACTTTTTTAAAGCAGGGGTATAATTACTTTCACAACAGATTTGGTAAGAACATAAAGATATATTATAAAGACTACATGAAAGGAAAGCAATAATTACTTTTACATGCTTGGGTAAAAAAGTTGGTAAAAGGGGTTAGGTTAGGCATTAAAATCAGGTATTTCAGAAACCCTAGCCAGATATATATTGTTTCTTGCAAAATTAACATAAATTTTTTTTTTTATATACAATGCTGTTTCACTAAAACTGACATAGAGAATTTTTCAAATACATGTAATTCATATTTACAAAAAGCATTAAAAAACATACAATAATAAAAAATTAATTTATCCTTCATTTCATACATGTCATACATCAACAAAGATAACTTCATAAAATACATGGATAAGGTCACTTTATAATTTTCTCATACATTTTCTAATATCACAGTACTAATGTAATCACTTTACAGAAAGAGTTGATTGTTCAATGATGTAATTTAAGCCAACTGACCTTGGGTCAACAGGTGTAACTCATTCATAAAAAAGAGCTGGAAATTGGTCTAAACATGATCAATGTTAACATGGTTAATATTTTTATAATGTTTCCTAGTTTTATGGTGTGTGTTAAATTGTTCTATACTGGCAAATTACTGGGAGGGCTCTACAGCCTAGCCACAATCAGATGTACATATTGTGTTTCACATGAAGTCAAAAATGAAGATCACATCAGGAAAAAACCCTTTTGATATTTTGGTACAGAAATGGTTTAAATAATGAAAAATAGCCGTCATAAGGCTAACACTTGAAGCATTTATATAATATCATGCAGTTTTTGGAAGAAATATTTAATATTTTTATTTAATAAATGGTGTTTAAAAACTGTCTAATTTTCTTTAATGGTTGCCTTTAAGACATGGTCACCAGTTTCAGATTTTTGGCCAATGACAAGGACAACAAAACATGTTTAGAATTATTGAATATAAAACATTTTAATCGAAAAAAAATATGACAAGAACATGTTTAACTCACAATTATTTCAAACAACAGTAGCTTTCTTTGATCATAACTCTGATCTGATCAAACTATATCTAAAGTAATCTAAAAATAACAAAACTTAGAAAAAACACCTTTCTTTTGGTGTATAATAGAACATTAAAATAACTTGATGCATATTCTTACAATAAACAATCAAACTTAGCAATACAATTTATATGTTTTGTCTACGGACAAGACATTTTATTGATATATAATTAAATGCATTATTAAAACTAAATTTTGACATAGTTGAATGTGTTCTCTTGAAAAAATAACATACATTTTATCATGTTTATCTATCAAATGATGCTGAACTTCGAGGAAATTGGAAACAAATACATTGTGATAATGTCTACGGACAAGACATTTTATTGATATTTAATTAAATGCATTAAAAAATAATTGTTAAAGTTAAGATTAAAAGTTACCCATTAAATATTAAGCTGTGTTTTTTAATTTTTGGAAAATATAAAAATGTACCCATGATTCTTTACATATATCTCAAAATTTTATTGATTAAGCAAAAATGAAGACACATTCTTTCAACTGAAATCCATAAATCTGACTGTTTAACAATTAAACTATTATTAAAATTTAATTTTGACATAGTTGAATGTGTTCTCTTGAAAAAATAACATGTATACATTTTTTATCAAATGAGGCTGAACTCGAGGAAATTGGAAACAAATACATTGTGGTAATGTCTACAGACAAGACAATTTCAGTTGAATAAATAATCTGTTAGAAATCATTGTGATTATATTTATGCTGAAAATACTGAGTTTTAATTTATACAAAGAACTTTCATCACCTAAAAATAAGATTTAAGTTCCAAAGCAGACAAATAATTGAATTTAATACTTGTTATATACAAGTGTCTTGTCCGTAGACACTTCCTAATCTACTTGTAAACCTGAAATGCAAAAGATAAAGACAGAGTTAGAGAAATACTATTTCTTCATTTGATTAAGTTAACCTTTTAAGTTATGCAGCAACTGGAATAAAAATATAGAAGTAAAATAAGGTATGCTTTTTATGACTGACAATTTGCCACTTTTTAAAATCCACTCCTGTGAAGTAATTTTACAAAAAATTAGAACAGTTAAATTACCATAGATTAATTAATAATAATATATTTCTAAGTTTAAACAACACATAGGAACAATTTAGATCCATAAAGCCAAGCAATATTGATATAAAGCCATGCAAACAAGCAAGCAAAACAGTGATCCAATAATGTAGTTCAAATCAGGTTCACTTATTAACCATTAATTGATCAAAACCGTGTAATTCTAAATGAAACAACATAACGTGAAATTTTGCCCATTTTTAGCTTGTATTTTTGTTGTTTTTTTCAAAACGATCACACATAATACATGATATTTGATATGCATTGTGAAGCCCTATATTCGCTCCTTCAGTTCAAAGATGTATTACTTAAATTAAGTTCATCTTCTTGTCTATAGAAGCCTTTAACATAGACCTATTATGAAATGTACATCTGATTGTGGCTAGGCTGATTAGGGGAACAGTTTGTCGGGCAGACCTAGAAAAGAGAATCCAAATCATGTTCCCTCCCATTCATGTTCGCCCCCCTTTCACATTCACTTTTTAAAGGTTTTGTTTTGAATAATTTTTTATTCGTGTTTTAGTTAGTGTATCTTAATATATATATGCTATTGTAAAAAGTAGAATGACAAATGTAAATAAAATGGACAAAACATTAGAGAAAGAGAGACCAATCGAAAGATATGAAACCAGAACTAATGCGAACTGGGACAACAACCAAAAGAGTAGTGCAAAGGTTTTTTTACTTCTAATTTCAAATGAATTGTATAAAGACTCGATGATTTTAAGACAAATTTAAGAACATATTTCACCTTTTTATGTGTTTTCTATAAAAGTGTTTACCTATTTTGAAAGAATTCAATCTGTAATATTTGAGATAAAGAAGAGATAAATGCCTTTTCTACCATCCACCTTTTACATTTAATTACCGGTATTATAAAATTCATAGACATTCATCTTTTACAATTCATGCATCGGCACTAAACACATTTATTTAAAAACCAGTTGTTGGCATAACACAGGTTATGTTCTTCTCATATATGTTATGATGGTATGATACTAAACCCCTAACGGGAAGGATTGTGCCTGATATTCATATGATGAAGATATAATCTTTCAATCAGTTTAATTGAAGTCTGGAGTTGGCATGTCAGTTAACTGCTAGTAGTCTGTTGTTATTTATGTATTATTGTCATTTTGTTTATTTTCTTTGGTTACATCTTCTGACATCAGACTCGGACTTCTCTTGAACTGAATTTTAATGTGCGTATTGTTATGCGTTTACTTTTCTACATTGGCTAGAGGTATAGGGGGAGGGTTGAGATCTCATAAACAAGTTTAACCCTGCCGCATTTTTGCGCCTGTCCCAAGTCAGGAGCCTCAAGCCTTTGTTAGTCTTGTATTATTTTTAATTTTAGTTTCTTGTGTACAATTTGGAGTTTAGTATGGCGTTCATTATCACTGAACTAGTATATATATTTGTTTAGGGGCCAGCTGAAGGACGCCTCCGGGTGCGGGAATTTCTCGCTGCATTGAAGACCTGTTGGTCACCTTCTGCTGTTGTCTGTTCTATGGTCGGGTTGTTGTCTCTTTGACACATTCCCCATTTCCATTCTCAATTTTATGTCATATATAAATATATTTTTATCTCTTATAAATATCTTATTAAATTGGGGCTTGATCAACTTGGGACGAAACGTCTTGGGACGAAACAACTTGGGACGGATCAACTTAGGGCCGGATCGACATGAGAGCGATGGATTAATACAAATATAATTAGTTGAATCATTGTTTACAATTTTTAAGTTAACCTGCTCTAACAAATGGGTTTGTTTGCATAAAATAGTGTATCAAACATATACATGATATATATGTATTTGAAATTATGATTAATTGAGAATATCCAAGGGAAGTTAGACCTCATTAAGACATACAAAAATACACTTTACCTGAATCCATGACAAGTCGCCCCACTGCCAAATCGCCCCACACCAAATAGCCCCACTTTTTCACCAACTCGCCCCACTTTCTGAAAAATCGCCCCACTCTTGTTTACCAACTATCCCAACTTTTGAAAAAGGGTAAAATCACGTTGAATATAGGTCTGCCAACTCGCCCCACTTATGAAAAAGGGTACAATCCCGATGAATTAAGGTCTGCCAACTAGCCCCACTTTTGAAAAAGGGTAAAATCCCGTTGAATATAGGTCTGCCCCATTTACGAAAAATAGTAAAATCCCAATGAATTGAGTCCTGCCAACTCACCCCACTCATGAAAAAGGGTAAGATCCCCTTGAATATAGGTCTGCCAACTCGCCCCACTTATGAAAAATAGTAAAATCTTACTGCATTAATGACAACCAACTCGCCCCACTTATGAAAAAGGGTTAAATCCCATTGAATAAATGTCTGCCAACTCGCCCCACTAATGATAAAAAGAACTAAACTGTACTGAATTAAGGCCTTCCAACTCGGGTAATGCGGGCTTACTTGCGCTGGTACAGAGTAAGCTTACCCTAGGACACTAACTTAATCTGGATGGGTAGTAGACTTGTTGCGACTCTTCGTGCAGTTTCTGGATGAGGTCATAGAAGGCTGGCTTTAAGTCGTTGTTCTTTTTGTTGAGGCGTCTGTGCCAGCCTTCTTCGTCGTTGTTTGTCTTTGTATGTTGGTTGAAGACACACCATGTAGTAATCTGGTAGAAAGAGCTGGCGATCCATATTTTGCGGACATAACGGACGAACTTCTGCAGAACTGTGGCACGAGTTGGCAGACCTTTACTATATATTCATCGGGATTTTACCCTTTTTCATAAGTGCAGTGAGTTAACAGGAGTTAATTTAACGGGATTTAACCCTTTTTACAAGTGGGGCGAGCTGGTAAACAAGAGTGGGCGGTTTTTTAGAAAGTGGGGCGAGTTGTTGAAAAAGTGGGGCGATTTGGTGTGGGGCGATTTGGCAGTGGGGCGACTTGTCTTGCTTCCCTTTAGGCTTTACCTTTTTACACATGAACTACAGTTTACTGTCCGATTACTTTGACTTAAAGTGTGAACATAAGGCTTTGCAGACATAATAATATCACCGAGTTGAGTTGCCATTTTTAAATATCGTTGCTTTTACAGCCACCTGATCTGCTGAACACAGTCACACTATGCACAACGCAATGCAGACGAAATTAGTTCGCTTACAACGTTGAAAAATTATAACATAAGTAAAAACCGATGACGGTAAGCATGTTAATTTTATTTTTAAGATTGTTTATATCTAAATCTTCGTACTGTGTTTGATATCTGACTGCTAATATTTAAAATTCTGTTGTAAGGGCTTGCAATATTTTCTATAAAAGTATGATTACTTCAAATCAAACATATGATATTTTATCATGCTCGTATGGAACAGAGAGATATCGCCAATGTTACCGTTTCTGTCCCCTATCTGTTGGTCCCTTTAATTAGGAATAGTGAAATTTAATTTGATTTGATTGTTGGTCTTGTTGTCTTTGAGAGAGTCGAAATGAATCACTTATTTGAACAGAAACGTCAACGTGTTCCTTATGGGGATGTTTGGAATAAGCCTTTTATTTATCTTGGACTAAATTATTGCAATGCCCATTTGAATAAATCTTTTTCGAAAAACCTAATTTTAGCATTGCACATTCAGTCTGATAAACTTCAAAATAACCTTTATGTCGGAGACCCTTTCTTTGACATTTACCAAGGAACATCTGAAGTACTAATGAAATCAAATGGTGATGTGAGATCTATTGTTAATGTAGGTCAAAGAAAAGCAGTAGAAAAACTTAATGAATATGTCAACAACTTAGAGGAGGGTAGGCTACAGTCTTTAATCACTTAACAAGATCCTCGGGGGGGGGGGGGGGGGGGGGGGGGGGGGGGCACTTCAATCTTTCTTTGGTAGGGGTGAGCAGCTGAGACATCAAGTAACCCCACCCTTTTCATATATTTGATTTATCAAAAATATATACCCTGTCATACATGTATATCAATTAACAAAAAACAGATCTATAGATACATTTGGATATTTTTTCATCTTCGGGTACATTAGTATAGCTATTTTTTTTTGGTCCAGCTTATCATCACATGCATGTTAAGTAGCAACACAGTCACAATAATCACACCTTGCTTTTCCAATACATTCCTCACATCCTAAACACTTTCCTCTTTTATGTCTTTCATTATGAAGAAAATTCAATTTCAATAGACAATTCTTATAAAATATGCTTGGTCAGATAATAACACCCCAGAGGGTAACACTTTCAGTTTAATATAAATGAAAAACTGATAAAAAGTTCCATTGCTGTTCCCTCTTGAAGGTCGCTGACACTATGGAATTTCTTTAAATAATTGTTATCATGTTTCATGTATACAAACCTTTGAATGTTAATTAGGTGCAAATGTCAAAATAATCAGATTTATAGCATCTATAACTAGCATCAGTGGAAATACCACATTGGAAGATAAATAGAGATTAATTGGTTTGACAAATAGCTGATGCATTTACGACTGTGTTTAACCGCATCAAAAATATATACTGACGTCTGATTAGTTTCAGATACTTATGATATAATCAAGAAAGTGATATTATCAACCTAATGATATATTTAATCTGAATTTCTTACCCTTTTCATATATCATGGAGCATGAAAAAGTGACCTATTCCAGCGGCTCATCCCTACCACTCATTACATAGCAAGTGAAACCCACCCCCCCCCCCCCTCCCCCCGAGACAAGATCAGAAACATTTAAAATAATATCTGATCACATGTTCATGATGTTGTCAACCTAACACCAATCTCAAGTTTCTTTTTTTATGAGTTACACGGTTGATATGGGGTAAATCAGCAAAAATGACATCATTGAAGAATTTAACTTGCTAGAATATTCATCATGTTGAATGTGGGCAGTATTTGGAAGAAGAAGAAGAAGAATCAATTATTACTTGTGATGTAATAACATAAGCATTGTGACATCAGAAATGTACAGTAAAATACATGAATGTGAAAGTCATCTTATGATACCATAAACAACTTGAACAAGTAAAATCTGTACTTGAAAAAAAAGACAAATGTGGCTCCTGGTCAACTAGACATCTAAACATTTGGCAACAATTTTTGCTTATTTCCGCACCTATAGATTTTTTTTAATCTTTATTGAACTTTGTATAACAGGTTGGGGACAACCTGCCAATTGGGAAATAGTTCCCCAAATAAGTAAATATCCCTGATAACTAAAAACTTTTAGCAGAATACATACAAATTGTATATGGTCAGCAGTAAAAGCTCTGCAAAAGCTGCAGTATCAGGTGGTTATTCTTGGTTTTTTAAAGGGGTGTGTAATTCTAGAAAAGGCTCTAGATTTTGAGGAGTGGAGCATGGCGAAATATATTTGTGACAATTATATATATATTTGCTAAAAAATGATACATTTACCAATCGGGGGAAGGAACATTCCTCCCGGGCCACCACCTGAGTATCACCGAATTGTTTAATTTATACTGGCGTATAGGCATGTTAGGGGTGATTGGCCTTAAGTGTTAATTTTTTTTTAAATTTAGCTCTTTGCTTATTAATTATCTTTAAAACTTAAATAGATTGACAGAAATTGTAAACAACAAAAATGGTCATCAAGCAAGGCTACAATGTAGATATACAAAAAATATTACTTGTAAACATGGTAAATTTATCTACTTATTTTTCAGGTAAAAAACATGTACAATGTCTTGGTGAATTGGATCATCAAGAAAAAGAAACCATTCAGGCAGTTTTGGCATGTCATCTTTTTGCTCCTCTGTTATCTGAGGGCAAAGTATTTGTCGATGATAAAAACTGGAACTTAAAGGACACTTCCAATGAAACTACTACTTGTAATGATGATGCTTCCAGATCAGGGTCAGAAAGCAGTGTATTAGAAGTTTATTGTCCAATCTGTAAAAAGAATAGCATAAAAGCAGACAACACTAATTTTGGTAATTACATGCATATATGCATCTAATATAATGTTTTTGTATGACTTATTAAACTTAATTTTCTAGAGGGAGATATTCAATATAGAAACTATTTCAGGTGTTTTTCTCTAAAAATTTTAACTTTAATACATTCACTGTGTACGCCTGTACTCTGGATATTGTGAGTTGTTTACCATAGATTTAAACTGGTTTACCAGCAATTTGGATAGCTGAAGTGAGTGGCAAAGGAATGCACAAGGATATCTGTCTATATATGACATTAAATATTACAAACTACATGTATATCAAAAAATTATATCCCATATGTGCAAGTTTCTTGTAACACCTTTGTAACTAATATGTGCATGAATGAATAAGCATTGACATTCGTACTTATCATCATGATCATGCTTATTATATACTGTGAAAGTACTTTTATTCATGGGGTACCAATTTTCGTGGTTTTCGTGGATGGCTCTATCCACGAATTTAAATGTCCAACAAAATTTATTACAACTGTTGTCCAAATCAAGACATGAAAAGATCCCCATGTAAGTTAGACTACACTGATACGAAGTAAGAGAATACATCGAATATCAGCAAACGCACTATGAACTATATATACAACTTCAGACAGGATTTTATCCATTTAATCTTTAAAAAAGTTGTTCTCCTCATTACTCATGAGAAAAAACAAATTCATATTGAGCTTGCTTTTTTGTTTCATAAGAATTAATTGTACCACAAGGTTCCATACATGTACCACACACAGAAGGTTGGGGTCGATTTTGTGGGTTGTGGCTTTAATCGTTAAGAAACTAGAGGCCAAATATGGGCCAAAAACAAGACTTTTCTAATACTGGCTAAGCTGGTTCTAACATGAATTATTTCTGATCTATATAAAGAAACAACAAATACTGATATGGCAGGAGATACACACCAAACAGGGTGTGTAAATTATTATATTTAGTTTGTAAACAGATTTACTAAGATTTACTAAGTATTGCACAACAGCATAGTATTGCACAATAGCAAGAAATCTTCAATTGAAAATAAATACAAATCTTTTAACCAATTTCAATGAGGATTAATTTAATTTAAAGTCTTGAATAGCATGTATTACTATATTGGATATTTGGACATTTTTAAATAGGTCTACATTGAGGTCCAAAGGGTCCAAAATTAGACTGTTTGATTTCATCAAAATCTGAATTCTTGTGGTTCTATGATATGCTGAATCTAACTGTGCATTCAGATTTTTAATTTTGGGCCCTGTTTTCAAATTAGTCCATATTAAGGTTCAAAGGGTCCAAAATTAAACTTTGTTTGAATTCATGGGTTTTTTATATGCTGAATCTAACCATGGAATTAGATTTTGGATATTGGACCATTAAGTAGAATAAATGTCCCATTTCAAATTTTTAAGTTGTATGACCACATTTATTCTGTGTCAGAAATCTATAATGTGTCAAATATTTAATCACTATCCAAATTCAGAGCGGTATCAAGCTTGAATATTGTGTCCATACTTGCCCCAACTGTTCAGAGTTCAACATCTGGGGTTGTATCCAGCTGCTCCAGGCGGAGCACATTTTTTGAACATGCAGTATTAGTTTGAAACACTGAAATTTGGGACACTTTTAAAAAGTTGCAAATAGATTTAATATTTTTGAAGAAGTTAGAAATTCAAAATGGCTTTAAATAAGGAATTATTGAAATATCATTTTGATACAATAAAAAGATATCCCTTCTGACAACAAGATCATCTCTCCTCCATTTGAAAAGCTATAAGTAATTATTAGAATGCATGATTTCATATCAGCAGGGTAAATACTGTACTTTGAACATGGTTTCAGTAACTGCTAGCATTTTTTGATACAGTATTGTTTTCTTATGTGCTCGCACCAGTGGGATATGTTGATGGTCTCCGTCTGTCATTCAGAAACACATAAAATACCTTGACAGAAAGCCGGCTTACATAGTCATTATTGTAGGATTTATTGTTGTCAAATTCTTTTGACATTACATACTGTACCATCATTTTGATTTGGAGTTTTGGAACTTTGATCATTTTTCTTTAATACTTTAACAGTGACACCTTGTGAATGCAACTCCTGAAACAATTTTACAAAAAGCTTTATACTTGGTAGGTTGGTTTGCCATCATGACTGTGTAGTTGAGTATAACATATCACCATTTGATTTGGCCGTTTTTTAACAGAATTATTGGACTTTTACCATATTTTGGACAATTGTGCCACAATGAGACCTTGTGGAAAGCTCTCATATTTATTAGGAGTGTTTGCCATCACATGAAGTTGACCACATTATACTGTCATTTTGATTTGACCATTTTACTGTCCTCATTGTTATAAGACTTTGACCATTTTTATACTAATTTACCACAATGACACTTTGTGAATGCACATAGTTTTGCAGAAATTTAAAGCTGTCATGCTTGTTAGGATTGTTTGCAATCATTTGTAGTTGACCATATCATGGTAACACAATGATATTTGGTATGCAGTTGTTTTAGCATTTGCATATCTCATTTCCATGGAGATAACATGGCCCTTCCCCTCAATCTTGGTTCATTGATTTTGAAACTTTAGCGTAGTTTACATGTTAAAGTTTGTGATTAGGTCAGTTTAAGGGGGGCCAAAAGTTTATGATAAGCCAATGATATTTGATAAGCAGTTCTATCAGCATTAGCATATCTTATATCCATGGAGATCATTTAGCTCCATGGTCTATTGACTTTGAAAGTTTTGCATAGTTTGAATGTTAAAGTTTTTGATTAGGTCAATTAAAGATGAACCAATACTGCTAATGATATATTTTGTCAGTCAATGATATTTGGTATGCATTTGTATAAGCATTTGCACATAAAGACTTGGCATTGCACCTTCAGTCATGGTTCAATGACTTTGAATATTTTGCATAGTTTACATGGTAAATAAACTCATCACAGATACCAGGATTGAAATTTTTTATTTGGCCAGACACGCGTTTCATCTACAAAAGACTCATCAGTGAAGCTCGAGTAAAAAAAAGTTAAAAAGGCCAAATAAAGTACGAAGTTGAAGAGCATTGAAGACCAAAAATTCCTAAAAGTTTTGCCAAATACAGCTAAGGTAATCTATTCCTGAGTTAGAAAAGCTTTAGTATTTCAAAAATGTAAAGTTTTGTAAACAGTTAATTTATAATTACGACCATATCAATGATAATTCATGTCAACACAGAAGTGCTGACTACTGGGCTGGTGATACCCTTGGGGAATAAAAGTATTGCCATTTTGATTTTGTCATTTGAATTTAACTACGTGTATAAAAATTACACACAGGCAAGACATATGTTTATAAATTTGTGTAGATAGTTTATAAGTTGAATTCTATTGACTGTTTATTTATACTATCCTACCACAGTGAGCCTTGAAAACGCAACTCCTCTGAGACTCTTTGACAGAAATCTCTCATACTTGGTAGGATTGTTTGCAATCATTTGTAATTGACAATATTGTACCATCATTACCCTTCCACCATTTTATGAGAGATATGGGACTTTGACTATTTTTTCAACTGCTGTACCACAAATGTTCAGCCATTTGATTAACTGAAATAAATATGAAAGCTAAAGATACACTTAATGTTTTCTATGTTCCTGTATTTCAATTCTATAGCTGTACACACTATTTTGTTCCTCATATACACACCACAGGGGACATTTTGCTACATCCTAGCAATCTTGTTTTCTTTGTACTATGTTTTCCATTCCACATGCTTCCATCCAGTCTTGTAATCATTAGTCCATCCTGTGTCAGGTTTAAGTTTTAATTTAAGGTATCTTACCATAAAGTTGTGGTCTCATCAACTTGAAACTTAGTACCCATGTTCATTATGATGTGATATACATTGTATATGCCAAATAAGGGATTTACCCTAAACTTAAAGGTTCACTGATCATTGAAATGTGATAACACAAGTGGAGCAAGTTCAATTGACAAATGTATTTGTTGTTTTGCTTGTTCCTGTGTTTTTGATATCTATCTCTTACTGGTTGTATAGAGTGAAGTGATATTTCTAATCTTATTGTTTTTTTGCATGCTTGTATGTTTTGTTATTCAGCTGAATGGGAATAAGAGAGGAAGATTTGATGCAATACTCTTCTATATACATTTTTGTACCATTTGTTATTCTGTTGATTTGGGAATAAAGGCAAGAGGGTTGTGTGCTATAAAAGCTTGCTTAACCCTGTCATATATTCATGTATCTCTTTTGTGATCCCTTTTGGTTTTTTTTTGTTCTTAAGAGATAAAATTAAATTAAAAAAAAATACCGGAAAAAGCAAAAATATAGGACAGTTCAACAGAGCAAATCAAAAACCAAATCCTGAATCCACCAATAGAATAGACTTACAATTCAAAGTCTCTGTTAGATTTGTTCACAGATCTTCCACACTTTAAGCAATTAAGAGCTGAACAATTGTGTAGGCACTTGGTATAAGGAATAACAAAAAAAAAAAAAAAAATTTCAGATTCCTTATTAAACAGTTTGTAGTTATTATACCATGCAATGCATAGGAAAGTAATTTTCTTTCTTATAATGTTCTTTTCTGGTTCCAGGATGTGCAGATTTGTGGCATGGAAGGGCAGATATTGTCATTGAAGGGGATAATGGTTCTATGCGGGAAATAGTTAAAATTATTACTGAAGATGTTGAAGAAGATGAAGATGAACCCGTATCAAAAAGATCAAAATTGATGAATGAAGATAATCTTGAAGACATAAAACCTGAAATGGAGATTTCAGTAACCTCTGATCTTCTTGAGACTAATATTTATGTACAAGCAATAAGTCAGACAATTTTAAATTCATTTTTGGCAGTGAAACTGAACAAAGACTTAAGAAATTGTTATGTTCCATCTTTTTTTGTATCTTCCATGCATCTGTATGTAAATTTTTATAATGTTGAAAAGGATATATTACTTGTCCAGGATCAACCAATTAGTATTTTTGATATAAATGGTCAGATGAACTATTGGGCAATTCTATCTGTGTGGATGGCTCTAAATTTTGAAAAATTTCCATGCAAGTTTCATGGAGATAATTCTAAAAAGTCGGGTTTCCAAAGTTGGCTTCAAAAACATGGTGTTCTTCAAAAATATAAAAGTGATATTACAAGTAAGTTAACTTCTACAAAGAAGCCAGAACATAAAATAAGTAACAGCATAGTGAATCCTATGAGAGTTGCTGAACTTTTTATGAAATTAATCCAGGATGAAAATGGTGCAGACAATGAATGAACATAAGAGTTAATTTTATTTTCAGGTATTTTGTTTTCAAATGACAGCAGCTGGCCTCAGACCAGAGTTATTTTTACAAGGCTGTAAAATTATTATTGTTTCAAAGAATCGACATGGGAAAGATATATCTTTGTGAAGAACATCATTGTTGTAATAAAATATAAATCTCAAAGGAGATTCTATTGCTTTTATTTTCAAAAGAAAAAAAAACAAAAAACAAGTGATAGCTGGTTCTATGCTACCTTCATTATACAAATATGGATATTTGGTATAATTGCCACCGCATGAGACATCTATCCACCAAAGGCTAAGTGATGAAGATGTAAGCAACTATAGGTCACTACACAGCCTTAAAGAATGAGCAATACTTCTATTGTATATGCTAGAACCCTTAAATAAGACCACGGTCAGATATTGTTGGCATTTTTATAGTCAAAGAGACTGATAAGAATGACAAAACACTGAAATTTTCAGTCATTGTCAATGCACCATAGGAATTATTCTATAGACCAAATATAGTTGACCTACTTCTTATTCTCACTGAGAAACTGTTAAATAATAAACTATGAAAAGAGGTCGAGGTCAGGTGAACACTGTCAGCTGGACCTGTACACATTAAAATGATCCTATAGACCAAACAAGTTTTGAAAAATACACATTTGTCATGAATGATTTCAACCGACTTACTTTTCATGGTTCATCGGTAAACATAAAGTTTTCATGATTTGTACCGATATTGAAATCTCATGAATCTATTAAGAAGACAAATCAAGGTAACAAACAAAAACTGTGAATCACATGAACTCCCATTTTATTATGACCGGGTGTGTCAAAAGGGAGAGCGCCCCATCTATTAATGCGTTGCCGGCCATGCGAATTTTAAACACTACATTAAAATTTCACAATGGGTAAAATAAATGCATTACCTGCCATGCGTATTTTAAACACTACATGAAAATTTCGCAATCAGTAAAATATATGCATTATCTGCCATGCAAATTTTAAACACTACATGAAAATTTCACAATCGGTAAAATTATGGATAATACGGCTTTTCTAGTAGCTAAAGATCTAAGACTATGAAAACATGAAGTAGTGGGATTAGACACATATATATCTTATCCGACAACCAATTTGTGTTGATGACCGTAAAACTTGTTAAGTGTAAGATATCTCATATACTTAATAAGATATCCTCTAAAGTGTATAAGATATCTGATAAAGTATATAAGATATCTTATTAAGCATATAAGAAATCTTATAAAGTATAAAAGATATCTTATAACGTATATAAGATATCTCATAAATATTTTTATATAAGATATCTTATATACTTTGTAAGATATCTTATATAGTTTATAATATATCTCATATAGTTTATAAGATATCTCATATAATTTATAAGATATCTTATAATGAAAATTATATAAGATATCTTTTAAATTATATAAGATATCTTATAAATTAAATAAGATATCTTATATGGAATATAAGATATCTTATAAACTAAAATCTTATAAAGTTTATAAGAAAATTTATAAGATATCTTATAAACTCTACAAGATATTTTACATAATATATTCTCTTTTCGGTAGTATTTGCAAGATGTTTTTAATTGTCTTTTATAAAGGTTTGGATGAATTCTGCTTCTTATGAGTACAAGAACAATCTTCTATGTCGGTTTCTTAGCTTTAAGTATTAGAAAATTAAATTACTTTGGTTTTCATGTCCATCTGACATAAATTCATTTGATATTGACCATCATGTGTATGCTTAATCTAATACAAGTTTTAATGATACGATAAGTTTCTAAACTACTCTTATTTTGGATAATATATATGCAATCATAAGATATATTGAATCAGGAAAATTACGACATAAAAAAGTCGGTATTGATCAAACTGTAAATACATGTTCTGGCAAAAAATGTTTTTCATATATTTTGATGGGTATTTATATTATTATACCCCTACATTTAGGAATAAGGGGTATAATGCAATCACATTGACCGTTCGTTCGTCTAACAAATGTTATTTGTCACACTTTCACCAGAAACAATCAACCAGAATGGGGACATCATATTTGGTCAGCAGCTTGAAAGTGATGAATTGTAACGTGTGGCTTTCTTTTAATATGTTGAATGAACTGAAAAATGTTTGCCACACTTTTTTTCCAATACTACTACACAGAATGACTTCCTCTGTATTTTGGTCAGTAGCTCAACAATTATTGTTTCAACGTGTGTGCACTTTTCGGATCTGTAAAACACCTACATGTTTTCCCGATACGTTAAATTACGATTGGGAGTATCACACGATAACACATGCATTTTCTTTGTAAATTTTTATTGAGAACAAAGAAAAATATAAAATAAGGAGATACAGTACTGACAAATTTAAAAGTAAAATCACGATAATTTATATTATTGAATTGAAAAAAAATGTATATAGAAAAAGATGTATTTAGTCAATGAAAGAGTATTGCAGAGTCATGATATTAATGCATAGTGATATTAACTTGCTGGTAAGAATAATATCATATTTTGATGTGATAAGTCAATTGTACATAGTGAATGATACTTTGAATCCTGATGTAAGCCGATTCACGGTCTCCTCTTGAATCGTTGATGATTTGAAGCTGTTGATCTTGTGCTAAACTTAATGATATACTATCATGATGTCCGAAGAAAAACAACATAAGTATAAATTTATGATTAAAATTGATGAATTATTGATACGCACATTTACTAAATTTTATCAACGGTATAAGGACATCATTCGTGAATATAACTCAACATGCAGACATCTTATACGTTCGGGTATTTCACATCCAATCTTTTATGGTAATATACTTTACAAAGCACAAAAATGTCAGTATTCACCTCAAAAGCTAATAAAACCTTTAAACAGACTTATTGAGAAGGGATATAGTTACGATACTGTTGTCAGGTCATTAAAGATTGCATATTTTGGCTTTAATATTGATTCACTTATAGGGTCTTTGCATCGGAATTAAACATATTTATTCTAAAACCAGTTGTAGGCATGACACGGGTTATGTTCTTCTCATATATTTTATGATGGTATAATACTAAACCCCTAACAGGAGGGATTGTGCCTGATATTCATATGATGAAGACATAATCTTTCAATCAGTTTAATTGAGGTCTGGAGCTGGCATGCCAGTAACTGCTAGTAGTCTGTTGTTATTTATGTATTATTGTCATTTTGTTTATTTTCTTTTGTTTCCTATTCTGACATCGGACTCGGACTTCTCTAAAACTGAGTTTTACTGTGCGTACTGTTGTACGTTTGTTTTTTCTACGTTGGCTAGAGGTATAGGGCGAGGGTTGAGATCTCAAAAAACATGTTTAACCCCGCCGCATTTTTGCGCCTGTCCCAAGTCAGGAGCCTCTGGCCTTTGTTAGTCTTGTATCATTTTTAATTTTAGTTTCTTGTGTATAATTTGGAGTTTAGTATGACGTCCATTATCACTGAACTAGTATACATATTTGTTTAGGGGCCAGCTGAAGGACGCCTCCGGGTGCAGGAATTTTTCGCTGCATTGAAGACTCATTGGTGGCCTTCGGCTGTTGTCTGCTCTATGATCGGGTTGTTGTCTCTTTGACACATTCCCCATTTCCATTCTGAATTTTATTTCATCAGTAAATCTGTCCAACAAAACAACGCATGTATTTTGTAAATTGTCAGGATGAAAAATATTAGTTAGTGTCAAAATTAATATAATTCTGTCGTCAACAGTAAGTATGATATTCATAAAATCATCATTATTTAGTACATCAATATGATCAAAGTGATTACTTAAAGTCATATGAAACGAGTTTCTTGAAATTATAATGTTACGGAAATTATTGAACTAATGCATATACATGTAAGATACTAAACTAAAACATCAATATAAAAATAAGAAGATGTGGTATAATTGCCAATGAGACAACTCTCCACCAGAGACCAGATGACATAGAAGTTAACCGAGGATTTACAGGTCCTCAATGCACGATTTTTACATTTATTACGAATCCATAACGTATATAATCGACAAAAAAAAAATTTCGGTGAAAACTTTGCCTGTTTATTAACTTTCAGGTTTTATTGGCGAAGTTTACTGATCATAACTCTAATTAATATATATTTTTTTTTATATTTTATATGCGTTTTCATTTGATATCTAAACATAGTCATAGCAGTTGTTCAATGGTTTGGAAATTTATTTTCCTTTCAGAATCAATTAACACTATATAACTTCCACTTTTCATCATTGGTTTTCTTTTGCTCTTGTGCTGTGCAGTTGCCGATCGAAGTGGTTTAGGTCTCTGCACACGGAAAAGCTGTTGGCGAATTATAGAATTCAATAGCACTAAATTTCTGAAGATTTTGATATGATAAATTATTTTGGAAAAGAGAGTCGATGTTCACATGTTTTATAGTAAAACTTAGCCATTCAAGTATACAAAATATATTAAACTTTGTTTTTAAATTTGAAGAATCAAATGACTTTCACCGTAGCAATGGTAGTTTTTTGGGTTTTTTTTTTGTAGGGTTATAGTTTTTCCTTCATCAATTACTTTGTCAAAATTACATGGAATTTTATGTAATTTTGTTTTGTTTTTCCATATTGTACTGACAAAAGAACTTACGTTTTTGCAGTTAACATGTAGAAACAGAATGGTTATTGTTTGTTAGACAACAATTATTTTGTCAAACCTTTATAAAATGTTATTAAACTTTGATAGAAGCTTTTTTGGGAGTTTATATGGCTCAACTACGATAAAAGGGGACACTTTTTCCCGGTGTGTGCTTCCTTCCGTTAGCACATACGTCCGTTCCGTATCAGGTTAAATTTTGGGTTCATGGTAGGTTACATGTAGTTTTTGGTTTAGGATAGTTTGTGGTCACATAAAGTTGAAACTTAGTTTAGTTAGTCAACAATTTCGTTTACATTTTCAACTCAAAACCACGAAATTTAACACTCGCGAGTAAAACCCACTTAACGATAGAGACTTTTGCAAATGGCATCAAACTAGTTACAGATGCTCACACAATGTGCGGATATTGCCCTTTTCAGTTATAGTGATGCGACTCTAAATGTTTCAATGTGATAATAAAACGGATCAAAGATACCAGGCTAAAATATTTGTACACCAGACGCGCTTTTCGTCTTCAAAAGTTTCACCAGTGACGCTCGAATAAAAAAATTTAAAAGAACAAATCAAGTACGAAGTTGAAGAGCATTGATGACCCAAAATACCGAAAGCTTTTACCGAATAAAACTAAGGTAATCCATTCCTGGGGTAGAAAATCCTTAATATTTCGAATAATTCAACGGTTTGTAAACAGTTAATTTATAAACATGACCATATCTGATTCAATGATATGTAACTTTGTTTTACTATATTGTTACCTCTATAAAAATTGATCCTTATGAAATAAACTGGTAAGTACAATACAAGCGCCGATAATGATCCATCTAATTGACAAGGGTCCGGACGAAGCCGAAGATTGACTTGAACTGTCGCATGTACCAGTCTGTCCGGATAAAATATGACGGGTTTCACCAGAACATGTGTGATCCTTTATTGCTGATATAATGGAATTGTTTAACAAAACCAATGCATGATCATATTCATCCTTGTTCGTTGATGTGATATCAATCGTAATACTTAATTCTTGGCCGTCCTTAGTATTGTTTTTGGAAATATTCATTATATCAAATTTTACTTCAGCCGTATTTTCCTGTAGACGATTCTGCAAAGACTCCAAAGGAAAGTCACAATCATACTGAGTTCCCAATAATGGAAATTTCAAGGAAAATGACCTTGAAAGTGGCCTTTCAATTTCCCTGAATAACGCCACTGGATCGACCGTAGTTTTATACCTTGGAATAACATGAAGATACGGATTGTTTCTGATGACATTGTCACTAAGTTCTATAGTCCATTCTTCTGTGGCAGTATCTGGCATCCCAGTGTCTAATATTGCACTTGGACAGCCACCAACAAGTATCATTTTGATTAGGTTTGCAATATTCATTTTGTCTTTTTTGTCCATTGTGCGAATTTTAATGGCTGTGGTATACAATGGTGATTTTGAGGTAAAATTTTGTGTGTTTGAAGTTTGCGTTCGTTCAACATTTGGAATCTGCATAAATGTTTTATTTACTTCGTTCAGATAAGCTATATTAAAATTAACTGTTGAGTCAGTTTCGATTTCGACGTACATTATGCGGACTTTTACATCGAACGAAACTGAAATACATGTGCCATCTGGATTCTCATAACGGTGGCTGATATTTGCGGCACTTGGATATATTAAGTCATCACACACTGAAAAAAATGTGTTGCAATATCATAAGGTTGACTGACATGGAAAGACTGAACTTTGATATGCATTTAAATAATTTTAAAACAGGCTTAACTGAAAACACTCCAACAGATGTCTTTGAAATATGTATCTATTCCACACTTTAACGCTACGGATATTTTAAACTTTTATATATGTAACATACATTACACATACATACAAGGAAATAACTAAGAGTCCCATGTCCTCAGCTCTAGTGACTGTTTTATAAAGGCAGTTTTTTCACTTGGTTTATATTTGAAGGATTTAGCAGGACTACTAGTTTTTCAGTATCGGAGAGATTTGAAAATAGAGGATTATCTATTGCGATGCCATTAAAAAGTTCAATACGTAATATTTTATTATTTTGACAGTAGTTTTATACATCATCTTGACATTTTATTTACAAGTGCATGGCTTTTGGTAAGCTTCTGATTCTAATCCAGATCATCGATAATTTACTTACCTTCCGGTTTGAAACTGATTATGTGTTTTTCCAAAATGTAAAGAAGTGTATTAAACCAAATCTTTTAATCTTCTATTCCATTGTAAATAAATGACATATGGAAGCAAAACGTTTACTTCTTTTTAGGTTAACAGCTCTTTAACGTTTAATAAAGGTTTGGATTTCGAGCATCATCTTATGAAGAGTGAATAATAGTCGAATGTGCATCAGTTGTAATACAATTGGTACCTTTAATGTTTTTATTATCCCCTCGCATGACAGTTTTAGATGTTATTATCCCCTCGCATGACAGTTTTAGATGTTATTACCCCCTCGCATGACAGTTTTAGATGAAATACATAGGGTTTGTTCTGATCTTCATAATGTTTTTCGTTTGTAAATTAAATCATGATATTGTTTTTGTCAGTTAACATATCATGCCTGAGACTCACTTAATTTTTATGATATTGACCTTTTGACCTAATTATATTTCAATTTAAAAAAAAGACGCTTAAAACAAAATATTTTGAAAAGCGTTATGAGTATAATTTCATATCATGTATTTTCTTTTATGAGTAACAACATATATCATAACTTACTTTGTTTGTTTCTAAAAAAGCTCGAACCCATTCACACATATCAAGCAGCAGATTCTTGTTCGTAATAAGATACCAGAGTTGGTGAGTGGGTAAAAAATTGAAAACAACACGTATAATAATTTCATGTGTCCGAAGCGCTTTTCTGGATTTACCTTCATCAGGAACGCTCAATGCCAAACATTTGAAATCAGAGGGATGTATAAGTACCGAAACAGTTGAAGAGCTATATGACAAAAATACCTAAAACAAAGAGCCAAATTCATCTAAGGTAAACTTTGTCTAAGGGAATTGAAACCTTAGTTTCTTTATAATTTCAAAATTTATAAACGGAAAATTTTAGAAACGTTTGAAGGGACGAATTAAAATCATGAGATGTAGACAGAGAACATTATTAGCTAGAATACAGAAAACGGAAACACAATGAAGTTTACTAAATATAGAGAAATTTAAAGAAAACTTAATATTGAGAGACAAGTCCATAAAAGCAGAGGTGTAATCAACCATCGGTTAATCATCATTGTTTTCATTGATGAAAATAAACATTACCTGCTGATAGTGGCATATGCGGTTTAGGTCCTATTTCCTTAATTCCAACTTCATCCATATCTTCTAAGCTAACCACATGAGTTATGGGTTGGTCCCAGAAAGACATTCGTGGCACGGAAGACAAGATATGAATAAAACCAGTATCACCAATTTGTAATGGTTGTCCTTCAAGATGAGCCATATTACTACTTAGGAAAGTAAACTGGACAGGGTATACATCTAAATCTAAAAAACGAGTTCTTTCAATCATTCTATTCGTAGTCATCAATAAACCAAAGAGATTTTATAATCAATTGCTTACTGTGGACCTATTTATATTCGTGTCTACCAATTTTCGTTGATAGACGAAAAAAGTATCTTCTTGGATATTTGATATCGTGGTATTTCAAAAGTTTGTATACAAGAATATATAAAATCTAAACTTGTTTCACATTCAAATTCGTGGTGTCCATATACCCACAATCAACGGAAATTGGTAATCCACGAAAAATAATGATTCCACAGTACTATGCAACCTGAAAAGTTTCGACAAGTAGTATGATGTGCATGGAAATGTGCACATTGCAAAAAGGATAAAAGTTCAAATCAGTTTAATCTAAATTCTATATATTCGAAATACTATGGCTTTTCTACCTCAGGAATAGATTACCTTAGCTGTATTTGGCAAAACTTTTAGGAATTTTTGGTCCTCAATGCTCTTTAACTTCGTACTTTATTTGGCCTTTTTAATAGTTTTTTATTCGAGCGTCACTGATGAGTCTTTTGTAGACGAAACGCGCGTCTGGCGTAAATATAAAATTTCAATCCTGGTATCTATGATGAGTTTATTATACTTAAACTGATTTGATAATTGTTATGAAATTTTGATAATCATGTTCAGGAATTGAAAAAAGGGATTAATTAATGCATACTTTTACATCATAGTCATCAGACTTAGAAATGCGAAACATGCAAGTTTATTTTTGTCAATTGGTCACAAGTTACTCAGTAACATTTAAGGAATGACTGTAATATTTTTTCTGTCTATGAAAAATGATAACATAAAAAATGTGGTGCACACTGAATAACCCGCGTAGCGGGTTATTTAAAAGTGTTCACCACATTTTTTAGATGATTTCAAATAGACAGAAAAAATATTACAGTCATTCCTTATAATTTGATTCTAAATTCCATTTTTAAGGAGTAAAGTTTGAAAAAAATGTTGGTGACGTCACAATCACATGACAAAATTATGTCCACAAAACACTTTCAGCTAATCAGAAGACATCCATAATTAAATTATTACAGCACAACAGAAGATATATAAAATGTTATAGTGTAAAATATTTCCCGGTTATACTATGTTTTAAACAAATAACACTTTTCATGAAACAGAAATAGATATGTAGGACTCGGAGGTGCGATGGGGACGCTGAAGTCCGATGGTCACGCTAAAGTGCGATGGTCTCCGCCGGATGGTTTATATAAGCAATTACTTGGAATATCCGTTTCACAGATGATAACGGATATGTTCCTAATGTCGTAACTACAATCCCGTCTCCTTTTCCCGAATGTGACCTACCGAATTAGACTTATTATCGGGTTTGTACCAACATGAGCAACACGTGGAGTAGGATCTGCTTACCCTTCCGGAACACCTGAGGTCACCCCCAGTTTTTGGTGGGGTTCGTGTTGCTCAGTCTTTAGTTTTCTATGTTGTGTTTTGTGTACCATTGTTTGTCTGTTGGTCTTTTTCTTTTTTAGCCATGGCGTTGTCAGTTTATTTTCGACTCATGAGTTTGAATGTCCCTTTGGTATCTTTCGCCTCTCTTTTATAGTTCCATACTAAATGATAGATTGTTCTCTTTAAATTTGCTGCATTAGGACATTATTCTGCGTTAACAGCTTATCTTTACTTTGTTCCTCTCATTTGAGATTACTGAATGTGTTAAAGTAACATCAACTCTCAGCTCTCATGAGTTTCACGTTAACCGTAATATCATAATACGGGGAGTATCTCTGCGGATCCATATGTAGTTGGAGAATTCCAAGCTCCATCGTACATAAAAAACAAAACTTCTATAGATTTCGAAAAAGAATCTCATTTACATTTTCCTTGTCTTCTAATTTTATCCCTTTTTCGGTAGTATTAAAAAAATACAAGTTGTATTCATGTTGAATATGCAAAAACATTCTATATTTTCTTCAGTTGCAGAAAAAACCACCGACGATAATAAAATAATAAGGCCCTTACCAAATTGCATCTTAAACAGCTATCACATTTTCAGTCATTGAAATTAACACTGGTTTTAATAGAAAATAATCTTGTATGTAGCGTCTTGAATGACTGTATGAACGTTGGCTTATTTTTGTCAAAAGCGAACTACAACGTTACAATTCTGACTGGAAATATTTATTATAAAATTGAGAATGGAAATGGGGAATGTGTCAAAGAGACAACAACCCGACCATAGAGCAGACAACAGCCGAAGGCCACCAATGGGTCTTCAATGCAGCGAGAAACTCCCGCACCCGGAGGCGTCCTTCAGCTGGCCCCTAAACAAATATGTATACTAGTTCAGTGATAATGGACGTCATACTAAACTCCAAATTATACACAAGAAACTAAAATTAAAAATGATACAAGACTAACAAAGGCCAGAGGCTCCTGACTTGGGACAGGCGCAAAAATGCGGCGGGGTTAAACATGTTTTTTGAGATCTCAACCCTCGCCCTATACCTCTAGCCAATGTAGAAAAAACAAACGTACAACAGTACGCACAGTAAAACTCAGTTTAACAGAAGTCCGAGTCCGATGTCAGAATAGGAAACAAAAGAAATTAAACAAAATGACAATAATACATAAATAACAACAGACTACTAGCAGTTACTGACATGCCAGCTCCAGACCTCAATTAAACTGATTGAAAGATTATGTCTTCATCATATGAATATCAGGCACAATCCCTCCTGTTAGGGGTTTAGTATTATACCGTCATAAAATATATGAGAAGAACATAACCCGTGTCATGCCAACAACTGGTTTTAGAATAAATATGTTTAATTCCGATGCAAAGACCCTATAAGTGAATCAATATTAAAGCCAAAATATGCAATCTTTAATGACCTGACAACAGTATCGTAACTATATCCCTTCTTAATAAGTCTGTTTAAAGGTTTTGTTAGCTTTTGAGGTGAGTACTGGCATTTTTGTGCTTTGTAAAGAATATTACCATAAAAGATTGGATGTGAAATACCCGAACGTATAAGATATCTGCATGTTGAGTTATATTTACGAATGATGTCCTTATACCGATGATAAAATTTAGTAAATGTTTTGACCAGTTTATGACTGTTTCTAATTAAACAGGTTACTATTCTCGATAATTTACTTAATAAACATGAAACGCTGCTTCTAGCAAACAAATTTACCTTTTCATCGACATGGGACACATTAACAATAAAGTTTAGGTAATCCATCGCACTTCAGCGTAACCACCATCGCACTTCGGCGTAGCTATCAACAAGATAGCGTCACAATGCCACCATCGAACTTCAGCGTGATCAAAAACGTACAACAGCGTCAAACCATCATACTTCAGTGTGACCATCGCGGTTCGGAGTACCATCGCGGTTCAGAGTCCTACAGATATATTTATCTAAAATATAGGACTGTTTCGAGTTGTATATCTGTATGTTGAATCTGTATTTTCCGGAACTATATTGCCTTATCTGTGATTGTTGTTATTATTACATGTATCAGCCTCTTTTTGTGTTTGAATCCAAAGTAAAATGATGTAATTTGAAAGCTCTGCGTTTGATTTATATTTTATACTTGTCTTAAGTCCCCCAAACCTAAGTCAGGTATATTATATTCGTATAACGCAATCCCTTTAGTCGTTTGTAAATGCATACCTATCTTTCTTGTCCATTTTTTCAAACTGTTTTTTATTTCATGTACACGACCTCGAGCGTGATCCCAGTCCCACGCAACCTGCCTTTTCTCTCCATTTATAACAGATTTGACCTTCAGTTCCCATATTCCATCCGTAGATACGCCATACTTTCCCTAAAACAAGATTATGTTAAAATGTGAGTTATTCTGCCGATTGTCAGTTAATATCTCACCCTAACTGAAAAAAATCAGCCTCCTGCAAATATTTGCTGCAAGTCTGTCAAAAACAATTCACCATGCAAATGAATGTTTGCTGCAGGCCTGCAACAAACGTTTATATGGAAATGAGTGTTTGCTGCAGACCTGTTCTATGCAAATCAATCTTTCTCCTGCGTGTTTGTTGCAAAACTGCTGCAAACATTTATACAGTGGATTCATCTATTTTCGTGGGTACCAATTTTAGTGGATTGAGTAAAACTTGCATTTTCGTGGATATTTAATTTCGTGGTTTTGGCAAAGTCTGCATACATTCTTTTAGAAAATTTGTAATTTGTTGAACATTTAAATTCGTGGTTCACCTGTACCCACGAAATGTACGAAAATTGGTATCCAACGAATATTAATGAATCCACAGTATGCAAATTGGCCTTTCTCCTGTGTGGTTGCAGAAACCACACAAATTATCAATGTCCTGTTCGTTTACACATCACATTATTCAATTTATACAAAACAAATTTTGAAAACCTGTTAGGTTACATACATATATACAACAATTCAAATACTTCATTATTTGCAAAATTATCTTAGTATTAGTAAATACCTTTTTAAGAAATAATATTGTTTTATTTGTTAAAGTGCTCAAATGTTATTGACGAACTTTAAAACTACAAAAGAAGTACTCATTTGAATTGCATTTTAAGCATAAAGCTAGCTTGGTTAATTTCATTTTAAAATTGACTTATTGGAACATCATATATAAGTTGATAAATCTAAACAGATTAGAGAGTACTATGCAAAAGCATGTTTGTAACTGTTTTGTAAACTTTAAGGTATTAATTTGTTGAGGTCGATCATGAATGAGTACTTTCATAAGCTTACTTTTCTATGAATAATTTGTACTTTTACAAATAATAAAACTACACATTTAATATCCAATAACTTTCGGAACCTACAATGCCTCCCTGAGCACTCATATATAACATTACTCAAATACCATCAGCATGATGAAGCACCAAAATTCAAATTTTAACTTCCAGGAAGTTACCAGTAGGCATGCTCAGTTATTTTATGTAATTTTTGAAATGTTTTTATAAACATTTAGAATGGACAAAGATTTCTGCAATCTAGCTGCGAACATTCCTTATATTTTGAATTTTCCTGCAATCTTACTGCAAACATAATTGTTTCTGCGAGCTTGCTGCAATCTTTGCAGGGGATGCAGCTAGCTGCAAACATCTGCAAACATTATTTTCAGGTTTCCCGCAAACATTTTGTTTGCAGCAAACCTGCAGCAGACCTGCTGCAGATCTGCAGCAAACATTTCAGTTCAGTAAGGCTGCAGTTAACCAAGTATAAATCATGTTAAAATGAGAAACCTGCATATAAATTCAATCGAATATATGAAAATAACACTTAATAAGTCTTACATATCTAGAAATGTATGGAGTGATTCGCAGTGCTTCGTTGTATCATATATTACGCCAGCTTTGATTTTGTGATTGTGAGAATTTTAGAGTAAAAGAGAGTGTTTTGTTTTTTCACTTGACATATTTTTTAAAATATTTATGTAAAGTATAAACTAGTATAAAGAAGGGAAACAAATAGTAAAAACAAGTAGAACTGTCAGCTTTTGCTCATTAATGATACCTTTTTTAATGTTATTCAACTTTGAATATTATTTGGACTTCTTTTTTTTATTCTAGCGTCACTGATGAGGCTTTTGTTGAAGAAAAGTACGTTGGTGTATAAAATTATAAGCCTGGTATCTTATATTTTTGAAGTATTCGGTAAACAGGAAGTTGAATAGGAATGAATCGTAATACGCATTACCCGACAAAGCATGTTCACATGAAGCCTTGTTCCAATTTTTTAGGAAATTCACCGGGATGCGAAGTCATACAATTTTGTGCGTCTAAAGCAAATTATTTGATTTACCTTCATCAGGAACGCCCAAACCCAGAAAGTTGAAAGCCTGGGATAAATAAATACGTAGACAGTTAAGGAGCTGTTCTACTTCAACAACATCTATGCATGCATCACCCGCCATGCGAATTCAAACTCAAGATGTCATAATCGGGTATTGACACAATCGGGAAAAGTACAGATCAGACGACTTTATTTGCATTAAAAGATTTAACACCGCGAAAAAATGTCGCTATTTAGTTGAGAAACCGACCGGTCGAATCGATCAACCAATTCGTAATGATGACCGTTAAACGTATGTTATTTCGATTTCAGTCGTTTTTCCTTATAACTCAGTTTTTGTATAAGTTGCACACCTCTTTTAACAATTTTTTCCACCTGTAGGAATTTATAACACATCTTTTGCCTGATCAATTATACATTATAAACCTAGCATCTTTGATGACTTTTTTTATACAACTACAAGTTGATACGAAATTAAAGGGATTGCGTTTCCTATCATGATTTTCTTGATAAAGGGTTACTGCTCACAAAGAAGCTATTGCATCAAGGGTTGCAAGTGGTTAAATTGTAGTCATCCCTTCGCAAGTTTTACGGACGCCATCATGATTTGGTTGAAAGCTATGGAATATCTGTGTCAAATACGAATGTGACCTACCGAATTAGACTTATCACCAGGTTTGTACTTACATGAGCAATACGACGGATGCCGCATCTTGAGCAGGATCTGTTTACCTTTCTGGAGCACCTGATATCACCCCGGTTTCTTAGTGTGATTCGTGAAGCTCAGTCTTTAGTTTTCCATGTTGTGTTTTGGTGTACTGTTGTTTGTCTTTTGGCCTTTTTCTTTTTTAGCCATATCAGTTTATTTTCGACTTATGAGTTTGAATGTCCCTTTAGTATCTGTCGCATATCTCCTATATGAATAGCTCCACTTTACTTTCATCTTTTCTCGATTGGACTGTGACATATCTTAATCGGATTTGTTCTTGCTTGCGTGACATGACGGGTGCTATATATGGAGTAGAAATTTCCCGCCCTTCCAAACCACGTACTGAATTCATCCCAGATTTTGATGCGTTGTTCAGTCTTTGGATATCTATGTAATGCTGTGTTAATTGTTGTTTGTACTTTCGTCGTTTTTATTTTTTCAATGGCGTTATCTGGTTTTATTAGACATTTTATATCTTCGAATTCTTTTTTGAAATTGAAATTAAAAATATTTTAATATTTAATCACATACATGTATTGTACCAGTCAAACCCATCGTTAAAAGAAAAAATAATAAATAAACCGTACATTGCTGAATTCAAAGAAAATGCATCTAACGTAGGTTTCTTTAAAAAAATAGAAATAGATTGTCGATTGTCATGCATATGGAGAATGCCGAATGTAATGCGTATGGCGAAGTTTAGTTATAATTAGAAGGAATCTTACATTAACAAAGGTCCTATGTCGGGTTTGCATGTATATTTGTATCTCAAAGTTACATACGGTTTCAACATTGTAACATTTGACAATTTTAACAAAATTAAAATACTGTTCGCCACCATTAATTCCAAGCTGGTAAGAGTGTCACGTACCGTTATTCGAACTGTGTGAATGCCTCCAATATCTTTGTTTACTACCAGGGTATGGAACCAATATGAGCCACAGAGATTCCTACCAGGACATAGACAATCGTCTATATTGCCAACGACTACAGTATTGCTTGTTGTGCCTTTTGAACCAACCATCTCTATTTGGTAATGTTTTACCTTGCCGTTATAGCAGTGCGATCGTATGGTAATTAAATACGAGCAGGCTAAGAACAAATTTTAGATGACAAATCGTAAAATTATACATTTAAATTATTCCGATATCGAACTGCCTTTATGATGAATAAAAATCCCAATTTCTTGAGGGATACATAATGTTATAAATTAACATAATCGGTATCAATTTTACTTCACCAGATGAGCATTTTGACAATTACTGTCTCTTCATTGATGCTCGAACCCAAAAATATATCATGCTTTGCAACAACAACAAAAAACAACCACAAAAAGCAACATTTATTTTATCTAACAATGTTTCTTCGAAAATTACATAATAAAACCGACTGGTTTTTGGATGACTACCATAACAATAACAATAACCCGTTAAACATAAAACGACGAACGTATATTCAAAGGACAGTATGTATTTCTAGAAATTTATTAAGGGTTTGTTAAGAAACTAACTTCTATAAATTGATATTAGATAAATTTCTGTAAAATATAATTGATACATAAGATACATAAATTGAAGAGAATGATATTAAGCTAGAACTCATTTTATTTATTTTACCGTTTTATTTGTGTTTGTCGTATCAATAAATTAAATTAATGTAATCCAAGTCCACATTCGTTTTGTGATGTATTGGTGTTGCTCAATTGGTAGTTTGCTAGTTATTTTTTAAGGACTGTTGTTTCTCTTTTCGACGTATGCATTGGTCTTGTTGTTGTCTGTTGTTGTTCGATGTATAATATTTTATTGATCCTTTGAAACCAAGTTTGACCATTCAGTCCAGTTATAGAGCTATTGTGTGCCGAACGCAACTTCTGTTCAAACAAACAAAAAGTACATTGCATCTTCTTTGTTTGCCTTTATTAAGTCCAATGATGGAGATTAAAAGGTAGTGGTTTGAAAAACTATTTTAATCTTGCCGTCCGCGTGGGGATTTTCTTGAATCTCGTAAGAATTATGGTTAAACTAAGAAGAATACAGAAAGATGTGCAAATGAATTAAAGAATACAAATTAATGGGTTGCTTTAATATAAAGAATAGAGAACAATGGTCTAAAAACTACACAAAAATGAAGACCCCAATCCTTAATCTAGACCCTTATTTGTCAACAGATATATCTAGAATACGAAAATCATGATTCACATCGGGAAGAACATCGCTTTGTTCTAAGTTACTTGTAGAAATCATTTTTACTTACCGTGTTCTTTTTTCAGAAAAACTGAGTAATCCGTAATTGGACTATGGCTAATGTTTACATTCCTATAATGCATTGTAAAGAAACCAACATTATTAATTATTAAAAGAAATAGATTATCATTTTTTCGCCCAAATGTGTAGCCAAAACAAATCAGAAAAAGAAATACAGTATACTAAAATATACATAACGCAAAAGTATTGCATAAATAAGAAGCTACAGTATTATACCGATGTTCTTATATCCTTAAATCAATAGGAATGAGAAAATAGTGAATCTATGAAGTACAAACGTCTAGAATGGATGCGACGATATGATAAGCAACTCCTGCTATACACTCATCGCTCGCCATGCATATCTTTCTGAATCATAAATACTAGGACAAGGTATAGGTAATAATCGGTAGTAAAAGATAAGAATATTTTTGTATACTTACACTTAACACAATGAAAAGATGTTTCTCATTTTGAGACACACACAAATCTTATCTGTGAGCTAATTCGTTATTCATTATCCTCATCATTGAATTACGTGTAGAATCATCAACATTGAGAGCAAAACAAAATTTGTATTGTATATTCGTAATAAGATTGCATGTAAATAAAAGGTGATGTGGGAAATATGTAAATTATTCTGCAACAAACGACAAAAAAATGCAAAACAAATGTTCAATATTATATCGATTTTATTGATAAATCAAGGCTACAGTAGTTAAACGATCTTCAAATAATAAGATAAGAACGTAGTTAGTAGTACAGGGAGATTCTTGCCTATTGTTTAGATACATAGGTGTGTCTTTACTGGTGGCACCAGGCTTTTCAGTAACCTTTTTGAAATGACAAAAAGAAGGGATAGTGTATACGTCAATCAAATGACTTTAAAAACAAACCTACAGATCCACATACGGTCTTTAATATTCCCCATTTCCATTCTCAATTTTATTAATTCATCAGGAAAGATCAATATCACTTGTTAAGCTGTTATTCAATTCGAGTCTATACAAGATCTGAGTAGATTTATCAGAAACTATAATGATCTACCATCAAATCCACAATATGCATAGAACAACAGAAAAAAACTAATGAAAACAAATATTGATATCATACACAAACACTGTGACGATCCATTTATATATCAATAATGGATCCAATTTCAAACAGATAAGAGGGAAGGAGTAGTTTGCCGATGATCTAATCTCTTAAAACAACACAAAACATACGAGTTGAGAGACAAAAAAAAACCTTAACGAATCGCATGAATTCCAAATGGAGCGAGCCCGGATGGGGCGACAGGTTAAGCGTCTCCTGTTATGCATGCATCACTTGCCATTCGAATCTACACTCAAACATTATGCAGTCTGAAAAAAATTACCCAATCATTGATCTTTAGTTTGTTTTATAACAAAACAGAACACTAAGTAAAATAAGTTAAACAAATTTATTACATTGGTAGCATTGAATTACATTGATTTCCCAGTCAAATAAAAACCGATAATTTCACATGTGAAATAAACGTGGTTATTTCACTCTCTGACGTCATACAACAATAGGCGTTGTCAAGACGTCGATAACGTCGGATCAAAACAAATTGTGAATGCGTAGAAAAAAGATATAGTTCCTTACATTTTCTACATTTATTTCATTAAAAAAAGCCATTTGCCAATATAATAAAAAGAATAACTAATCAAAGAATTCAAATATCAAAAAATATTCAACTCGTGACCGAACAACACTGATAATTAACTCATGCGCTACGCGCATTCGTGAATTAATGTGTTGTTCGGTCACTCGTTGAATATTTTTCTCTATTTGAATTCTTCGATTAGTTATTCTATAAATGATGCTTCATTACTTTGAACTAAAATACTTTAATGTACTGTCTATATAAAGAAATAGCTCCGATTTAGAAGTGGCTAGATAACACTTATCATGATAATGTTTTCCTTCTTGAAGCGTTTCAAGACTAGTTTTTTACATTTTACAGATGAAGTATTTAAACTCATAAACTCAGAAGTCATACCATTACCATCAAATGAGAGAAATGTCTGGCAGACGTTTTGCCATTTCTTTCATCGGAACAACTTACATGGCTTCATCTTGATCATTAAATAAATCCAAAAGTCTTGTTTCAACTGGTTTGTCTGTGTTCAATATTATCGATCTTCCAATATGGAGCTTATCGCCCTATTAAAATAGTCTTTACATGTATGTAATAATGATAAAGAAATAAAAGGGTATAAGTAGATCTCGACACAAGTATTAAGAGATATTTAGATGGCATCATTCAGTTATCAACAATTCACAGGTTTCTACACAGTATATTTCAATCATTAAATCGACCAGAGTCTACTAAAGTTGTTAATTAAAGCAACAGAAACATAAACAATCAAAGTTTGCAGGTGACATGCTGATACATATGACATTTGATTGAAGCGTTGGTTGTTTAAGTTATTTTGATGTAAACTGGTATCAACGTTTGTTGTATTGTTTAACAGTAGTGATCGGTTAGTTCCAATAAAAGTTGGCTCATTACTTCCCTTTATTCATATAATTCGGTTCATTTTGTCCAATCTTAAGTTTTCTGTGTGATTTTGTGTATTTTTTTTTCAACGTTTACCTTTTCTTATATCGGGCATGGTATATAATATTTATAGATATATAGATTTTGGATTGACACCAATGCAAAAGCAATTAAAAATATAAAGATATTTCATACAAATTAATTTGCATACAATACTATTAATTAGGATACTTTTACCTTAATTGTCTTTAGAAGGAATGGTTCACCATAGTGTATATTTAAGCCCAACTTATCGCTGAATCCGTCAGGTGGAAAAAGTTGAAACAGTCCATCATAATTTGTTATTTCCGATACTAAATTAAGAAGGAAAGAAATGAAAGAGATATATTTCTCTTATATATAATGCTAATGTTAATACAGAGCTAAATCAGCCACCTCTTCAGAATTTATATTGTACTACCTTATTTGGAATGGTCGATATTGATCAGGCTGGTGTCGTAAAAAGTCATTTTTTATATTTAAGATAGTATGGGGCCTTCCTCCGTTTTCAAATAGCTGAAGATCGGGTCTAAACATTTAATTTGAAGTATGAACAGTCGGAACAGGAATTTAATTCATTTGTAACGGTTTACATTCGAATGAAGAACATCAAGTGATTTCATTTAATTCATTTCGATTGATAAGACAAATTTTCTTATTGGTTCAAACATGTTTCAGCTTAAGCCTTATATAACTCAGATAATTTTATAAATGATTGTACAGTAAATTTATCTATCTTGTATTCTAGCTAGAGAAAAAAAGTACGGTAATCCAATATGTGTCACCCTTCCCGTATGTCCTTCCGTGGGTACGTGCATCCGGATGTCCATGCGCCTAGTCTTGTTAGCGCTCTCTTTCTAAATAAATTTTCAAATTTTCATATCAGCAAGGTCTCGGAGTTTGAAAATCGGTAGTGATCAATTATTTTTAAGGAACTTTGCACTGAAAAGATATCTGGAAAAGGATTTTTGAATGTTGGTTTTCTATCGCTTTTATTTTTCAAAAGCATCGGATAAGTAAAATTTGTCAGAATGCTTTTCGCTAGCATAATCTTTACAAAATTGTCAATATTTGTCAAAACCTGTAGGACGAAAACGAGCTCGGTGACTTATTTAATTGTGCTTTTGATAATAAAATATAAACTACTAGAAGTACATTTTAGAAAAAAACGAAAACATTCCTGGCAAGACAGAAGAAACTGAGAGTTTTCATTTTTCAATTCATATGGTTTTTTTCATGCAGCTGCCCAACTAGTTATTGAATGTCTTGTTCATCGGGAATTGTCTTTTAGAGTCTATATTTGCTTATTGCTATAAATGGTATGTTTTCGATGCATGTACAGAAAACAAACTGATGTATATTTTCATACTTCCTACATTTAATCTCCGGTTTTCATTTGAAGGTTATTCCAGAAATGAACGTTTGCCCACTACAATCGGTATCAGAATTTTTCGAAGCCAATGTTTCCTTTAATTGGGATATGTGCTGCTCAACGACTACTTATGTTTTTTTCTTAGAAGGAATGGTTTATTATTCAGCGTCTCCTAATATCACTCTAAGTATCTACCTGTGTTAGATAGTAATTAAGATAAGGAGAGTATGAAGGAATTGGTCTCTTGTTGTCGGTACGTCTATGTTGTTGTTTATACCCTACGTCTATGTCACTGCCATATCATTTTCGACACGTCTATATCCTCTCTCAACATAGCTGGTTAAACATTTTTGTTCAGTTATAATCAATTGAACAGATATTTACCTGTGGTCAGCGGTTTCATTGTTACGCCGGGTGATATTCCATAATGTTGTGACAATGCCAAGTATCTATGTCCATTTCGTATTTTTATGAAATCCCCATATCTGCAAAGTTAATTTCTGAAGTTTTCACATTAGTTTCTTTGTCACTGAATGAGACTTATTGATTGCAATTTATATTGAATATGAGATGCATGTAGATGAGAAAGTACAAAATATACACGTAAACCAAAATTCATTTCAGCGGATATTTTCCACCGGTTGAAACCATAATCTTTTATGCTTGTCCACATTTATGTTTCAAACACGACGACGGCTACTACCGGAATGAAAAACTGGTTACTCCTACGTACCGTATGAATTACCCTCCAGGCTTGGTAGTGGTTCGTGGTGCCAATATTTTCACTGTATAGATTTGTGAATTGTTGTTTGTATTTTTTCATAGCATCAGCTTTTTTTACTACTAGTTTTAGATTTTTATGTCCCCATAGGTTTCTTCTACGATTATTGAAAGAATTTTACATATTCTTTAACAATATGCCGGCGTCTATATTATCACCAGCTAAGAAACCAGCAGTTCTGTGTTGACATAAGATATCATTGATATGGTAATATTTATAGATTAGCTATTTACAAAACTTCAAATAGTTCGAAATCCTAAGGATTTTTTACCCCACGAATAGATTAGCTAAGCAGTATTTGGCAAAACCTTTCGGAATTTTAGGTCTTTAAAGCTCTTCAACTTTGTACTTGATCTATCCTTTTTACGTCTTGATTCGAGTGGCACTGGTGAATCTTTTGTAGACAATACGCACGTCTGGCGTACACACAAATGAAAAGCCTGGTATCTTTGATAAGTTGTCTTATATTTGAATATCTACATCGTCCCGAGTATTGGGCAATTGTGAACGAATTTATTAGAAATTATAAAACAATCTATTAGTAATTGACATTTTCTAAATGATGACAATTATGACAAAAGGAAATTACTGATCAGATCCTTATAACTTGATAAGACACATTGGCATGTAGTGGGTTTACAAAGGCACGGGATGTGGGCTCTCAACCCTCCCTTGTTCAATCTTATCTGTACTGTCATGATATCACTTTGATATAGATACGTTTTCGGGTGACCACGATATATATGTTTTATAAATGGCGAACGTTATTTTCATCACTGCACGGATGTTTCTTACTTGCCTGGTGAATATAATCTTTTGTTCTGCTAATATAACTGAAGAAGAATGTCAAATGGAGATCTTACGAAAATGAAAGGAAACGAAAAGTACGAATAGTGCTGCTCCTTATTTAAACAAAATTAGGATTTCGTATATCGGAATACAGTTATCCTTAGGAGAAATAAATATTCGATGCGTAAACGGTGCACCAATTCGATTCTATATCATGTAATTTGAATAATACACAAATATGTACGCTTTGTTGAATTATATAGTTACTTAAATGTTCCCGGAAAGCCATCAACAGAGGACTCAGACAGAAGGCTACAATGGTATGCAGGTATCATTGAAGTACAATGGTTAAAAAGGGCTTTTCTAAAACACTGTTTTTTCTCATACAATCCTGTAAAAAGATAAAATCCCAATAATCAATTACTAATAATTAGATAATTCTTAAATGTCGTACTAATTAGATATAAGAAGATGTGGTATGAGTGCCAATGAGACAATTCTCCAACTGATTATGCATGAAAACAAATCCACCTGTAGCATATACTTTGCTGCTCAACTCTTCTGCAGAATATTCAAGAAGGTTTAAAGCATGTAATGATTGATTGATGGCGGTCAAGATACAAATTATACCTTTTATAGCTATATCCATTGCTTGTGTTCAAATAATTTCATTTTGCCCTTGATATATGTCGTTGTATGAACTTCTTCAGGTAGGTGCTTTTTCGGAATCTTTATTTTCAGAGGCAAAATTGTACGATGTATATTCTAATGTGTTGCCCATTAACCATTTTTCATTATAAACCATTATGACATATTTGCGGGAAGTTATTTTTTGATATAATATTTACCTAAGATTTTCTTTTTAAAGTATTCAGGTCTAATAATTGCGTCAATTGATGCCAGTTTATATCGGATAGGTGCTGGATTTTCAGCTGCTGATCTTGCCCATTCTCGTAGAGCTTCAGTTGAACCTGCACTGTAATCCATGGATGGAGGTCTTCCACCAATGTAATACTCCCGTTGTTCCTTTTCAGTTTTTGACAGCATCTCTCTCAATTCTTCATTTGAAGTAACTCCAACACTAAATCCAGCGCCTCCAGAAAAGAAACCTAATCCAAACGACATTTCAGCAGCGACCTTTGTAAACAATAAAACTAACCGCTATATTACTATTTATTTTTTTAAATTTGGTAGGCATTGCAGACTTTGATTTGACATAGAATAGTCTTGATCGGTAAACTCTACTATTACTTTAATTCACCTCGCTTACTATTTGTGACTGAATGCAGGATATCAACAAAAATCGATGTTGTTAACAACACGATAGGGAACACTAGTTTAATCCAAATTACGCTTTTTTGACATCAAAGAAGCGGTTAACATTTTTCTCCTATTTTCTTTTATTTGTTTTTAGTGGTTTGTGTACTGTACGACTTGCAGTAATTATTTAGTCGCTTGACATCTCCTTACGCCTGAGTTCTTCCTAGGTTTGTTTTATCCCTCAAAATAACTTTTTTTTATTTGTGTGGAGCATACAATGAATTTGACTCCTCCCAGTTACTAAAATTTCTTGCGTCGATCAATGGTCATGTAACTGGAAACTGTCAAACAGTGTTCAAGTTTATATTCAAGCTGATAGGGTTGTTGGTTTTGTGTATGCTATATATAGACTTTAAAACATTGTTGCATTGATTTTCAACATTTTATTTTGTAAGTAGATATTTTAATTTGTACAAACGAATAAAAGTTATTTTAAAAACAATCAATTAATTTTTGTGACATTACTTTGACATGAAAAAAGAGTAAACGTGGCGTTTACATAATATGTTTAAAGTTAATTTTTTGCGTCCGTTTACATGTTATGCTTGGTCAGCAGCTAACGGTAAATAATACAATGTCTTATTAAACTTTCAGTTTTAATTTTCACACCTTTGTCATCTGGTATGTGGATCTTCAATTTGTCCCATTGATGGTCATACCACATCTCCTTGTTACCATGTATCAATGTCAATATCAATTTTGTTACAAAGCACCTTCAGTCATAAAGTTTTAATAATAGAAAAAATGTTTGTTTTCCTGTACAAAAATGTTCAGTTTCAAGGAAAATAATGTTTATTTTGATTTGACACGGAACTGATTTGATTCAAATGCCACTGATGCAACCTTTGTGAAGAATCACACGCCTTGCATATTATATCATGTCTGGTATCTTTATTGTGTAATGCATTTGCAGAGATATTTTGGCTTTTGTTGTATCTTAATCATTCTAACACACCTTAACAGAGACACCTAGTGACTTAAATCGGTCCAAATCAGAATTTTTAAATCGAAGTTCTTGTACTGCTTTTGCTCCCATGACAACTTCTGTTGCATAATGAGTCCCAAATTCTTCAATCACTTTTACATACAATCTTTGTATGACATCCTCTTCACACCTCTCAATTGGCAAGGCTCTGATACTGTCCTCAAACTCTTCACTCAGCTAGAATAAATATAGCATTTCGTTTTAAAATTTCACTGTTGATTTTTTAGTCAATTTTCATTTTGTATTAACGATAAATGACCTTTTTTTAATAAAGCCTTGCAATTGTGTTGAAATACAGTAATTTTGTTTTAGTTATTAACATTGGGTGAACTAGTATATAATGAAATCAATTAAAAAAAAATAAACGTTTCTATAAAACAATTTTGGTATTTTTGTCTAATGCTCAATTGAGAGTAACTCACGTTTACCTTAGATATCGTGCCCGTTGATGACAATCTTGCTTTGTAAACATTAGCTCTACCAACAATATCTACTGTTGTAGCTTCTCCTTTCGTTACTTCTTTAACAGATCTCTTGTAAGAAGTACTAGCACTGAAACTTCCACTGAATCCAAAGCCACTAGCACTTGCTTGAACCTACAAAATCAACATGTTTGGTCAGTATAAAACTTAACAAGTCTTCCAATGATAAGACAGAGCTATTAACTAAACATATATCAGTATGCATAACATACTAATGCATATCTATTTTTCCACCGTTTAGATAAGAACTAACCAAGTATTACGATTTGGTGATTAGGAGTAACCTTTCTGAGTATCTCGACCAATAAAATGAGGATTTCTAATAGCCAACGTTTAAAATTAATATGAAAGAGCAAGGGTCAACGTTTTCTTCTAGTTCGTACCGAGGTTGGTATAACTTGTTTCGAAGGTAGCACGTATATCCTGCTTCTCATACGACAGCCACTCACTGTCATACGGTCGAGACCGGTAATTGGTAATATTTGATAGAGGTTTAATATCTGCATTGGTAAAGAATACCCTTATGTCTAAAAATCTGCTTGTTATTTTTGTGGTTGTTTGGTGCTCTCTCATTGACGTTTATCCCACCTATTCTTAAACTCATACCAATGGAGTATAGTCAATCATAAAACTTCCTTTTATCAGTTTTGATTTGTCACGGTCATCTCGTGCATTTCTAATCTGCACATCAAATAATTATAATTATAGAATAAAATGTTAACCTGATCTATTGACACTCTTTAACTCGTAAATTTGAGGTTTAAAAAAATACACTTAGTAGAGAAATATAAGGCACACATTATCTAACAATTATTTAAAAATTCACACAATAGCTATTTATTCGGGTATTTTGCGGTCGTGGAATATGTATAATTATTTTTTTGTTTAGTCGACTTCAAACATCGAGGATGGATGTACCTTTTTTCAAAAATTAACCAGAAATAACTCTTTCTTGTTCTTGCATGATAAAAAATTCAAGACAAAGCTTGACTCAATAATCAACTGGGTTATAAACTGGTATCTTTGATGAGATTCAACGAGCCAATGAAATTTTTAAACAGTTTATAATTATTCCTCTATTGATGGTTATTTTGCTGAAAAAAAATGAATAAAAGTGTTCATGCGTTGATTTGGGAGATCTTTATTGTGTGTATGCGTAAAATAATATAAATTTTGTGGTGTTGTCTTAAACTGAAATTTATTTGCATTGTTTTGTAAAGATTCACTTATTGAATAGTGTATAGTTACAATACCTGTTCCACTTGTGGCACCCGTCGTTAGGATAAGTGTTCGTTCATAGAAACGAACTATTAGATAACAACTGCCATATTCCTGACTTGGTACAGGACATTTTAAGAAAAAATGGTGGGTTGAACCTGGTTTTGTGGCTAGCCAAACCTCCGCGTTTTAAGGCAATGTTAAATATACCGCTAAAATGACAACATTACATGACGGGAACAGAGTACAAATAAATGCAAAAATACCAAAGACAGAGAAATACATAAATAAATAATATAAAAGTACATTTCGACATTAACCACAGAATAACAACAAATAACTAAAATAATTTAGGACAGTACACAAAAACAGCTTAATAGAATTATGAAGTGTGTGTCTGTAGCACGAATGGATCAACGCCACATAAAGTAACGTCACAGGTAAATTTCTAAAAATTGGATATAAATCAAGATTAGGTTTCTAATTATGTTATTTGTTGTATTTTATAACAATTACAAGAATATTAATATAGAATTGTGTTAGTTATAGTGCAACTAACTATGTCGGCCTTTCTTCCAAATCAAACTGTAAAACAAATAAATCCTGTGAACATAGTTGCTTTAAACTAAAATCATACAAATGAACTGGATGATTAATTATCTTTACTTATACATATGAATAGAAAATAAAAGATAGAATCACAGCTACAAACTACAAACTGTAAAATATCCATTGTCATTCGCGACACCGATATTTCATAACGTTCGACCGAATAATGATAGCGTCCGTAAAACTTAAGAAGGGATTAAGTACTTGAATCCTCTGGTGTATATGTCTGAATAACATATCAAAATGGTGAAACATGGAATATTCTTTCTGAATAACGGAAAACATAATATTTTTAAATAATCATACCATATAAATTTAAGTACCGAACAACGATCTTTTTTGAAAATGGCGTTTTCGAGTGTAAACTATCATAATTCGCTATAGCAAATAGAATTGTTTTACTTATTAAATGATAATACGCAAGATATTGTGTATTGTATACTGCTATATTTTAGAGGTTTAACCATTCTAAACTTATTTTAAGGGAATCTCATCAATTGGTAGTTGATCAGATATGCCACGTTTATAAGAGATTTTCATAATTGGTTCCACTAATTTCCTTATGATTTCATTTATCAAAGTGAACAAACGTTTCATGAGATTTTTTTTTTCTAACATCTTGAAAACGAATATTTATTTGTTTCAGACCATACAGTCGTGATAACGGTTTTAATATAAAATACATATTATTTTGAATGGGATACTATATAATCGTGTGCTCGGTGGTTGCATTAAACAGACAATTGTATGTCTAAATATAAAAATAAGAAAATCTGGTATGGTTGCCAATGAGACATCTCTTCACCAGAAACCAAATGACATAGAAGAAAGCAACTTTATGTCTCCGTACGCCCTTCACCAATGAGCAAAACCTATACCGCACAGTAAGCTATAAAGCCCCCGATTTGAAAAATGTAAAATAATTCAAACGAGAAATCTAACGGCATGATTTATGTACAAAACAAACCCCGAAAAACAAATATGATAAACAGCAACAATCGACAACTTTTTAAATACAGGCACCTGCCTTTTGGACATACGCATACAGATTGTGGCGGGGATAAACATGTTGGCGGGCGCCCCACTTAACCTGGAACAGTGGTGCAACAGCACCACATAAGAACAAACTGTACAAAACAATAAGTAGAAAATAACCCTAAGTAAAAAATGTCATATGTGACCATACTTACAGATACATCCACTTGCAGCATACTTTGATAATCTGTTTCTGTTTTCAGCTGGTGGTAAGATGATCCAAATGATGCACTATGTTTACAGGAACAATATTATTTAAATGAATTTATGAATGAGAGTATGCAAACTAAAAGAGATCACTGAATTTGTACTTGCATTGCGTAACACGACGGGTGCCACTAATGGAGCAGGATCTGCTTACACTTCGGGATCCCCAAGTTCATGCTGAGTCTCGTGCAGTTCAGTCTTTTTTTGTGTATCATTCGGTGAACGGGTTAGTCTTTTCGTTGTCTTAAGCATTTTTGCTATGGTGTTTTCACTATGTCTCGACTTACGAGAATTTCCCCTTAATATATTACGCCTCTGATAAACATAAACCATACAAAATCAATTGTATAGTCTCATTGACGTTTATTTAAAATTCCTTTTCCAATTCAATATGTTGATTTTCTAATGCCGTTTCCTTTTCTTTATTTTTACTTATCATCGGATGTTTTATCTAAATGTAACTGAATAACTGCATCTAACGAAATAGGAACTGTTTACACTTCCTGGGCACTTGAGATCGTCATAGGTGAAAATGTTGATTAATAAAAGAGAAGGAATTACCTGTTCTATTTAAGGATCAATATCAATACACTTTGTAATTTGTTACCTCATCATCAGTTTTTTTTTGTGTGTGTAAATTTTAATGGACTATTAAGTGTTATTTCGTCTTATTCGCTTGGTTATGATGTTATCGGATATTTTGACTTGTTCTGTAATTTTTTGTACAATATTGATTGGGTTTCTTTATTGTTGGTGGTTGTTTTCCTTCAATTTTTGATTGCCCTGTTGTAATCTGTGTTAACCTTGCTTCCGGGATAACATCCACGTTGTCTGGAATACGATATTCTCCATCACTAGTAAAACGGGAGGAAAATGGTAAATCTATAACCGGAAGTCTAAAACCTTGATCTACTTCACCATCATCACTAAGGGGGTTTCCCTTATATATATCATATCCTCTCCCGATATAACCCACACCAGGAAAGGAACTTGTAGCAATAAATGGAGTTTTAGCTTCATTTTTCCTTCGGTTTGCTACAATAAAATGATTTTCTTACATTTTATTATAGAAATTGATTACACTGCCTACAATTTTCCTTTTTGGGTTGAAGTTTCAACACCTCTATTTCATTATATAGCTTTAATAAAAACACACATGGCTTTGATGTATAGATTATCGGGTTTTCTACACATTGATATCATAAAATATCAGCCGCGAGCCACACTGTGAAACTTTTTGGCGAATGAGCGCAGCCAACGAGCTAAAAAGCTTCACATTGTGTCGAGCGGCTGATATTTTACGATATCTATACGAAGAAAACCCGATAATTCATTATCTGTTTATCGTTCTATTACTGGTCATTTTACCCTCCCTAATACAGTTTTAAGTTTGACGAAAGCAAGCTTGATAACGTCTCCTCACACATTGTGACGTCGCTGATAACTTTTCCTCAGACATTGTGACGTCGCTGATAATGCCTGCTCTCGTGTCAAAGCCGTGATACGAGAATTACGGAGCGACTGAGCAGGGTGATATAGGCGTACGGAAGGACGATAATTCATGTTATCAAATTGAAAAAACAAAATGTTTATGAAAAAAAAATCAGATTGGAGAACTTTATTTAAATAGTCGATTTTCATAAAGATAATACTGTTGAAAATTAGCGTACTTGCTGTAAGTAAGAAATACGAGGCCACTAAAACATTCAGTAGAACAAATTCATGTTTCAATTCATTAGCTACTGCATTGAATGATATTCAAACATATTGTAAGAAGACAATATTTCATCAGCAAAGCAGTTGATTCTTTCTGTATCAGGAGACACTTATCTTGTAGACATATTCTGTCTGGATCCTTATAGAGTTCATACGATTCCCTCAGTTTTCGTTTGATACCTTGAATTGTATCTTTTTGTATGTACTATCAACGACAAAAACTTTTGGTTGTCGAATTTACGTCACTGGAGAGTTTTTGTTTAGACAAGGCGCATGGCTGGTGTGAAAAATTTTAATCAAGGCATCTATGATGATTTTATTACTATCTTCTACACCTTTTTTGCTGGCGTCTTTGTTACATTAATTTGTTTGTTTGTTTGAATTTTTCAGTCAGTTATGTTGTATGTCTCTTGTGTATGTTTACATAGTTTTGGTTGCTGGATCCCAATTATTATCACATTAACGTATAATGTCTGTTTGGGTTGCTTACCCAATTTTCTAGAAATACAAGTTGGAGATTAAGCTAGCTTTCAAATCAGGATTTTCTTTGGAAATGTTTGTCAGGAGTATGGCAGCTATTTTTTACTTGCTCCGTTGATTGATAGCGTTTGATTTTGTCAGTTTTTATGGACTTCCCCTTTTTAAATTTGCCTCAGAGTTCTGTATTTTTGTTATACTTTGTTAATCGATTTGTGAAATTTGATCATCGGTAATCAACTGTTGTCTAAAACGTATGCAATGCGCCTGATGTTTTTTTTGGCGATATAAGGGTATTCTTTATTTGGTGCAAAATCAGTGTACATTATGCTGAAGTAAAATATCGTGGTTAACTCTCAATTCTAATTGGTTACTTTGACATGGTATATGAGCCCATATTCCCTTCAAAGTAAAACGATGATCTGTAATTCATGTTCACTTCAGTAAAATATTGTTATTCGGGCTTCACATGGAATATTGGTCTCATATTTCCTGTGAAGTCCGTATGATGAATATCTTTAAATATGTTATTTTGATAAAAAAATATATGCCAAAACAAGATATATATTTTCAGTGATGTTTTTGTTTTTCGGCTGAAAAAAAGATTATATAAAGAAGAATCATTTTTTTTCAATTTAGTTGAGTCTGACATACCTATTGCTGCTCTTTCTTCGGCTTCGTCTACCTCCGCCTGTGCTAATCTATCGGGAAGGCCTAAATTCTGACTGGCGTTAATGAGGGATGCTGACATAGCCATTTGTTGTCGCCGAAACCCGTCAATTAAATTGTCTATTGAGTCATCTAATTCGATATCGATGAAAAATAAAAATAACAAATATACTATTACTGTTCAGTAAATCACCGTCGTCGTCGTTATAACAACAGTAAAAAAGAAAACTTGGGTACGTCCCCTTTACAAAAAACTTCTTGCGGATTTAACTTTGAGAGGATAAATATGCATTAAAGTATACAATTATGTAAGGAATATTGTAAATTCTAATACAATAAACATACCAACAGATGTATCCAGAACTTTTACGGTTGTCATTAATGATAACAATAACAATATATCATGACATTTGACCATACTTGTAGGTTCCTGTAACTGAGATAATTTCATTTTATAGTTATAATATTACATTCCACGATCTAACATATTTGTAGACTTTAGTTTAGTTTAGTTTTGAGAGCAATCACATCTTGCTCGAAATACCAAAAACAATAAACTGTATGTCATATTGATATGACTATTGATTTGTAACGATGAAGAAAAAAATAATTTATTCAAAGACTCCTTACAAAACTATTAAATTCTGTTTTGGTTTTGCTTTTCCAACATAGTACAAGCTAATAGTTTTTTAAATTACCACCGAGACATTTTACCTTTAAAAATAAAAATATACTATAGCATCACGTGATCATTATGACTTACATTATAAAATATAAGGTGTTAACGTAAAAAATGTTATTAAATACTGATCGTTTATTATTATTTGATTTACAGGTGAATAAACCGGTTTATATTTGTTAAGACATATAATGTAAACATTGCAGAGTTTAATTCGTTGAATTGAATATCGATCACATTGTTTGTTTTTGAATATTGAAGTGTATTGGCATCAACCAACAGTATCTCAATCACTCTACTTACAATTTAATAGAATTTTACGTTCTTGCTAAAATAAATGCATTCAAGGCTTTCCATCTGATTAACTGATTTGCTTGAAATCTATTGATTTGAATCAAATTGATTAAAAAACTGCTTTTTTTCATTCATGTACCGAATAGACCCTTTTGATGACAAAAATGAAAGTCAACTAAAATGAAACGTGACTTCTGAGGCAACTCTAACATATTAGGTAAACAGGTTACGTCCATGCATCGGATATATTAAATTGAGGCTCAATTTCTAAAATTAACACAAAAAAAATCATTAACGAGTATGATATATGTATCCATTTGGCATAGTGTTGAATTCCTATTAAATCACAATATGATTTAAAAAAAAAAGCAACAATTATTGTTGATAACACGAACAAAAAAAATATTATACCTAATTCATTAGATTTTAAGCAACTTTGCTTTGGAAAATGCTTGTACCAAGTCAGGAATATGACTGTTGTTTTCCAGTCGTTCCTTTGGCTGAATATAGTGTTTGATTTTGCCAAATTTTATGGGCTTTCCCTTTTTTGATTGTCATTGGAGTTCGGTATTTTTGTTATTACATTGTTTGGTATAGAGGAGTTCGTTATTAAAAGTTATATCTATAATGCTGACTTTATGTTTTCGTGTTTGCCTTATGTTAATTGTAATTGCTGTTTGTTTAAACCTGCTCTCATGTTTCAAACATTTTGATAAACTACTATTTTCATTTACTACCACTGGTCGATACAACAGCTGATGTATTTTAGTTCCCGAGAGTATCATCTGCTTAGTAGTCAGTGCTTCGGTACTGACATTTTGTATCACATTTTTTAAAAGATTTACTGTTGATAAATTTAGAGATGATTACAAAATAAAGTTCCAACTTCCTCATGCAAAGTTGACCCAAGATGAATTTGTATGTTCTTTTTATGTGCGTATTTTGGTTATAGCCTATGCAGCTACTCGCGTATTCCAGTATTTACACATCATTGGCTTTTAAATTTTTGGGGTTCGAGCGTTCCTGAAAACTGCAAATCAAAGAAACCGCTTCGATAGCAACTAAATTTATACAGGGTTATATGCGTTTTAGATATAGTATATTGAATATTTATATGGTAAACAAGACGTTTTAACGTTAGCTTATACGATATTTCTGACGAAAGAGAGGCAACAGTTGCTTATCGATAATCAAATCTTATAATAACATGTATAAACAAAAACCATGGGAAATAATATATGTATATCTTAAATTTTGCTGTTAGAACAATATATACTTATGGTAATATATGATAACTTACTGTGAAAATTTTTTATTTTGAAGATAACGGTTTCCTGTAAATGAGTTATTTGCACGTAACAATTACTTTTCAAACCCAAAGCGTTGATCAAATCGTCCTTGTGAATGGAAGGTAAATTTTACGACCTTTATATTAAAACCTTGTTCAAAAATAGGCATACAGGAAAAATGTTAATAGCTGTGATGTAATAAAGATATATTGACACTTAAAAACTGTACCTTACAAGATGAACTCGTTATTTTTACGGATATTGTCTTGCTTAAAATGTCGGTCTTAAATTTTAGCAGAATTGTTCTATAAACGTAATACTCTTTATCAAGGATATTAGAATAGGGACCATAAGGCCGTTTCCAATAGTGTATGAACAGCTGTACAATGAGAAAATTGAAATCATCTCGTTCATGGAAAGTTGATTTGTTAACCCACACCCTGCCACGTCCGGTCTGTGTTTTTGTTTGATGTTTTTCTGCTTTGTATCGGTCTGATGAGTTTATCCTTTTTCAACTGATTTTTATAGTTTGTTCTTATGTTGTCCTTTTACACCACTGTCCCAGGTTGGGGGAGGGTTGAGCGCTCACAAACATGTTTAACCCCGCCAGATTCTTAATGTGCCTGTCCTAAGTCAGGAGCCTGTAGTTCAGTTGTTGTCGTTGATTCATGTCTGTTATATTTGTTTTTCTTTAATTGTTTTGTTATAAATTAGGCCGTTAGTTTTCATAATTTTCATGTGGGGGCCTTTTATAGCCGATTAAACGATATGGGTTTTTCTAATTGTTGAAGGCCGTACGGTTGCCTATTATTGCTTACATCCACTTTCAAATTGGTGGATAGTTGTCTCATTGGCAATCATACCTCATCTCCATATTTTTATACAAACAGCCAATCTATTATTATGAAGATATGAAGCAGACCTGAATGTTTATTTTATATTCTTTATTTATTTCAATTGGAAAGATTGGCACCAAATTTCTTATTAATCAGTGTAAGGACATCATCAATGTCGGAACGTGAGATTATATGGCAAAATTTTTATCATTCATCTTAAGAAGCCGAAGTATGAGGTATAAACTGGACTTCTCTTCACTTGATTTGGTTCTCAATTTGCAATGTGTCCTTACATTTATCTTAAGATAACTGGATTCTCACATGCACCATACAATCTCTCTCTATCTACAATACTTAAATCCAATTCATCAGCAAGCCAAACCAAACTTTAAACTTATGGTGAAATTACCTACTCTAGAGACAATGTGATTCAGATGTGAATATTTTACAAAACGGTAATTAAAAACTATATCAAAATTGAAAATAACCGTATCATATCATGACCAAAAGGAAACGACGAAAAGAAAAACAACAGTATATATTGCACAGAAAACTACAGCTCAAGCAATAAAAGCTTCCTGGTAAGCAGCAGTCATTCAAAATAAATTAAAATAAGGAACGCCAGCCTGTTTTATCGTAGTAACTAGGAGATATATATTCCATATGCAGGCACCAATAACCAATAATTCCTAAAATCTGCTAGAATACAAGTCTCTCTCCTGTTTCTGCAATTAAAGAATGCGTGTTTTCTACAATTTAAGTATTTTAAATTCATAACTTAATAAATCAATTTAGATTTATTCCATATAAAAAATGGCATATTAAGATAAAAAATATACTGCAAAACTCACATCATTATTCGGCTTGTGTGTTTATTAATTAGTTTACAACCAATGAGTTACGTTTGGTGACAATTTTTTACAAAAGATTGTCGATCTTCCAATTGGGATCAAACGAGCTTTCTTTGTGATAACTGCGCATGCTTTCTTTTGTCATTTCAATCAGACTGTATACATATTGGTGCTGGTTTTATGCTATAGTTCCACAATCGGCTACATAAATATACCGTCTCGCTGTGTGTGTAAGTATATATATATTCATATGTTATCTCATCCTATTTTTTATGCATGTTTATTTTAATACATGTTTTTATTTTTATTTTAACTCCTCTGTAAGTTCATTGAATTCAATCTCTCTCTCTCTCTCTCTCTCTCTCTCTCTCTCTCTCTCTCTCTCTCTCTCTCAGCGTTCCTGATGACGATAAATCCAGAAAACCGCTTCGGACGCATGAAGTCTTGTTTTTCATTTATTTTTTTCAATATCATACACACCAAAATAACACATTGATCAAAAAGATAAAACGAGGTTCCGATAATCATTTAAACACATTATATTATAAATAACTATATGACGAGAAAAAAAAACAATCGCAAAAATTAAATTGTTTTATTAGTACTTGTATTATAAGTAGGACCAAAACATCAAATAATGTAATAGTTTAATTGATATACTGAATGCGTCATATTTGTGAATGAACTTTTGTCTAACTCGTCGACTGCAACATAAAGCAAATCCCACAAGTTCCTGATAAACATCACGTTCTGACTGACTTGACGTAGTATGTGTCCTCGTATTTTGGTCTATATGTAAATGTTAAGACATTCAAAATATTTGTTCATTACAAAAACCTTTAAATGTACATAAAATTTAGATGACAGTACACGGCTAGTAATCTACACACGCAGAACAATCGGTTCTGCAATGAAAACCGTGAAAGGATGTTCCGGTTATGCTTGAGTGGAGCAATTGTCACCACTTCAAAAAGTATGTACATTTCTAAATCGCAATCGTCTAATTCAACTGATCAAAATATAGAAAATCGAAAATGCTAGGCTGTGGTGAATACTTTAACGAAGAGACACATGTATCATTTACTGTTGTGCATGGAGTAAAACTCCTACAAAATCAATCGTCCCACGAGTAATTGCCGAAAAAAGTGACATTTAAATTTTGAAATGGTTCCATTAACAGACCTACAAGTTCAGGGGATCGGTTCTGATTGAGGACATCGTGAATGCGTGAGGGGAAGTGCAATCATATCTTTATATCGAAAAATGCAACAATCACTTCAAAGAAAGGCAAGTAACTTGCATAGGTTTTATTGAAGTTCATACTAAATATAAATTTAAAGTTAAAGTTATTGAGTCGAAAAAAAATCACAAGGCCAAAGATTAAAAAAATTTTTGCACTTCCCCTCACGCATTCACGATGTCCTCAATCAGAACCGATCCCCTCACGCATGAAATAATGAATATTGACAGTTTTTAGATTTATTAAGACGTCTATCACCTTCGGACAGCGAACACGCCGCCCAAAACGACATTCAATCCCGTTGACAGAAAAAAAAACTAAATCTGAACTTGTAGGTCTGTTATTAGAACCATTTCAAAATTTAAATGTCACTTTTTTCGGCAATTACTCGTGGGACGATTGATTTTGTAGAAGTTTTACTCCATGCTCAACAGTAAATGATACATGTGTCTCTTCGTTAAAGTATTCACCACAGCATAGCATTCTTCGATTTTCAATATTTTGATCAGTTGAGTTAGAAAATTGCGATTAAGAAATGTACATACCTTTTGAAGCGGTGACATTACTCCACTCATGCATAACCGGAAAATCCTCTCACGGTTTTCATTGCAGAACCGATTGTTCTGCGTGTGTAGATTACCAGCCGTGAGTATCTACTATATGATTAATGCATGAGGAAGAAGGTTTAACTTAAAAAATCTCTAATTGCTCCAGAAGGGTAAGCAATTCCTCATGTGACATCCGTTGTGTTGCTCATTCAAATTATTAACCATGTACTAATACGAAAGTAAACGCGTGTCATGCATATGGAATATGATATTAATAATACCAAAAATTCCCGACGGCATACACCAATATTATTTGCTACATGTCAACGAATTTCAACATGACTATTTTTTTCTATCATGATCCATCTTCGACAATTACTTCTTGATGAGACTTTGGAATTGTAAAATTGATATCGAAACGGGGATTCGTATCCTTTCGAGTAGTTTTACTACATTCTGTCAGTTTTCATTTAGTTATTTATGAGATATCATGATAGAATTGAAAATCTCTATTTATGCTGATATTTTTTTTTATTTGAACACATTACCTTTTAACACGTAAGGTCTGTAAGACTGGCCATTTCAAGACAGAAATGCTAGTGCATATTTTTCAAAGTAGGCGCTTTAGTAGATTTACGATTATTTACATGCTTTCATTTGTATGAACAAGAATTCCTTTAAAAAAAATACAAGGAAAATTAAGTGTTGGTAACACGATTCCGTCGTAAACAAAAATTGAGCGATAGGGTGATCAGCATCAGCTCGATTGGTTCAATGCTTTCCAACTTTTCACTAATGAGGTTGAATATCCATTTTGATATATTCCGCCTCCCTTTTACGCGAAACGCTCGTCTTACAAACTTAACAATAAAGTCATTTTGCAATTGTCTTATACATGCTTTTTTTTTTTAATTTTTTGCTTGAATATACTTGCTCATAGAAGGTCAAAGTCCGTTATTGAATTATATTTGTTATTTTCCAGTGCACTGCATAATTATGCCTTTTTGTGCTTCTTTGTTACATTTGTTTGTTTTTATAGTGATTAAGATGATAACACAATGTTGACTGCTGTACCCCTATTTTTGACATTTTTACCTATTGTGTCTGTTTGTTTTGTTCACGCATCGTTGTCAATATAATGGAATTTGATGCGACTGTCACACAAGTGAGAGGTTAAGCTAGCTATAAAACCAGGTTCAATCCACCATTTTCTACATAAGAAAATGCATGAACCAAGTCAGGAATATGACATTTGTTATCCATTAGTTTGATGGGTTTGAGCTTTTGATTTTGCCATTTGATTAGGGACCTTCCTTTTTGAATTTTCCTCGGAGTTCAGTATTTTTGTGATTTTACTTTTTACTACAAAAAAATATACTATTCACGCATTGTCAACTGAAATAATAACTCATTTGTCAAAACGGTACTTAATTAATACATTGCTTTCTTCATTCAGAATTGTTGATAAACTAGTACTTTCACATTCATGGACTTAAAACAAAACATAAGAAGAAACGTCAAGTTCGAAGAAAGACAAATATCGTGACGGATAGTACAACAAATAAAGATTGGGCGACAAGATTCTTAAGGTATGAATTATAAATGAAGAGATTCTCGCCAAACACTCCGATATGTATATTTATCATCGATAATCTGCATTTATAATATAAATCGTTAGGAATATAAAACAGATAACTAGACAACCATTATCAGAAATGATATATTGATGGATGATAGACAAAATCATGTCAAAAAAAGACGAAACGACAAACAATAGTCTGTAAAATAACACTTGGTTATATTCATTTTAAAGCAATAAGGAAATTTTACTGCATCCCATTTTTGAAAGTTAGGGGCAAAACTTGGCACATAGACCATTACATGAAATGCATATTTCTGAAGTAAATAAGCATAACTAAATATAAAATTAGTAAAACTTTAAACCAAAGATGGATCTTACTGACTTCCTTATTCAGTTCTACACCATGGTTACTTGTAGATTGTGTATGTACGAAATTTAAACGAGTATGGGTTATTAAATCGATTTTAAAGTTGAACCAATACTGTTTGAGTATTGTATTTGAATCACAGGTTTTTCCGAATTAGCTAAATCAATGAAATAATTTATGCATTGAATAGAATTGCCTGTCAAAAAAAAACTTTAAATAGTTTTTTATAAGAAATAAAAAAAATTATTTCATTATTTGAAGGTAAGTTTGTGTAATGTGTAATGGATTTGATTAATATGTTTAAGTAAAAGGAAGTAGACAAATTCCACCCAAGGTAAACTCTTTATATCAGTTATAATATTAATTCAGATAATGTACCAAAAGCTGAAATTATAACCTTAGAATATTATCTTTTTATGTATAGGTGTTTAGTAGTATACATTGATGTTTTACTTATCCAGATGATTTTATTGAAGTATGATCTAATTTCAATTAAGATTTTTTTCCAAAAGTCGGTTTCAAATCAAGTCTAAACTAGACCCTTTCATTCACTATTTGTTTTCGACAATAGCATTTTGACCTATTCACTTGATGTGTTTGCTCAACATTTAAAAGTAATGATTACATATTCATTTCTATTTTTATCTGTGTAAATAAAATGCTATGTGGTCAATACGTCCATCGTAATGCAACTCCAAGTCACAAAACAGGAAAGAAAACACATAGATTAAGAGGTCAACATGAAAACTGCAATACTGATATATTGACTATTACAAATCGCCCTGATCCTATATAAGTTGTAAAAAAATTAACATAGATTATCAGAGATCTTTAATGAACATGAATTTTCTTTACTGAAATAATGATATTAAACGATAACAATTTTACAGACGATATGCGCATTCCGACGGTTAATGTCAATTCACTAATGATATTGACTAACATATTAGTATTGATTGCTTTACGCCGCATCAGCACAAAAAGGGTATATTGCAGTAATTCCTCAACCTAAAACAAACAAATACAACTTATTTCCCTGATTTGTTTCTTCTTTATCGATTTATAAGATTTGAACATTTCTAGTTGCATATTCTCTTGCCGCAAATTGACATTATCAATGTATGTGTTTTACTTTTATATGTATTTTTTTCATCTTTTGGAGCAAATTTAATAAACAAACAATATTTTATATAAAAAAAAATCAATATTTTATCATAAAAACTGCACACATAAAGGAAGAAAAAAATGAAAACAATATGTTGCTTACTCAAAAGATTTACTCTCTTTATCCTATAAGTAAATAAAGGCAACAGTAGTAACTCATAAATCGATAGAGATAAAAACAAATCCGGGTTACAAACTAAAACTGAGGGAAACGACACAACAAAAACACACAGAAACGAACTATAATATAACAATGGCCATTTTCCTGACTTGGTACAGGACATTTTAAGAAAACAATGGTGGGTTGAACCTGGTTTTGTGGCATGCCAAACCTCCCGCTTTTATGGCAACGTCAAACACAACACCAAAACGACAACATCACATGACAGGACCACAATACAAATAAATGGGAGAACATATAGGACAGTAAACAGTGTTGATAACATATATTTACCTACGTTTAGTGTAAAGTCTCAATATTTTGTCGACAATGAGATGTCTACAACTTCATGACATCGTTTTAACATGAAAACTCATGTATAGTTTACATCGTTCGAAATCGCTGTCTACAACTTCACGATATCGTTTGAACATAACATCTCATGTATAGTTTACATCGTTCGACATCGCTATGCCTATAACTTCAGAACATCGTTTAAATATAACATCTCATTTATTATTAAAATCGTTTGACATCGCCATTTCTACAACTTCACGACATGGTTTTAACATGACATCTCGTTTATTGTTTACATCGTTCGACATCGCTATGTCTACAACTTCAAGACATCGTTTTGACATGACATCTCGTTTATTGTTTACATCGTTCAATATCGCTATGTTTACAACTTCACGACATCGTTTTAACATGACATCTCGTTTATTGTTTACATTGTTTACAGTGTCGTCATTGCAATACACTCACGATATCGTCCTTACATCGTTAACATTGCAATACACTCACGATGTCGACCTTACATCGTTAACATTGCAATACACTCACGATGTCGTCCTTACATCGTTAACATTGCAATACACTCACGATGTCGTCCTTACATCGTTAACATTGCAATACACTCACGATATCGTCCTTACATCGTTAACATTGCAATACACTCACGATGTCATCCTTACATCGTTAACATTGTATGAAATTTCATGCAAAGTTGATCGTAAACAATATTATTGTGAATCAATAGAAATCACAAGTAACCCACGTTTGAACTAAAACGGCCATTTTTAACGGAACAGCTCTCAAAAACTGACCAGTAAATCATTAGGTCATTTTCACTAATTTTTTTTAATAAACTGTCAGACGCATCCACTGTGATAAATTCAGTACTGTTCAATCAGTTAAGATATGTTCAGTTCATACTGTTGTTATTTAGGTGTAATACCACCATTGATTTTCCCCTATTAGTCTTTGTTAAATTTGCACTTTTCAAAAAATTGTGCAGAATTTATCTTTGTTTCAAATAAAGAAATACTTGGCATGAGTAAAGATTTATCCTGTCCAGTACTATAGAAAAAAATTCACCTAACATTTCATTGCATATAAGAAAATAACCATCACTGGAAGTTAACCAATCAAATTTTCCCCCTTTTTTAACCTGTGTACAAGCTTTAGTAACCATGTAACCTCAAGTTTCCAAAATATTCTATAGAAACTCCAAATAAAGAAATAATGGTGCTTTGAAATACCCAAGATATATGTTTATGACTCAGAAATGTTTTACTGCAATGAAATGTAGGATCAATTACCTACAACTGTCAAATTCAAGGGAATATTTTTTTTCGACCTATTTTCGTATGCAACCGGATGTGACGTACTATGATTTGGTGGTATTACACCTAAAGAAGTCTTTTTTGTTAAATAAACTGAATGTGACTTTTTTCCTTTGTAATACTGGTTATTTCAAGCATTCCTGTCAAGTTTTGTCATAATCAGTTCAATAGTTTGAGAAAAATCTAGTATAATGTAAGACGACATCTACAGCGATTCGAGCAAAATTTCTTCGAAAAATCCAAACCAAGCCGCATCATGATAGAATATAGTGTGGACCAATAAATGATCAAATATTTATCTCATCTGCCTACAAACAGTTGAATATGATACAAAAGATGACTTTAGGATGATAAATACTACTAATGGACCTCTTTGTCTTCCTTATAAGGTCTCTTTTGGTCCATTTATACCTCTCATTTCCTCAAAATTTCTACTTTTTAGGCCAACAAATAAATATTTTGGGGTAACTTTCACTCATTTATGATAGAAATGTTATTATAAATTATTAATTGAAGTATTCAAGCTGAATGAACTATCCGTATAAAAATTTACTGTCTCCAAGGAGGTTTCAATAAGTCCTTACGTAAAACTTAAATTTACGCCGCGTTCCAGAGAGGGACATAAAAAACTTCTTTTTTGGTGAATAATTTGTTGTTACTGCTTTAAAAGTAATTTCATTTACTTAAAACTATATATATATTAAAGTATTTCTTAAGAAAAATTTTCTAGTATAGCAGAATATAAGAAATAAGGAGAAAAAGCTCCCCAAAACTCTAAGTATGGCTTGTTCTGTCAACTAATATTCATGGTAAAGTCCTATTTCAAGGAAATTTTCTCATAAAATGTATTTTGGAGACTCAATCCACTCAGAATATTTCATTACTTGTAATATTTCACTTAAATAGCAAGAAATTTTAACACATGAGAGTACTCACAAGGTCAAAGGTGCATGTACAGCTTCCCATATTAGGTGTAATACCACCATTGATTTTCCCCTATTAGTCTTTGTTAAATTTGCACTTTTCAAAAAATTGTGCAGAATTTATCTTTGTTTCAAATAAAGAAATACTTGGCATGAGTAAAGATTTATCCTGTCCAGTACTATAGAAAAAAATTCACCTAACATTTCATTGCATATAAGAAAATAACCATCACTGGAAGTTAACCAATCAAATTTTCCCCCTTTTTTAACCTGTGTACAAGCTTTAGTAACCATGTAACCTCAAGTTTCCAAAATATTCTATAGAAACTCCAAATAAAGAAATAATGGTGCTTTGAAATACCCAAGATATATGTTTATGACTCAGAAATGTTTTACTGCAATGAAATGTAGGATCAATTACCTACAACTGTCAAATTCAAGGGAATATTATTTTTCGACCTATTTTCGTATGCAACCGGATGTGACGTACTATGATTTGGTGGTATTACACCTTTACCAGTATTAAACAACATCATACTTAATTGTCTGATAAGCTACTGAACAGTACTGGATTAACTGCCAGACAAACGTTTAAAATTTACAGCAGTGCTAAAAGTCTAAATAGTTTTTTAAAAGTCAATCTTTACGTTTTTCAGTGATCATTTAAGACTAAAATCATTTAGGTAGCACTCCACAGTTAGGTGTGTAGTTTCGCATTTTGGCCCCTGTGGATTTTTCAAATATGATAGCTAGTGTAGAATAAAATTCATTTTTGGATAGCTGAAGATTAAAATAGCCTTCATAGTGGGTTTATAGGAACATCACGATTATGTAATGTATGTAATATGGGCTGTTTTCTGTATGACAGTCCGTATTTTCATATCCATACCAAATATTGGTCCGGCAATTATTGTAATTTTTTTTCCAACTTTTTGTCGCACGAACTTTGCAATTAAATTTTACGAAAAAATGAGGCGAAAGACACCCATTTTTTATTTGATCATTTGGTAGATTTATATCAACAGTTTCTGAAAAGGTATCACTGAAAGGCATTGAAATTCTAGTTTGAACCAAATGTTTGGGGAATATGTGACATTTTTACCCCCCTTTTTGCAATATTTTATGGTAAATAAATGCAGAATGTTGCCATGGATACACCAAAAAGGAATTATATTTCACCATTTTAACTTTTAAAAATCATATCTATGGAAGATACTGATTACATACATATGCACATGTACAACACAAACAGTTAGGTTAATGTATTAGAAAGCCAGGAATAGAAGATGATTAAACATTTTGTGGTTCAATTTTAATGTTTTTTTCTAACTGTGGAGTGCTACCTTATGGCACATCAGAAAGCACAGAAATGCACTTTTTAAGATAAATTTTACCACAAATCTTTAGTCTGTTAGGTTCTTAATGTAGTTCTGAAGGGGTAAAAAAATGATAGGATTGCAATACATGTTAATTTTATTGTTTACTGTCCTTAGCAACCAAATATACACATTTTGACACTAAGACATGTTTCTGTCTTAAATTTGTTCTCCATTAGCTTCGCCCTTGTAACCAAAGATTGTGCTTTATATGATAGCCTCAGAATGTATCGTTTTATATTTTTTAATGTGAATAAGTCAAATAAACATTTCTAGCAGGATTTAATATAATAATTTGGTATGAATGAAATTAAATGATGCCAGTACTGTTAGATATTTATACCCTGCTTGAGAGTTTCTAAAACAAGGTTTGGTATGCTATTTACAGCAAAATTGACCTATAAATGCTTTCAAATACCTAAAAATTGTACAATTTTTCTTCTTTAAAGGTTATTTTATGATTTTAAACAGAAAAAAAAGGAAAAAGTTTGAGAAATTTACCCCAAAAATGTGACAGGCTTGAGGTTTTACGCTTTGATCAAGCATTTTTTTTTAAATGACTTTTTGTCGCGTTTTAACATCAAATGCTAACCTTCATAAAATCTTTATTACTGAACCAATTTTAAAAACTAAGGTACCATTTTAATCGTTACAGCTAGTAAAACACAGGGTTTGAATTTGGATTTGAGGCAGGGGGAAAAAAATCATATTAAGGTAGCACTCCACAGTTAGGTGTGTAGTTTCGCATTTTGGCCCCTGTGGATTTTTCAAATATGATAGCTAGTGTAGAATAAAATTCATTTTTGGATAGCTGAAGATTAAAATAGCCTTCATAGTGGGTTTAAAGGAACATCAAGATTATGTAATGTATGTAATATGGGCTGTTTTCTGTATGACAGTCCGTATTTTCATATCCATACCAAATATTGGCAATTATTGTAATGTTTTTTTCCAACTTTTTGTCGCACGAACTTTGCAATTAAATTTTACGAAAAAATGAGGCGAAAGACACCCATTTTTTATTTGATCATTTGGTAGATTTATATCAACAGTTTCTGAAAAGGTATCACTGAAAGGCATTGAAATTCTAGTTTGAACCAAATTTTTGGGGAATATGTGACATTTTTACCCCCCTTTTTGCAACATTTTATGGTAAATAAATGCAGAATGTTGCCATGGATACACAAAAAAGGAATTATATTTCACCATTTTAACTTTTAAAAATCATATCTATGGAATATACTGATTACATACATATGCACATGTACAACACAAACAGTTAGGTTAATGTATTAGAAAGCCAGGAATAGAAGATGATTAAATATTTTGTGGTTCAATTTTAATGTTTTTTTCTAACTGTGGAGTGCTACCTTACTAATGAAAGCTTTGAAAACGTAAAAATATTAATTTGTAGCTCATCATGAATTCTTAATTTGCATATTTTATTACAAGATAATGTATCCTTCATATTGTAATTTGCAAATAAAACTAATGGTTTAAACACCTTATTGAATACAAAATTGTAAATGATAAGTCTCATTCCACTTGTGTTTCGTTACTATTCGTATATCCCAATAAACTGAAAAGTGTGTTCGCATGCTTCAATGTTTATGTTTTGGAATTCTTTATTTGTTAAGGGGTGAATATTACGATAAATATTCGATGTGTAAACCGATAACGTCGACATCATACAGTCAATAATATTGTTAAACACCGGTAAGTGGACATACTCTCATATATTATGACGATTGGTTTGCTGTGAAAAATCTACCAAATCTTTTTTTACAGGCAAAATGCTGCTACTTATCTGTTTTGTATGCTGTGCAGTTGGTATGTTTCACATTTTATAGCTTTTATTTAAGGAACTTGTATGTATTTCATTCCAAATATATTACTACGTTCGCACAATGATTCTTATGCTATGCATACATTTAGTCTATTTAACAAAGGAGATACAGCATGCAATCATACTATGATTTAGATGTAAATTACACGTGGTACTGTTCTAGTTGTTTGTGAAAACTGAACCTGTACTTTGGTGAATGTGGCATGTGATCTAGTGTACAATGTATATTTAACGTGTGAACTATATGTGATCTTGTGTGCAATGTATATCTAACGTGTGATTCATATGCGGTCTTGTGCGCAATGTATATTTAATTGTATTCTGGTCATGTCTTCTAGATGCATATGACCAGTGACTCTGCATTTTAGGTTTCTGTGACGTATGCTCATGTGTTCTAGTTGTATAAGACACGTGATCATTTGTTCTAGGTATATGGGACATGTGATACTGTGTTTTATGTATATTTGACATGTGATCCTGCGTTCTAAGTTCATATGACGTGTTTATCTATGTTATATTATTATCTGACATGTTTACCTGTGTTGTGGGTATACGTTATACATGATCATGTGACTAAAACCAATCATAGATACCAGGATTAAAATTTTATACGCCAAACGCGCGTTTCATTTACAAAAGACTCAACAGTGACGCTCGAATCAAAAAAGTTAAAAAGGCCAAATAAAGTACGAAGTTGACATGTTGACATATGAGTTGTACAAAATTTATTGATGTAATAAAAAAAATAACCCTTCCTTACTGCCCCTTGCTCACCACAGGAAGGCGGTTGAAAGTGGAATTTCGATCAAAATAAGTTTACTGAATCTATGTGAATAGATGCTGGAGTCAAAACTCTTGTTTTGCTGACATAAACTGCCTATTATATTCCACTTTATACGATAACAAGCGTCTTTTTTTGCCGGCAATAGGGCATACAGGAGAGGAAAGTAGATACCATTTTTGCATCCATGTATGGTGTACATATGATAAAAGTATTCTGGGTAGCTCTTTTAATTTTCATCAATGAATATATTAATGTCATATATTTACACATACATTCCAAATTCACATGCCTTGCAAAAATAATTAATCCACTTTCAATGTCATTCACAATTTAGACATTTTCTAACTTACTTGTCTTGGGATAAGTTTTGGGTATCTTTACGTCTCTCCCTATGAAAAGCTAATGAGCATTCTTTAAAAATCATGGATGAAGGTGATTTTCTTGCATTCCCTGTAACTAGGTTTTTGCGATTTTTGCTGGTCTACTTGATATATCACCAGATTTTTTTTTCTTTTACCACGAAGCTGTTTTATCTCAGTCTTGCGGTGATCTGCAATCTGGTTATTTAAAAATTTTACAATGATCATTCCATGACTTTTCGTTGTAATCCTAGCTTTACATAACTTATTTGTACATCTATAGCAAATATTTCCGTTTTTGAGAATGTTTGATTGTCTATAAGAATGTCCATCAAAGATTATCGACTTATTTCCCCGTTTTGTTTCTGTGTGCAAAAGATCCATCTTATCATAACAGAAGTGTTTAAATTAATGAGCTCAACATGTATGTATATACACGTACATATAACCTGAATATGTACTCATTGAACACCACTTACCTGCTATGTTGGGTAAACCTAAGCAACGGTAATCATCTAAAATGTATCAGATCTTAAAATTGAGAATGGAAATGGGGAATGTGTCAAAGAGACAACAACCCGACCATAGAGCAGACAACAGCCGAAGGCCACCAATGGGTCTTCGATGCAGCGAGAAACTCCCGAACCCGGAGGCGTCTTTCAGCTGGCCCCTAAACAAATATGTATACTAGTTCAGTGATAATGGACGTCATACTAAACTCCAAATTATACACAAGAAACTAAAATTAAAAATGATACAAGACTAACAAAGGTCAGAGGCTCCTGACTTGGGACAGGCGCAAAAATGCGGCGGGGTTAAACATGTTTTTTGAGATCCCAACCCTCCCCCTATACCTCTAGCCAATGTAGAAAAAACAAACGTACAATAGTACGCACAGTAAAACTCAGTTTAAGAGAAGTCCGAGTCCGATGTCAGAATAGGAAACAAAAGAAAATAAACAAAATGACAATAATACATAAATAACAACAGACTACTAGCAGTTACTGACATGCCAGCTCCAGACCTCAATTAAACTGATTGAAAGATTATGTCTTCATCGTATGAATATCAGGCACAATCCCTCCTGTTAGGGGTTTAGTATTATACCGTCATAAAATATATGAGAAGAACACAACCCGTGTCATGCCAACAACTGGTTTTAGAATAAATATGTTTAATTCCGATGCAAAGACCCTATAAGTGAATCAATATTAAAGCCAAAATATGCAATCTTTAATGACCTGACAACAGTATCGTAACTATATCCCTTCTTAATAAGTCTGTTTAAAGGTTTTGTTAGCTTTTGAGGTGAATACTGGCATTTTTGTGCTTTGTAAAGAATATTACCATAAAAGATTGGATGTGAAATACCCGAACGTATAAGATGTCTGGATGTTGAGTTATATTTACGAATGATGATAAAATTTAGTAAATGATTTGACTAGTTTATGATATCGAAAACCCTGGTGTAATAATTTTTTAGTAATATATAAATTTCTCTCGCTAAAATCTAATACGTTGTTACATACACGAGCGAATCGTACAAGTTGAGATATATAAACACCATAAGAAGGTGACAAGGGAACGTCACCATCTAAAAATGGATAATTAACGATAGGAAATGAAAAATCATCTCTTTTATCATAAATTTTTGTATTAAGCTTCCCGTTAATGATATAGATATCAAGATCGAGGAAAGGACAGTGGTCATTGTTAGTATTAGCTTTATTTAAAGTAAGTTCAACAGGATAAATTTCTTTAGTATACATACTGAAGTTGTCATTATTGAGAGCCAATATATCATCCAAATATCTAAAAGTAGTATTAAATTTTTGTATCAGATGTTGTTTCGATGGGTGTTTGCTGATTTTAGTCCTAAATTGTAATTCATAACAATACAAAAACAGGTCCGCAATAAGTGGTGCACAGTTAGTCCCCATTGGAATTCCGATAACTTGACGATATACGGAATCTCCAAAGCGAACAAAAATGTTATCAAGTAAAAATTCAAGGACAGATTTAGTATCAAAGCATGTCCAATTGACATAGCTCTTTTGTTTGTTGCTACTAAAAAATGACTTAAAAGAGTTTGAACATATGTATTCGCATTCCGACTTTTTAAATGCCCATTTAATTAGGTGTGTGAATTTTTTCTTTATAAGAATATGAGGCAAAGTGGTATATAGGGTAGAAAAATCAAAACTTTGAACAGATTCAAAATCACCAATATATGCATGCAATTTATCAAGTACTTCCAACGAGTTTTTGACACTCCAAAAGTAGTTAATTCCACTATTTTCAAATGCCTTATTTGAACAATTTATTATCAGGTTTTTGATTGTACCAAGTGTACTAGTAAGTAGAATAGACAATTTAGTAGTGGAATAATGACTTGAAGACGAAATAAATCTATATTTGTAAGGTGATTTGTGTAGCTTCGGAAGCCAGTACATAGTTGGGACTTTCATTGTATTTGGTTCTGCTTGTAAAGAAGTAGCTAATAGTTTATGTTTGTTACAGATATCGTTTTCTGAAAATGAAGTCAGTTGGAATGTTGGTGAATTCGTGATTTCCTTTTGCAGAACTTCAATGTAACGTCAAACTATAATGATATTATTAGCAGTTTTATCAGCCGGGACAAAAACAAATTCCTTGGCTAGTTCTTTTAGTTTATGTTTGATACGAGAGATAGGATTTTTATGGTTGTTGTTAAGAGTAAAATGTTCTTTAAAATATTGTATACGTATATCAACTATCTTCATTACTGAATTAAAAAAAAGAGTCCAAAGATTTTTTGTCAGCTTTTTCCCGTTTTATCCATTTCAAACAGTAAGCACGAAGTGAGTCGTGGATGATATTACGACACTCATTCCAATTAATAATTGACGGGGGACGATATTTAGGTCCTTTACTGAGGAATGATTTTAACTCTCGGTCGCGAACGATGTTAAGGTCTCCTGTTATAACATGGGAAATGGGTCCATAAGTGTATTCGGAATTACTACAATTACATGACGGAGGTGCATTTTTACTGATATCTACATCATTACAGACTTGGCTATAATTAAACACAAATTTTCGGGTAGATTTCTTGTAAATATAACAAATAAGAGGGAGTTCAGTATTATCAAAATATCCAGGAATTTGTTCTTTAACAGGATGGTCGTTAAAAATACCGGCAATATTTACAAAATCAAAACCTTTATTGACATACTTTATTTTAATAAAATGTTTTTTATGATCTTCAGGGCGATCAATTTTGGGAAACAGTTTAGAATAACAATATGCCATTATAATTTGAACGATTTCATACTTAGGACTGCAATATGAAATTGTGTTGCAATCCTCTAAAATGTTATTTAATTTATTTATAGGTAAAGAACAGAGCTTGGTTAATAGATAATGTCTGCCGTTGTTTTTTGAAATAGAAATTAGGTCCGAAATATTTGTATGGTTGGTCCGAAATTTTCTTTGATTGCGATTTTTTCTACGCCCATGAGAACGGTTTTTACGAACAGTTTTAGAAACTATATTCAAAATGTTAACAGAATCGGTTCTTGATATATTACTAATTCCCATGATATTATCATTAAGACCGAGAGGGTAGACTGTCTGTAATTTTTTAATCCAATTTAATTCAATTATTTTCCGCGATCGTACAAACTTTGAATGAGATTCACCAGGCTGCTTATTTACTACTTCTAAAGGTTGAACTGTTAAATATTTAATAGGATGATTGTGCTTACCTGTTTCAAATCAAATCGGCACAAAATAAAAAATTAATAATTGGCACAAATGAAAACTTTGTTTTGGTGCAAATTAAACAAATGGTATTTTCAAATGTCATACGCTCACTTGATCCTGTATATGACATGTGATCCTGCAGAGTTTGTGGCATGTTTATTGTTAAAGTTTATATATAACGTTTTTAAAGGTTGTATGTATATGAACATGTTTATTGTTAAGGTTTATATATAACGTTTTTAAAGGTTGTATGTATATGAACATGTTTTCTAAATACAAACAAATCTAAATCTGGGATGATCTTAAAAGTCTCAGATATCACTACAATCACGTCAACTGAAAAATGTATATTCCAAATAAGTATCATGCAAAAACTGAACGTTGAAAAAAGCATCGAACCAGCGCATTCCTTTCGCAGACTGTTTAAGACGCCTTTGCAGTTCATTCGTTGGATACGTATTAACTGATATGTAAGCCTGAGAAGACATACTTTATCTATTAGCTGTAATGATCCCTGAACTAGATTTTAGTAAGTAACTGAGAATACTCTTAGATCGGTACAGACGTTTTATATTTCAATGAACTTCTATATGTATAACTGGTTTTTTCAGGGATTTCGTTACCACTTATTACTTTTACTAAATTTGTTCATCGATACAAAGATTTTGTTTGGTAAATATAAACTAAGTCTATAGTCTAAAATATATGATTTTTTTATTGGTTGTTTCGACTTTTAGTAATTGCGAGTAATCTCTGATGTATACTTTGTGTCTCTTGTGCTTTGTTAGATTTTTAGTGTGCTTTGTATCGATCTGATGAGTTAAGCTATTTCAACTGTTTTAACAGTGATTTTATGTTGAACTGTACTATTGAAAATTGGTGTAATCCAAATGAGTTACTCTCTCTAAATGAAGATATTATTAATTTTACCATTATTACACCACTGTCCCAGGTTAGGGGGGAGGTTTTGTGCCATCAAACATCTTTAACTGCTCCACATTCTGTATGTGCTTGTCCCAAGTCATTACCCTGTAATTCAGTGGTTGTCATTTGTTGCTTTATATCAGGGCCTTTTATGACTTACTATACATATGAGTTTTGCCTATTATTCATGGTCGTACGGTGACCTTTAGCTGTTAAAGTCTACTTCATTCGGTCTCTGGTGGAGAGTTGTTTCATTTACAATCATACCACATTTTCTTATTTTCTATATTAGTGATGTTTTGAATATATTCTAAGGAATTACAGAACTGCAGTTGAAGAGTTGCTGCTGTCAACATTGGATTTGACGATGCAGATTTTTAATGCGACGAGTATCAGAACTAGTTAAATTGATAGTAATGACAATTTAACCAATTCATGATTGATCCTAGTATAGCTACCCTTCATGCTTACCATACTTCTTTCTAATTAAAACAGATAGTTCCTAACTTACCTGAGGTAATTGAACATACCGGAATATTGAAGTCGATTGAATTAACAAAATCGATATTTAAAAGCCATAAGTGATCTTTCTAATTTTATTTCTTCGTGAAACAAATCTTTTTATTCATACCCATACTTAAATCAGTAAAAAAAACTAATGCATTTCCATATTGCCGAGACTGAGCAATGAAAATCTGAATCAGGCCATAAGAATATTGTTTAACATTTTCAGGTGGTTGGTTCTTCGTATAATACAGGATAACACCAATGTCCTAGTCTAAGTCTTCCCTATTACTAAAACTAAATCATTTGTTCATTTTAGTTCGATGCTTATCATCTCAATCCAATGATGTTTTCCGTTTCTTCTACAAATGTTGTCCTGCCTAGTTTTAGAAAGGAAAGGTTTTGCCCGTTGTAGACGGTCATATGGTGACCTACAGTCTACGTTTACGTCCATTGGTCTCTGATGGAAAGTTTTCCAATTGGCAAGCATACCATATCTTTATACATCACTTCTGGAAAGGACATTAATAAGATGTGTCTTTGAGTTCGGTATTTCTGTTTTACTTTCTTACCATCTCGCAACAATAAACAAGCAATGAAGTATGTTTTGATTGAAATATATATGCATTAAAAATTACTTTACCTTATCAATAGAAATATTTCTAATAATGTATCAAACTCTATTCTTTTTCTCAAACTTAACTAAATTGTAGGTAGTGAAATAAAGGATACTCGCCTATCAATAAATCACAGAGAAGCCAAATCATTTTTAACCAGAACGAGACGTAGTGCTTATGATTGCACTGACGAATATTGGTGTGAAGAAAACATCCAATACTGCACGGTAAATTATTTGTTAAATGTTTGATCAACTTTTTACATATCTATTGCGAATGCTGTAAAGTCCTTTTCCTGTTTATTTGGACTGTCAAAATCTATAGTGAAATGAGTATATTGTAATCTCGGAATGAACCCAAGTGATTCATAAAAGAAATACGCTATTTACGTTCACAGATTGTTATAAAAGGATAAAAAACAATCTATTCCTTTTAATCACAAACAACATAAATTCCATTACATTAGAGATGTACAATGTTGTTTATTTTGGCAGGATAAGAAATTACGTGAACAAAACGTGTCTACAGAGATATGGTCCTTCAAACTAATGTTTGTTTTGAGTACCTTAGCCCAAGAGCATTTTTTTGCATCAACTTTCAAAACTTCTTATTTTCTTTATTCACGTAATAGGTCAGATTTATTCTGAACATTTTACTCGTACACTATCTTTCGTTAAATGTCACTGACTTTTATCTTATAGAACCTTAGTAAAAATAATTTATCTGTATAAAAAAACGACTGACAGGTCGTAACTATATATCATACTTTGAAAGAGTGCATTTGGTTATTAGTGCATGAGGTGAGGAAAAACAAATGAAACATTATATTAAAAAACTTAAAAATACAACATGACCTTTACTGGCAATGCTGATGTTAATCAATAAGAATTTGGAAAGATTATTTAATTATATAAACTGACAAATCGTTAAACCTTCTATTGTTATTGTATTGCCCAAGTATAACCGATGGAATAACGAAAACAGATAGCGCTCACCGGAACTATTGTACATTCAATCTTATTCGTCAATAATAGCAGGATGCGTTAAAGATGTGTTTTATGTAATCATCTACTGAATGGTTTCTAACATGGTAAACTTTTCACAAAAACATTGAGACAGTTCAAATTCTAATCCACATACTACACTTTACACTAGTTGTAGGTAAGGAATCGATCAATGTTCTCACTGAAATATGATTGGAGAAACAAAAATAGAAACTGCATAAAGATTTCTCCGATACAGATTTAAATGTTGATTAAATAAAGATATACTTTTACGTTGTAAGAGCCCACTTGTCAGTCAAACTACATGGTGCATTTGATATATTATAGCAACACAATTTTAGTTCGAAACATTTTAACAAAAGATTGGTTTACCCTATTTTAGCAACACTTTGAGGAAGGTCGTGAAGAGTATTGTCCAAAGCGTTCTACGCCATGTGGAAATGGAACAACTTGTTACCTATTTCAACCCTGCTACAATCCAGTGCATCCTATAGTAACGAGTTGTACAGGTAAGAACATATTGAAAGTAGAGGTAGAGGAAAATATGCTTAACCTTCAACAGAAATCGTCTTCATTAGTTGTTTGTCACAATCTTATCGTAATGCTGTATATTTTCATACATCCTGAAAGTGGAAGCAATAAATACATACAAAAATGTTACTTCTATCAAATTAAAACAAATTTCAGTGGTGTTTGCAACTTATAGACAAACAATTTAAAAAACATCATTTTGTGTTTGACGGGCTACACAATTAGCATTATTGCGTGTATGTTCTTCTTGCATCATGTTAAGCATCTTTCCAAAGGGCCGTGTTAGCCTTTGCCATTACTCGGTGCCGTCGTCGTCGTCGTCGTCGTTTTAGACTTTTCGAAGATCTTCTCGTCTGAAACTATTTAACAAATCTAAGCCAAACTTGAGTGAATGGTGCTCAAGAAATAGTATAAAATTTGTGTTTTTTTCCCCGTCAGTCAACAAACATGACTGACGTGGCTAGAAATACAATATAAGGGTAAAATGCACTAACTATCAGATATTTTGAAAAGTATAAAGGATAGAGAAAATCTGACATGGGCATGAATGCTCAGAATGTCAAGATCTACCTATGTCCTGTTTCTATTATAGGAAATTTTTGTTTTCCAAGTTGAATCTATATGATCTTATTGTTTTTTTATGTTTTTTATCCACCATAGTATTATATGCAGTTCTGTTCTTTAATAAATGGTTATATGTTGAATGTTTTAATCTACTTAATCGTTGAAATCAATGTGAAAACTGGTATGGCAATACAAGATACAAGATATAAAAAATGACCGAAACCAATCGATGATCCCTTTATAAGTTATTGCTCGAAAATGACGATTTTTGACTGGTTCTAGTCTTTTATTTCAAAAACTATAATAGATTGGTAGAAACTGAAAACATAAAACATAATCAGAAATACAAGATCTACAAACATACCAACAACTGAAATAATTTGATGACCCCTTTAGGAATTATAGCCGTAAACAACGACTTTTGACTAAATAACTTGCTTATAAAATGTTATATGATATATGTTATGATTTTGTTTTAGTCAACAAATATGGACCCAATGGCTTAAAACAGAACATAAGGGTAAAATGCAATAATTGTTTTATCACTCGAAAACTTTGATAAATAGAAAATCTAATGGAGGGCTAAAAATGCTCAAAATTCAGTACCTGTGGGCACCAATATTATCAGATGATTCTCATTATTGGAGTTATTGCCCCAAAATGATGTTTTTGACTAGTTTTTAAGTTTTTGCCTATTAACTTAAAACTGTAACAGATAGGTAATAGAAACTGCAAATGGCAAAAATAATCAGCAATGCAAGATTTAAAAGATGCCGATACGTCTGAATTCATTGGAAGACTCCTTATATAGGAATCATTACCCTTAAATGAAAAACACAACTGGTTGAGGACAAGTTACTGTCAGTAAGTGACAATTTTCAAGATAGTTTTTCGTCTTTTCTGGTAAAAATATGAATTTAACGTCACTTGAAATATACTACAAATGCTGTATTGAAGACACGTATAGAGTTTAATTCTGCAATTTATAAACAAGATAATTCTTTTGTAAGAAATCGTTTATTCGAAAGTAATGTTAGATATTTCTTTGTCTTAAAATGCTAAGTTTTCCAAAATCGAGGACGTCATAAAGCGATGATGCAATGTCCCCACACGTGTATCCTCCTACGATTTGTTCATGAAACTCGGCATTTCCCTATATCAATTGGCTCAAGCAAAACGGAGTTTTTACAAATGAAGTAAAAAGATTAATCTGAAAATATCACGTGAGGTTGTTTTTATACTATGCTTCCATTATTGAATACAATGACGTGAATGTCAGATAAAGGTAACTGATAACTGATGATAATTAAAATCAATCAATTGCCGTGCATTCCAGTACAGAACTACCAACTATTCCGCAAGTGATAACCTCGGGACGAAACTTGTACAAGCATTAGAATCGACCCACAGGTTGAAAATGTTCATCAAAGACACCAGGCTCATATTTTAGCCGCCAGACTCAAATTTTGTACGCCAGGGGAAAATTTCTTTTACACATGACTTATAAAAAATGCTGATTAAAGCTTTATCACATTTGATAGTCAGAATCTTCATTCTGTTAGGTACGTGAGTACATGTAAAACATTAAATTCAGTAATTGACATGATTGAATTCTCTATCTTTGCAGAAGATCTTTGTATGTCATTTCCTTGTGAAAATGGTGGAAATTGCAGTGTTATCAATGCAACCCATATATCATATACTTGCGCATGTGTATCTGGATATAATCAGTCAACAGACTGTGCTACTGGTAAGTTCAATACTTCTACATATAAATCCCGTTGTGAGGCTGAAAAGAATCAATTTGAATGAAAACTGTACTTGTTATATTCAGTTAACATTCGCAGTATCGAGATTGAATTAAGTTGAGAAAAACGTAAAAAATTAGAATAAAAAAAAATATATCAAAGTCAAATATAAATAGATACCACAGTAGCCAACAAGGAAGGACACATATACAACTGAGGGTGAACCAATATGCTCTAGAGGGGTAAGCAGTTCCTGACCAATGACATGTTCTCATGAAAGTACAAAACCGGTGTTTAATTGCATTCAGTAATGTCACAATAAATAAGAGGAAGTAATTGTTGTAACGCCAAGATGAACATATTCGTGGTGAGTAGGCTGGTTCATTAGCTATAAAGGTAGCTTTAGACTCATTATGGTTTCCAAAATGACCGTAATGACGTTTGATAATAACAAATTCTTTGGCATTCCAAGCAATCATTTAAAAAATAGAACAAATGAATTGTAAATGGTGGTGATATTGAATTACTATTTAACTGCAAAAACAAAATTATTGTGAATTCTTTGGCATACCGTTTTGTGTATACCTAAGTGATCGAAACTATGAAAGTTAAAATCGACAATGCTTTCACCTATAATTATTATTACGTATAATGTTTAAATATATCATAAAGGTCAAATGTGAGGTAATGGACGAACTTGATAAACAGAAAGTTTTAGTAGAACATACAATATGTTGAATATATATCCATTTTCTATTTTCATACTTCATTTTGGGGTAAAAAAAAATCAAAGAAGCAGCATATTCTAATGCCAACAGAAACAGCGACGAAAAGACAATCACCACCGAACTATGTTATAACTGATTGTTTGACAACTTCATTAAGAATAATAGGTGACCAATTGATTGGTAATATATTCATTTTGGTTTTTTGATAAATTGAAATTACCCATAATCATAATCCCTATGCAAACCCTACTTTTATTCTTTTTTTTTTTTTTTCCTCCGTCGCTAAATCATATGCTTTTCGTAAACAATTATGCACAGACTAATGTCGAGAAAATGAATAAATGTTGCACCAAAAGACCTGTGGACCTCCCATTAACTGTTAAAATAAATACAATTGACAGTTTTGAATATAATGAACAGTAAATAAAACAAACAGTTTGGTAAGTTATGAACTCATTTTGTCAACATTAACCTTATTTTGACTATGTTTATGTCTTGTAGATTATAATGAATGTGCATCAAATCCATGTTTAAACGGTGGTCCATGTGGTAATAATTTTAACCAATTCACATGTCATTGCACCAACCGTTTTGAAGGAGTCATATGTGAAAAAGGTAAGCATATTTTAGATGAATGCACTCATATCATGTTCCAATTAGAAACTTAGGTCATCCTCTGTTTTTTATTTTGATTCGTGTTGCTCAATTTTAAGTTTTCTGTGTAATGCGTTATTATTGCTTATCGTTGCGCCAATTTTATTCTGGCCATGTTATTGTCAGATTTTATAAGATTTATGCGTTTCGATTGGGCCATTAAATCTGGTCCATCTTTAAAATGTGTCTGATTTCTTGCGGTCATGATTTCAGATGTCATTGTATTGTGATTTTTATTGACTATCGGTTTCTTCTTAATTTTCAAAGGATTTATGTAGCCCAGTATCAAAACAAAAAAGAGGCGGAAGGTACAAAGGTACAAAAGGAACAATTAAAATTCAGAAGACTAAAAAAAACCGACATTCCGATGCAAACACAAAAACAAAGTGCCAAGAAAAGACATACTACAAAGTTGTTACTCATGTATACAACTGCTACACTGACAAGGCTAATTGAATTGAATATTTTCATTATTACAGTTGAGGGAATGCAACAAATATACAACATCTGCTTACATCCACTTCATTAGAACTCTTGGTGTAGATAGTTGTCTCATTGGCAATCACACCACATCTCCTTAGTTTTATTTTTAAGTTAATGAAAGTCCAATTAGGTTATGCATTCCGTTAAATATTTAAATGCATTTATTCTCTTTGTATCATACGGATTCAGATTTTGGAATTAAAATAAAGAATAAACCAAGGTGGTACTCGACATCCATAAGTTAAAAATGACTGCCAAAACAATGGCAAAAAAAACCCTTGTCAAGCAAACACTAGCTATACTTACATCCCCGTCATTTGAACAGTGATGGATAGTTGTCTAATTAGCAATCATACCACATCTCCTTATTTTTATACTAGTCAAAACGCTTAGGATACGGCAATACGAATGATAAGCTACTGAAAGGTAAGCGGTTCCATCTCCACTAGTGAAACATGTTGCGTTACTCATGTAAATATTTCAACATGTAACGGTTGTTATTTAGGCTCTATACTATTCTGACTAGTCGGTAGCTCTTGTCTTATCCAGACATCACCAAATTCATTATACAACAATACGTTTTACAAAAAGAAAATTAGGTCAAGGTCAAAGGTCAAGGTTATGCTCTTAATTTTTACATTAAGTTCATATCGCTTCTTCCCAGAAAGAGTTATAGACATCGACAAAAAACTTTAACCAAAATGTTTGTCGCGACATGTCCTAATTGGAAATGTTTATGTCAAAATGGTAAGCGTCATTTGGTTGCAGGTCAATGCCCCTGAAATGGTCAAATCAACAAATTACTAATTAAAACTTCAAACTTTGCAGCTGACATGTTGTAAATGTATCGGTAACATGACCGAATGTAGCTTGAAATGAAAATGATATCAGAACCAAGGGTCTCAAGACAAGTGATATATAGCAGTCACATAGACATTGCACAATAAAATCTTGCAATAAACATTACAATAGTGTAGACGTTTATGTAACGTGGTTTCCTTCAGCTATAAGCAAAGTTTCCGGATATCTTTAAGCCATTATTCTATGTTCAAATTCTGGAGTGAATTCAATAAAATAACAAAGCCGAAGAAATTAAAAGTTAATTGAATAACAAATATAAGGTATTTAAGGCACTATGGAACTAGTTTTATTTCAGACTGTAGGCCTGGTCCTGCCGATATAGTGTTTGTTATTGACACATCAAGCAGTTTAAAAGAGGACTTAAATCGTTCCATTACCTTCATACGTGAGTTTGTAGACAAACTTCCCATTGGTGTTGATGACTTTCAAATTGCGGTAATTACCTTTGGAAGAGAACCCAATGTTTTGTTTGACTTAGATGACTATACGAATACAGCTGATATTATTCATGCCATAGACTTTATTGAAGGGAGAGAAGAGGAGACACTCACTGTGCCAGCTTTGCAAAAGGCAGTAGAGGTAAGAAGAACTGCAGATATGGTTGTTAATCTACAATTTGCATGGAATTTCTACGCAACAGTTTTTTTAATTGGCTTTCTAAAACTTATATTCACCAAAATCCAATGTTGTCCTCAATATGTTTGCTTATGTTGTACTGTTGGTGTATCATTAGAATAAGAACAGCACATTTTTATAAATATAACTAAAAAAATATATGGCATTTGATGCAGGCTTGAAACGATTAATCGAGTGATAAAGATATTTTGTACATAAATCAGGCCGTTAGTTTTCTCGTTTGAATTGTTTTACATTTGTCATTTCGGGGCTTTTTATAGCTGACTATGCGGTATTGGTTTTACTCATTGTTGAAAGCCGCACGGGGACCTATAGTTGTTAATTTCTGTGTCATTTGGTCTCTTGTGGAGAGTTGTCTCATTGGCAATCATACCACACCTTCTTATTTTTATAAATACTATCCCTGTGGCAATTGATCAAAATGGTTGATATATGAGTCATTTTCAATCTATTTTACAGAAGTTTCATGACGATTTTATAAGAACTGTTTTTATACATATTTTAGCGATTTCGAGAACTTGCTTTTATTTGTAGGGTGAAAACATTATTAGATCGCTTTCGATTATTTGGGGTTTTTTTGTTTTTTTTTTCTTTGGTTTGCTGTCGAGTTGACTTGTCCTTTTTTATATACAAAGACAATCATTTTGCTTATAATGAAACATTGTATTCATCATACTGATTTTAAATTGTATGTTGCTTCTAGATATCGATGAGTTCTTCATCAGGGTCTCGTTTATCGTCTGCCTACCATTACATAGTGTTATTGTATGACGGACTCTCTTCTGATCCGAATGATGTATCAACCTTCGTACAGACATCCAGTGTACCTATATTTACGGTCGGAATTGGGCACTCTATTCTTCACAATGAGCTGTTAACCGTTTCTGGACGTGCAGAACATATCTCTAGTCCTTCTCATTTCAACGACCTCTACAACAGATTTCTACGGGAGATAATCCATACAAATTGTAACGGTATCTATATATGTATATTTTAAGATGTGATTTATCTGATGTATTCAAAATAAAATACAAATTAAAATGTATTAATATGTTCTTATGAAATTATCACAAAACATATATAGATTTAAATATTTTATAATTCATCTTCATTTTCAGGGAAATTGTTTAAAAAATCGAAACATTGTGAATTTAAAAAACGGAGTCGCAAACCTAAACAAAACTCAAATTTGTTCGTGTGTGAAGGATAGTGCAGTGAGAAGTTACAAAGGGGAATATGAAAAAATCTTTAGTCCCATAAAAACCGACAGCACCATGGATAAAAAGCAAACCCACGATAAAAACAAATAAACTAAAACAGAGCAATACAGAAAAACAAACAATTGAGCAACCCGAACATCACAAATACCAATGGTAAACTCATATGCTTTAGAAGGGTAAGCAGTTTCTTCTCAATAAGAGGTACCTGTCGTGTTATAATTTCAAGTCAGCGTGTGGTCCTGGTTTTATCTTTTCTCATCTTACCTACGGTGTCACTTTTTGTATGGTGGTATTCATATAAGAAAAGATTTCGGATTTACATTTTTGTAACCAAGTATATTCTCGTTATTTGTCTTGTACTTTTATCATCTAAACACATGCGATGATAAATTGTTGGATTTGATCTATCCCGATGAAGGTAAGTCTAGTGAAGCCAATCGGTTTATTTTGATAATAGTGAGGTTTTATGTGCGATCATACTATTTTGCACATTGTATTTAAACTCAAAGGAAACGTTAAGTTTCTTCACAACTCAGTTGTTATCATAATTATATTTTGTGTATAAATTAAAATTAGAAACTACAAAATTAATATTGTGTCAAATAATATGATTAAAATGAAATGTGGTGAAGACGTCAGAGAGACGACATGCAAACGACACAAATAATATTTAATGCGAAAAATAACAAGTCATTAATGCGACAAATAACACGTTTTTAATGCGACAAATAACAAGTCTTTAATGCGACAAATAACAAGTTTTTAATGCGACAAATAACAAGTCTTTAATGCGACAGATAACAAGTCTTTAATGCACCATTCTATTTTTTTGCAGATTGCACACTACATACAGAAGCAGATGTTATTATTTTACTTGATATTAATAATAATCAAACCAATTCGAACTTCATTTCAAGGCAAACGTATGGCACTCGTGCACTGATTGATGCCATTGTTAATTATAACAGTGATGTAAACATAAGTATGTATTCCTATACAGAGGAACCAGATATTGTATTTAATTTCACAAAAGACAAAGATGGCATGATAGCTAAAGCTTTCGGTATAGGGAAGGATGTGTCATCAGATTCATCAAATACTACTCATGCATTAGTACACATCAGAGAGAGTGGGTTTTATCCTTTCAATGGCGGGAGATCTTCTGCGAGGAAATTTGTTGTCCTGATTTCTGATGGTAACTGGATGAGCACTGATGCCATTAAAATGGAAATAATCAAAATGAAAAATAGTTCAATCGAGGTTCATGCAATTTTTGCCGGAGAAGATAGTAACATGGATAATCTTATTTACGTTATGGATGATCCAACCCACGTTTATTATGTGCATGATGCAAACTATGTGGACACAACAAGCTTAAATGTGTTAGCATCTCTTACATCTTACTATACCTGTGGCAATGATATATTTACTAATCGCCAGTAAATCAAACGAAAAAATGTACAGTATATGTGTATGATGAACGAAGCCTTGCGTGTGTCATGGATTATGTACGAGTTGATAAACATTATTCATATTTAGGGAAATTTCTTAGAAAATCAATCGGCACCTTTAAAAAATGCACTGTCATTGTGAATTCTTTTCAAATTCACTTTTATGACCATATTAGCACTTATATCTTATCTTATTAGCATATATATAATTCAAAATTTCATACTTTGTCGTCATCGTGGTTACATAACAGCCGTTGCATATTTTACTTTAATTGAAGTCATGGTAGTAAGACAATCATTTCATGTTTGTTATTACATTTGGTATGTGCATTGTGAGAATTTTCAACGTAGTTTTCACATAGATGACTGTTGAATATATCGTTGAGTTTCTGTCTGATTTACGTGAACACTTATTTCCTTTTACTCAGATCGCAATTTTGTAGTGTTCATTGTTTCATTTTTGATAACAGATAAATTTCCTTTCTCTCTTTTGTATTCAAATTAACTCTCTTGATAAATAAAACAGACAAAACGTAGATTATATCTGTAAGCCTCAAATCTATGTCCAGCCTCAAATCTATGTCCTTTCCGCAAATCTATGTCCTTTTTAATATTGCGTCATAGACGTTCCAAATTTATGTCCTTTGTTGTCTCAAATCTATGTCTTTTATTGTCTCAAATCTATGTCTTTTATTGTCTCAAATCTATGTCATGCATTGTCTCAAATCTATGTCCTTTATCGAAATGTGGTGACGTAAGACATAGCAAGACGTAATCAAGTAAAAAAAAATGTGTAGTTTCAATCTTGAAAGTAACATGTATGCTCGTTATGCCAATAATTTGTACACTGAATTATGTTGTGGTTGTTGAATGTTGATGTCATGGTACACAATGGATTTTAAAAAATACATAGATTTGAAACTGGAATAGTTTCACCAGAAAAAAACACAAAACGTTTTTAATAATTAAGATAGTGGCACAAAATGTCGTTGTTAAACACAATAAATTATACCCTAAACATTTTATGTGACATCTATACATTGAAACATTGAACAAAACGTTTGTAAATAGGTGTATGTGTTTATAGCTTACGATACAGAATGGGTTTAATTCATTGTTGACGGCCGTACATGTATACAGATGTCATTTTGTCTCAGGTTGTTTATTAATTTAGATTTCAAGACGTAATGAGTAAAGGGAAGTAACGATAATTTCTACAGAACAATTAACGGGATCAGGAAAAGCAAACAATTTGAATATGTTGTAGTTTTACAGTAAAATGTAAATCATACAATAATTACACACGCATGTAAAAATTTTAAGCACACACCCCAACTTAACATTGAATTATTGGAAATGACTTAATAAAACAAAAATCCTATAAGGCCGTACTTATTAGACGGGCATAAATTTGTGCATGGCGAAACAAACTGGAAAAAGATTTAAGGAAAGGACACAGATTTGAGGCCGTATCTTTTTTAACGGACATAGATTAGCGATTGACGTCACGATGTGGCACAGATTTGAGAAACGGACACAGATTTGAGGCCGTACACAGATCTGAGGCTTACATATCTATACATTAGAGTTAGTTTACTCAGGTTGTTATAGACAAGAGGTGAAAATTACTTTGGACTGGTAACCATCTCGCAGTTTTGTTTTATCTGCACATAGATTATTTATTGAATAAGACGTTGAACTATTCTATATGGACTTTCTTGTAGTTTCTGGTGTTTTGTAGACTAGAATCTTTTTTTCTGTTGTGTGACAAACTGATTCGAAAAAAACGTATGTACCCTAACGAACTTAAAAACGTCTGAAATATTCAGTTTAAACTAAATGCACTATATATACCATTTTAAATTAGTACGCGTTTTAGAATTTTGCTCTGGGAGAACGTTAATCTTTTTGGCGTAAAGAAAAATTTTGGCCAAATAGATTTAATCTCATTTAAAACTGCAACCAATGTCCATTGTTTTGTTAAGATCCATCTTTTGAATAATACACCTATACAGACCTGCTCCACTTGTGACAGCACATTATCTTTTTCCATGCAAAACAGTAAAAAGCATTTATTCTTTTTAACTTTTCATTCTAAACAAAGCCAACATATAGCTATCATCGAGGACATTGGCTAGCAACAAGTAAAATCACAAAAATACTTAACTCCGAGGAAAATTCAAAAAGGAAAGTCCCTACTCAAATGGCAAAATAAAAAGCTCAAACACATCAAACGAATGAATGACAACTGTCATATTCCTGACTTGGTACAGGCATTTTCTTATGTAGAAAATGGTGGATTGAACCTGGAACAAATTCCTTAGCAAAGTTGTGGATGCCATCTATTTATTAATAATAAATCAGTGAAATAGAAATACCTCATTTTTCTTAGCATAAGTTTGTTCCAATCTTCCTGTGAAATTGACAGTTTGACCTCTGATTATAGAAGATCTGTCATAATATCTATTGATGAAGAATTGAAATATAAATACTATTATATCAATATATAACTATACTAAAAGGGTACAACATCACCAAAAAAAAAATAAAATCATGAACAAATGTTAAATATTTCGGATAACTAATATCCTTCATCAGTAAGATGTAAAATGATTCTTATCTTGACATGTGGTTGTCAAACTGCAATTATAATATTGATCGTTAAACAAATTATCAAGAATCAATACGCTGGTAATTTTTTTTTTTCAATATTGATGTTTGGGAGGAGTAATAAATTCCTTAAAACTGTAAGCGTCCTGTACTAAAGTCTGAATTACTGGAACAAGTGATGGTAGGGACTCATTCTATGTTTTTTTCATTAATGCCCTCTGGAATAAACCGTCCTTAATTTTCTTATCCAAAATTTTTCCCGAGCAAGTCTCGTTGTGGTCTATGATGGTAAGGTTTTTGAAATCAGCTTGGGCGACATACGGGGAGATCGGGCTTGCAGGTGTAGTCACTTCGATGACCATTCATGCGTTTGTTGAATGGCTGTTCTGTCTCGCCAATATACCGCATGCCACATCGACACTGAAGAAGGTATACAACATTCTGGGTTTTGCAAGTTACATAGCAAAATATACCTGTACCCTTTTAGACTTGTTATATATTATATTTTGTAGTGTACTGTATCATAATTATATGATCCTTTGCCCCGTAAGATTTATCGTTGGCTATTATTCAGACCTTTAATGTATCAATATATGCATAAATACTTTCAAATATTTGATTATATTAAAGTAATGCATCTTAAGATGACCATCATAAGCTTTAACTGCCGACACACTAAAATAGTGACAGGTCCTATCAGGCATGATGGGATACGTGGTTGTATGGATGTTTTATAATAACAAAATCCACGGAGTCAATTTCAACTGATTTTTACAATTTGTCATTAAGTTGTGCTGTTACACCACTGTCCTAGGTTAGGAGAGGGCTGAGCGCTCACAAACCTGTTTAATCCCGCTGCAATATTTATGTGCCTGTTCCAAGTCAGTTAGTGGTTGTCGTTGGTTCATATCTGTCATATTTGGTTTTAGACTAATATTACAAATATTTTGGATTGAACCATGTTTCTGTGTCTTCGCCTGACCAACCTTTGTTTCAATAACTTTAATCTCTCCAAATTGCCTTACCTCTTTCATCAATGAATTGATAACATGATGTATCTCTAATTTCATACTGGTATCCGTATGAAATCTTATATCTTCTTTAAGTGATCCAATCTTTTCAGTTATTGCTTTGTTGAATTGGTGTGTTCCTAAAAATACTTGAAGGTCAGATGCAGAGTGTTTCATTTGAATCATTTGCTCTCTTATGTTCTCTATTTCTTTCCTTTTTCGATTCAGTTAGTTAAGACTTTTAGTGTATTGTGATTTGCATGCTTTGATCTTAAATCTAATAGCAGTTTTCTATCGAGTTCATCTAGATTCAGTCGTGTATCTTCTATCGTTTTTCTAATTGTTTGTTCATCTTTATCCACATTTTCCAAGGCAATTTCTCTGTCGTTTATATAATGCTTGACGTTTTCCAAAGTTCCTGAGATGTTCTTCTAAGTCTAAGAATGCAGTGAACTGTTTTGCAAGTTTTGATGCTTCTTCGATGGAGATAAGATTTATGTTCAGAATCAATACAGATTACGCATACTGCAATTTCGTGCTTCTTACAGTAAAGATCTAGCTTTTTACCATGAACCCCACAGTTCATATCTATTGTAATGTCCTCAATTTTACGATAATCGTCAATCGAAATTATCTTGTGATGTGTCGAAACTTTCATAGATTTGTGGGCCTTCTCACATTCTTCACAAAACCCTTCTTCACAATTGGTACACCATATGTTTGCGTTCTTTGTTCTACCCTCATATTCACACGTTCTACACTGTACGTTCAATATAGGTGCCATACTCCTTTTCTATTCTCCTGTTAAAATATACACTTAACAAATAAGCAGATAATTTTACAGTTTTACTAACAAAACGGTGATATCGGTTCACATTTATGTTTCAAGTTATAAGAACTATCAGAACCATTTATTACTCACCTCACAACCACCAACTACAGTTTCATCATGAGCGTCTATACTAACAGGTCAAGTTTTGTTTTAACAGATACATTTACGAGGTTTCAAAGGCGCCGACAACATTTTTTCTTATAGTTTACCCAACTCAAAGAATGATTTGAAATAAGAATTTAACAAACAAAACTTCTTTTTTGCTACCAATGAGACATAGAAATGAAATAAATATTAATTTAGATCCAATTTATGAAAATAGCATGCTATTTTGAACATCGTATTCTATGCATTTTTTCATATCTCTTTGGGTTCTCGTCATGTTGTGTAGACGCTTGTGTATTTTTCCAGACCAACTTTACATACTTTTTGGTTTTTGTTTCTTGTTTTAGTTATTTTATCAAAAAATGCGATGCTCATTTCCCTTTAGGACATATGAAAAACTATGTTAACACTTTAACAAGAGAAACCTGAGGGACTGTCCTATCCGTTTGAGATGAACAATGGCTACTCAACTAGTATAATACCAATATAATCAAAGTTAGTGTAAATATAAACAACATGTATGCAGTTATGGAAGGGACATGTAAGGCACTGACAGAAGGAGAATGAAATATGATCTCCAAAAGCTTTTATTTCAAAGAATTAGACGATTCCTGGTTTCTTTCTCATAAGGAGAAGTATAGGTAAATGGGATTTTTATGAAATTTTGTATGTTGAACTGCGACTGAATATCTAGATGCACTTAAATATTGGCGATATAATTCATTTTATCAATATAAATTTCTATTTCTCGAAAACCTTCCACAAAATTTTGTGCAAAACGATGTGATTTTGATGTAAACGTTTCCGTTTAATGATAGTAAGATAATAAGGGAACCCAGGACAAATCAATAAGTATCCATATGATGCACCATTTTTTATTTTAGTAACATAAAGGTGTAATACCACCATTGATTTTCCCCTATTAGTCTTTGTGAAATTTGCACTTTTCAAAAAATTGTGCAGAATTTATCTTTGTTTCAAATAAAGA